GTGTGACGACCCATCACCCCCCACCCACAGGCAGGACGACCATGGGAAAAGTACGTGTGAAACGCACTTAGACATAAACGTTATTATCCCACCCCACCCCACCCCACCCCACCCCTCCTCACCCCACCCAACAGGCAGTGACGACCATGGGGCAAGTACGTGTGAAACGCACTTAGACATGACGTTATTATCCCACCCCACCCCACCCCACCCCACAAGACAAGAGAAGACAAGAGTATAAAAATAGCCAAAAAGCTGGCGGTCATTTATCAGCCGCCAGCCAACTACATATATATGTATACTATAATATGGATATATATATATACATAATATATAATAAAGTAAAATAAAATATAACATAATATAATATATTATAATATACTATAACATAATATAATATAATATGTTATGATATGATATGATATGATATAATATAATACACTATAGTATGATATAATATAATATGATATAATATAATACAATACAACACAATATAATATAATATAATATAATATATAATATAATATAATATAATATAATATATATATATGTAATTATACGTATATTGTATAGATATAGGTATTGATACATGTATTGATATATATATAGATACACACAATGGGTCTCTTATTCTTGTTCCCCGATTTGGGATTTTAATTTTGACCAACAGCCAGATGAAGGGTAAGTTACCGCTTTGCTGAGGCCCGGCGTTCCCGGCCCACCTGGGGCTTGTCCGTAGGGAGCCGAGATATTGGAACTGGGGGTGAGACCCCAAGAGTCGACAAGATCCAAAATGACCCACGTTTTTCTAATGATTTTAATATGGTGATTACCTATTAAATTACCAGACCCTATTTTCATGTATTGTGGGGGTGGGGTTGGGTGGGGCATGTTAACGTTCATGTGAACTGCATTAGCAGACATGGGCACTTTGCGAGCTTGGGTGGGGTGGCTGGGTCTAATAGCGTTCTTGCCCCTTGCCTTTCAAGAACGCATGGACCTTGCTCATGTCACTTTCAAGACGCACTTGATGCTACGATCTTAAACTTTATCATGTAACTTCTAAGATGCACTTGATGCTACGCTCTTAACTTTGTCATGTAACTTCTAAGTCTCAGTGCTCTTAACTTTATCGCGTACATGAAGATGTTGTTACGTCATTGGATTTGTTGCGTTGGATGTTGTCTTTCTATGTTTACTTGAATATTATGTAAACTGGATTGTTATGTTGGCGGTTGTCTTTCTATGACGACTTGAAGATAATATTTGGATTGTTGCGTTGGAATGGGGGGTCTCGCACTTCGGAAACTGTTCAAAGACATGGTGCCTGCAAACTTGCAGACGCTGGTCCGAACGAAAGTCAACCCACTGCTTATGACATACGTCAAACAATGGCAATGGAGACAGGTCGTGCCTCATAGGGATTTGCTAGACAAGACCAGCAAAACAATGCACAAAGACACAACGTGGTGACTGAATGCACGAAAACACAGGTTTTGGCACATTTGCTAACATAAATCATCACATTTATGAACTCCTTAGGACAACCTGTTTGACCTCACTGGTCAAGCGAAACTACTGGGGCTTTACCCGTGATAACCGGAGCTACTGACATCCTTCACACGTTTGAACGCAGATTTGGAGCTGAGGCCATCTGCTCCGTCTGCTCCTTCACCCTTAGGCAAGGAAGATTTGAAAAGCCAACACTTCAAAGCTGTGGTTTTGTCTGAAATTTGTGGGACAACCCCCATGATAGTTCTGGGTCTTCCGTACAAAAATTGCTATAACATGCTATAACTGGGGGTAAATACTGTACTCTGATGGCAAAGACCAAAGCACTGTGGCTTGAACCTGCAGGACTGTCACGACCGGCTGCGCCAAGCGCCGCTTCGCGCTTCAGCATTTGCCTCAGTGCAGAGACCTGTAAAGAAAGCAGAGAAACTTTGGGTCAGAAGTCTTTCAAATCTTGGATGTGTTGCATGAACAGGAAGCCGTGGAGATGCTGTGCTGTTGGACCCGAGGTGCAAGCCCTCCACCTGTGTATTGAGCTTGGAGACATGAGGAGATTGACATCCTGAGTGAGTCAAACTTCCGTGACAAACATCTAAAATCCAAAGCATTTGATCTCCGAGGCCCGCTGCCAGGCTGTGATTTGTTACGTGGTACTACCTTGCCTCGGTTTTGTGCATCTGGATGTAGCAACGAGTTGTAGCGAGCTTGTCTCTCTCTCTCTTTCGTCTCCAAAATGCATGTTGCCGTCCTTTACCCGTTGTGGTGTTTCCACTCTTCTTCACAAATGGCATCTTGTGCACTGCTTTTGGGTGATGACTTTGTTCTCTCGTCAGGCCAGGACCCCCTGCTCCGGCAGCACCTTCAGGCGGGATTTCAAGATTTTTGCATGGAGAACGTTTGAGATGAATCTGATGTGAATCATGGCATTTGGTCAAATCATTTCAGGTCATGATAGACTCTGAATGACACACAGCTCTTGCGAAAGTGGCTTCTGCAGTTTCAACATGTTTCAACATGCTCAGATTTTTCTGCAGGACTGTCACGACCGGCTGCGCCAAGCGCCGCTTCGCGCTTCAGCATTTGCCTCAGTGCAGAGACCTGTAAAGAAAGCAGAGAAACTTTGGGTCAGAAGTCTTTCAAATCTTGGATGTGTTGCATGAACAGGAAGCCGTGGAGATGCTGTGCTGTTGGACCCGAGGTGCAAGCCCTCCACCTGTGTATTGAGCTTGGAGACATGAGGAGATTGACATCCTGAGTGAGTCAAACTTCCGTGACAAACATCTAAAATCCAAAGCATTTGATCTCCGAGGCCCGCTGCCAGGCTGTGATTTGTTACGTGGTACTACCTTGCCTCGGTTTTGTGCATCTGGATGTAGCAACGAGTTGTAGCGAGCTTGTCTCTCTCTCTTTCCTCTCCAAAATGCATGTTGCCGTCCTTTACCCGTTGTGGTGTTTCCACTCTTCTTCACAAATGGCATCTTGTGCACTGCTTTTGGGTGATGACTTTGTTCTCTCGTCAGGCCAGGACCCCCTGCTCCGGCAGCACCTTCAGGCGGGATTTCAAGATTTTTGCATGGAGAACGTTTGAGATGAATCTGATGTGAATCATGGCATTTGGTTAAATCATTTCAGGTCATGATAGACTCTGAATGACACACAGCTCTTGCGAAAGTGGCTTCTGCAGTTTCAACATGTTTCAACATGCTCAGATTTTTCTGCAGGACTGTCACGACCGGCTGCGCCAAGCGCCGCTTCGCGCTTCAGTGCTAGCAGAGAACCACCTGCGTTAGGAACTCAGAAACTCCGATCCTGGAGGGTTCGCCACTTGCTGTCGTTGGTGGTAGAATTTAGGCCTGGCAGCAGGCAGGGAAGGGCTGCAGGGAAAGAGTCCATAGATCTGAGTTCGGATTGCAAGTTTGATGTTTTGCTCTCCAATCTAGAATTTGGAAGGAAGGGAAGGAGATAGACATGGTGGCCAAAGAAAGTATTGCAGAATCATTATTTCTTGGACACACAGCTTCAGCGACACCGTACCACTGATCCTTTTGGCAGGCAGGCTCCACCTGTACCTTACACGCCGACAGGCAGCCCTCGGGTAGCGCAGATGTGGATGGATTCTGATTCTAGGTCCAGCCAAGATAGGACCATCGGTAGAGTCATATTGACGCCACATATTGACGGATGGGAAGCAAATACCTCGCTCATTGCTGATGATTTACCACTTGTGAAGTTGAGTGACAGGTATGTCACGACCTGGTGCACCCGCCTCCCGATTCAGTGCGGGCCGAGATCCGCCTGCGTCAGGGCCATAGAATTTTGACTTAGAATTGATTTGGTGAATTTAATGTGATGATTCTGCTTGACATACTTGACATACTTGACTTCGAGAGCAGTACTGTAAGACTGCTTGACATTTCGAGAGTAATCTTGACTCTAAGACTCAGGCCTGGTGGAAGGCCGGAGGACTCCTGGAGTTTGAGATTATTTGAGATGACTTGGTATGATGCCATGTCTGTAACAATCAAAACCTGTCGGCATTGGAACTGTTTGGCGCGTCCTCCAAGCTTCCAAGTCCACAGTTCCACGGCCAGGCCCAGATTCTCGTCCAAGTGATGTTCGCTGCCCAAAGACATTGGCAGTTTGAGCAGAAGTGTTTTTTGACTGCATGAGACAAAGGCCTTCAATGAACCTGCAGGATGACTACATGAACATCATGAAACTATAAGACTTGTGTTTGCTGTTCTAGAAGGAAACAACAACATCCCTGCCCTTGTTGGACCAAGCGAACATAGAAACTGGGTTTTATAATTGAATGTCGTCAGCGCAGCAGAAATTCGAAGCCAATGATTCTTCAGATACCGCTGCCCTGCTGAAAGCGGGCCCTTCAGTGCTTCGTGCCTTAAAGCTCCAGGCATGGACGGAGAACAGAAAAGGAGCCCGACTTTTAAGATGTTCAAGACACACACACATAGCTTGCGGCCAGAACCTTCAGTTTTCCAATCTTGAATTGAAGATTGCGACGCCCTCTCCAGCAGGTTCCAATCAGGCAGTACTTAGAATGCATCTCTCTCAGATATGGTCATGTCATCAAATGCCACGGATCCGACAAGCAACGGTTTAGCTTTTCTTCAAACGAAATCTATGATTGTGAGACATTCATTTCCTTTTGGTACCATAGGCAGACTTCATCATTGCAGGTGCTTGTTCAGATGGACGACCGAAAAACCCTAATTTGGCATGTGCAAAACAAGACAAGGAAATGCAACACGGGCAGAAGCCTTACCTTGAAAGCAGCATTCGAACCAGAATCCTGTACTGTATAACTGTATAGTGTGGTAAACCCAATGTCATAAACGATTGCAAGTCATCACCATTTTTATGGCTGGTTGGTATAAACCATCCCTAAATAGTACGTACTTTAGGTTTATGACGGTTTATGGCATTGGCTTCCCACATTATAATCTTCAAAAATACAGCAAACTCTTGACGAAAAATCTCGCAGCTCCAGCTGCAAGCCTTTGGGGTGCCATGATCCCAGCAGCTTGGTAGTACTGGGAGGTTGTTCTTCGTGATTTCGGACAGGGACATCTTATTCCAATGTCCACACCACAAAAGATGGTTTCACGAGAAAAGATCTACGGTATAAGTTAGGCTGCACCACAAGTTCTGACAGGATTATAGGATGTATTGAGAAGGGATTGAGGGTTTGGTTTTCTTTTTTCTTCTCTTCAATCTTGCACCGGGAAAGGTTTCCCATGCGACCTCTCTACGTCTCAAAGCTCCGCACCCCACCAATGGCACCTACCATCGCTCGTGGTGAGGTATCTGAGCCACGATGCCTTTCCAGAAGGTCAGGTGTTCCGATATGTTGGACGTAGAAAGACTTTGTATGTGCGAAGGCGTCTAAAAATCACTGCAGGGCCGGAAGGTGTACAACACTTGTACACCCGAGTTTTGTTTATCAACAACTTCAGCCACGAATCATTGGTACTCAAGGACCATATCATACCATATCGACATATCCACACGTGCCTCGAATTTGGCTTCAGCATCACTTTTGATGCAGGCCGCGAGTGAGCGTGCACGCCCAAGCGGTCAGGAAGGTCTCAGCTCACCCTCTCCCAGAATTCGGGTATTCCAAACAGGTGTGATTTTCTGAGAAGAGAGTATATATAAATATGTATACATATACATATATATAATATAATTTGTTGTGTTTTGTGTTTCCGGTGATGTATTTTCGGTACCAGTTCTTTCACTTTGACTCAGGTGCTGATCGTGGCTCTTGTCCTCACCTACCTCGAGGACAGGGAATGAGTCCACTTCATTTCAGACGATGTGTTGCCAGCAGCGGCAGTAGGTTCAATGCTTTGTTGCCTCCAGAGTATCTTTGTGAGATGCCCAGAAAAGCATGATGACAGAGTTCAAACATAGAGGATACCGGCCATTGAGTTTCAGGGGAACATGATGATAAACCATGAAAAAACATGATAAACCAGGGAATTGGGAGCCCATCCGCTGGCGTTGCCATCATAAAATGGAGAGCTCCGATGAAGTCCAGGAATTTTGGTACCTTGGGGCCTTTGGATAAGCTTTGGTACCCGAGCGTTTACAGTAGACATCAGTAGACTGATTCATACTTCAGATATGGCAAAAGTTCATTACTCAATGGATTGGTTTAAGGGAAAATCTACAGGAAACCATAGATTTTCCCATCAAATATGGGGCTTTCCTGTAAAGTGTCCCTTAAACCAATCCATTGAATTGCAGTTCCTAGGAGAAATTTCAGCTTTCTCCAAATATGTCCACTCGAAGTGGCACGGGGATGTAGATGAAATCTGGCAGCTGGAGCAATCTGGACGTGTCGTGGGATCCGCATTGAGGTGGTCAGGTGGCTGGTCCTTAGGTTTGGAGCTGAGAAGCATGAGAAGCTCGCTGATTTGCTCATCATTTGGGGCTCGACATCCTATGTTAGTATATGGGGGTTTCCATAAATGGGGATACCCCAAAATGGATGGTTTATAAGGGAAAATCCTATTAAAATAGATGATTTAGGGGTACCCTCATTTATGGAACCCCCCATATATGTAGATGGCAATACCATGCAATACCTATCCTTCAATATCCACAAGTAAATGGCAACATAATTCCTACCCTGTAACAATTAACAGCCGCAAGATCAGTGGTAACACACGATCAGCCAGGCCGTACAGGCACGACTTGGTTGCTGCGAAGAGCCACGAAAGGTGCGAGAAGTGAGGATCAAGGAGATATGAACCATGGATAGCCCTGCTCACTGGTCCAAAGATGGCAATTTAGCGGATGATAGATATGATAGGACATAAACATAGATCATGAAATAGATCATGAATGGGATATCCAAGATATCCACTATCTATATCCATGGGATACATTATCATCCACTGTTTCAATGGGATCCCTGCAGGTGAGCTGGAGGCCATGAAGCTGACGGATCTCAAGGGGATTTGTAGATCCAATTCGCTGCCGGTCAGTGGGACCAAGGCGCCAGCCATTTTTGGACCTGTTTGGCTTGAAACTTCTCAGACCTCAGTAGCTGTTTCCTGGGTTTCCCTCCTGGTCGATTGCCAAGACGTCACTCCTATCAAAGGGAAATTGCTCAGGCGCAGCTTGTCGAGAGAATTTTGGCTGAAGAGGTGCCACCACGGAGCATTAGAGCGAATGAACTTATAGGACGCTTAAGACGCTTAAGCAGCTTGAGATGGACATTCTTGGTCTAGACCTGGACCTTCCATCACTGAGCTAAATGTTGAGGACTCGAACCTAGAGGATGATGAAGAGGAGGATGAGGATGAGCCAGAGAAGGTCACTGCGAAAGCAGCTCCTGCGTGGCACCGGCAACTTGTGCTGAACTGTGCTTCCTGTTGCGATGTTGAAAGATGTTGAAAGGACATTTTGGCATTCATCCCAATTCATCCCCTGCCAGACCTGCCAGACCAAAACCTGGGAGCAGGGAGCCCGGCCATGAAATGTTTCCAGGTTGCACAGTCGCCAGCGATCTCAAGCGACCTCGTATTTTGCTGAGGTACAACCCCTTCAGGGTACATAGAGGAGACAGAGATTTCTGGCCCCAAGGGCAAACCCATCATTGCAGGCTTCCTTCATAACTTGTTGCGCGTCTGCTTCAAGACTGTTTGTCGAATTGACCTGATCCACAGACAGTTGGACAGGATAGTATTTAGGATGACTCCATGCAGGTTGGGGTAATTCTCGGATTAGGCTTTCGCTATTAGATTGCATGTGGATATATATATATATATAAATATGTATACATAATATGTATTTATATAATGTAGCATTTATAACATCTAATTGAAATGCTCGAACTTGAGGCTAATCTCGAACATTCACCAGTCATATGAGAGTTTCTCTTGCGGTCACGGGGTTGGCCGTCTCATTCTGGACCTGGCAGGTGATACAATTTACCTCTTGGCGCGGACAGGGAAGTACCTGGAGTATCCTGAGCACCGCGAGGAACAGTGTGCCTTTGGGGGTAGGTTGCACAAATACTGCCCTGATTTGGGTGTAGGCTTGCTTTTTCACGTGCTACTCCAGATTTCCTCGAAAGTGGAACGCACACAAACACAAGTATGCAGACAGAGACGTTCATTGCCCAGCTATTGCGGTCACAATAAGAAGCTATGATTATGAGACGCCATGGCCGCCTCAACTACGCTACCCGGCGTCTCATAATCATAGAAACCGCCATGGGAGACCCTTGAGCCTTTTGCCTTCCCTTGTTTGCAGGATCCTCGAGCACGCGCAGTGATCAAGGGCACGCGACAGGCAGGGGTTACGTCTACCAACATGTCTTAGAAAATAAGATATATACATAAAGATTCGGCAGGGGAGTTGATATCGCAGTGAGGTCCTGATACAAGGCCACAACTTCCAAGTTCTCCGTTTGGCTCTGGACCAGGCACTAGAGATCCAAAAGAAAGGAGGCCAGATCGAAGTTCAGTGGATGGCTCCATAATTCGAGAGTCCGACATTTTGGCAGTCACGGATTCAGCCAAAATGGACACTGGGTATATGGACCAAACTGCAGGTATTCAAATGGCCTTGCAGTTATATTCAGGCAATTCTTATTGGATCTTTGAAGCCTTGCAGCAAATGCAACCGCCAGGTGGTGCCATCCAGTCAGGTGGGAGCTGTGTTCATGTGGTGAAGGCCGGCCGTTCAAACTTTGGCGAAAGGAGACACCATCTCCCTAAGATGCCATCTTGGCGTGCGCACCTCGTTGGATTTCTTACAGCACCGTGTCGTTTGTTTATTGAAGCCTTACCGCTTCACCTGAGGTATATTTGGACTTTCAGGGAACTGCAGTTCGCGTCACGGGCCCCAAAAGATTCACAAAAGATTGTGGCTTCGAGAACTGCCTGCGGATAAGCGACGCATTTGTCACCACTGAGGCTCGGAAAAGTGAAGCGGGAGAGTGGCAACAGATCAGGACGCTTTGTCGTGTTGCAGACTGGGAGTGCTGCAGTGGCAAAACAAAATGAACACAGAAATCAGAAGATGCGGAACACAAGGCAACAGATCAAGCAGTTGAGTCAAGAGTTGACAGATCATTGGAGGTGTGTCAAATGTAGCTGGATTTTTTTGCATCTTAGAGATTCTGAGACAGCATTAAGAAGGTATTGATTTCTTTTTGTCTGGAACTTTGAGCCATCTGCACTCGGTAGACTCAATGAAGGATCACCAACGAAGACCACGAGGGATCCATTCGCACAGGAGTGGCTTTTGATACACAGGGGCCTAAAGTGATGCGTAGCATTGCGTAGCTGTGTAGCTGTGAGAGTGGTTTGAAGATTGTCCCATTGATTTAACATGATTTAACATGATTTAACCATTTTTAACCACTATTGCTAAGCTGCTATGGTTTGAAGATCAGGCGACGTGATCTTTCTACGCGGGCACCAGGACAACGTGCTCGATGCAAGGGACCCAAGGGACCCAAGGGACCCAAGGGACCCAAGGGACCCAAGGGACCCAAGGGACCCAAGGGACCCAGGACAGGAGGAAACACCGGAACCCATGGACATCGGGCACCACGTCGTTGTGTGGCGGTTGAATATAGATATAGATATATGTAGTTGAATGGAAAATTGAAGATGTACAGCATCCAATGGTTTTTTGTGTTTTGATAATGTTAGTTAATAGAGAGGGTTCTCCTGGCCAGTTTTCATCTCCGGAATCCCATGGTGCCAAGGTAGAGAAGGAGAATGTCAAGTGCAGATGGCTGGGTTGGCTCAGATTTTCAGAAGAGAAGGAAAGATCTGGGTGCCAACACTGTTGATGCGATTTTCTTCGGCTAGCATGGTGAATACATGTGAATACCGCACGCCCAACTGTGGTAAAATTCAAATAATATAGCCTGACTTGTCAACGGACAAGCGCAGCATCAGTTCAGACTTGACACATGCCTGGAAACCCTTGCATAGTACAGATAGCTTGGCAGTCAAACAGCTCCATTCTGATGCCTTTTTCTGTAGTGAAATATGGTTTGAATCAGTTTAAGTTCGATCTGGGTAAGCCATGGTGCACCGCGACAAGCTCGAAACCTTGTATCTCCAAGGCCAGATGAAGGGAAATGGCAGCGTTTGGTCATTGAAAAATGAGATGCTGAGACCGCTGCGACCGGAATGATTTCGTTTGGGCCCATGGGATCAAGCTTCGTAAGCTCAATGTGAAAGTCTGGGCTGATGGGTGTACAAAAAGCTCCTGGAAAGGATCGACTCTCCGACTCTCGATTAGATCAAAAAGGACGCTGCTGCACACTGAAAGATCTGGAGAACTTCGAAAACCAGCATAAACCAGCTATCTCTGACATGGTCACCGACGGTCTCATTTTCCAGCTGGGATTCCGGACTGCTGCCTCTGAATTCCCGATGGCTCAAGGCATTCAAGGCATGTCTTGGTCGCTTCGACCGAAGCGGCGCCAAAGATGCTGCCCATATACGTGATGACTCTACCAATGCCGATTTATGTGACCCGGCTGTGACTGTAAGCGCCATGTTTCATTTTTGTAGACTTGTAAAGGCCTTGGTTTTTGATGCAAGAGGTGTCATACTGTGTAATCACCTGGCCAGCGTGTTTTTCTTGGTCATGTGTCTGTTTTTGATTGTTTTTGGGTGTTTTTGGTAGTTAATCTTAATCCTAGTTTTTCCCTTCAGAAAGTTGTGTCCCAAAATTGGAGCCAAACATATCATTTGTGGCTTGGGCGATGCCAAGGAAACGGCAGCTGTGTTGGTTGCAGCATTCATGGCCTTGGCTGCTAGGACGCTGTGCCTTGGCCATTCCAGGGAATGATCCGGTGCCAAAGAGCTGCTGGCATGACAAGACCGGAAAGTCTTCCGTAAGTGCACAAGGGAGGGCAGTTTGCACAGGTAAATTATAATATAATATAATATACAGTATATGTAAATGATATATGTATTTGATTGTATTTGTAGACACCACCATACAGAGCGTTAAGAATTTGCAGCTCAGGAGTTGACATGGGTCCTTCAACTGGGTGAGTTTTACTTGAGAAACCAGCAGCAATTCTGCCCAGGTGCACTGGTGCCAAGGTCTGACAGGGCGGGTCGCGCAGTCGATTCATTGGGAAACCCATCGATTCCATGTCCAGTCGCCGTCGCCAGGATCGCCCAGTCGCAGTTTCGAGGTTCGGTCCGACACCGTTCCATTTGTTGTTCCGTGGTCAGAACAAAAATTGGATTTGGACCATGAAAGTGAGAAAAAGTAAATTGTACAGCTTGTACCGACCATGGATCCATACTCAGTGGTCCTTTTATCTCAGTCATGTGAATGATTTCATATCCAAGAACGACATGGTTTCAATCGCGCTGTACCATGTCTAGACATGATCGTGTGAGTTTTGATCTGGAACGGTTTTCTTAGTTTCTTGTTACGTGCGAGCAAGGATGATAGGTGCTGACGATCACCATACTAGAAGACAACGCGGTGTGATGCTCAGAAAACACGCAGGTAGCACGGCAGGTAGTACAATTGTGGGACAGGGCAGGCCCTGTATCGAATGTAGCATCTGAAGCTCGCTTGATAAGTTGAGAGATAAAAGGGAGCCAGGCAGTGAAATCATGATATATCATGATATCATGGTTGCTTCGAACCTTTACAGCTTGAATTTCCGCAACTTATTTGGTGACCACCTGGTGTTTTTGACGGGGATTTCAGTGGATTTCAGTGAGGTGCTCGCAGTCTTCAAGTCTTGGACGATCGCTCATGGGAGGTGCGACGGAGACGACGAGTGGAAGACTGTGGTATTTCTTAGGCGAATGGATATCACAATTAAATACGATCATCATGGATATTGGATTACGGATAAGAATGGCAACCGATGATAATGGGCCCAAATGGATACTACTGTAGTGGATTATCAAAATTCAAATGGATAATGGATGATAAATCAATGATAATGGTGTCTCATTCACTTTTTTCCTCTGCAAGTTATTGTCCGCGAATCTGAATGCAATGAGGGTGGAGTCTCTGGACGACAACTTCACAGTTTGTCTCACCAACGGTATGGCAAAGGACATGAGCAACATCTGAGATCCTCCGTTTATTGGAGGTTGTCTACACTACAATCCAAGATCGATGCGAAATCAATCACGACCTGGGAAAAAAAACATTGCATCCCAAGCTGGTTCCAGAATCTTCATGAAACCATGCAGCTTTTTGGTATTCGATTTTCATCTCCCATGTCATCCATGTCTCCTGAGGTAGCAATGAGCCTCGCAGAACGGGCTTCGCTTCATGCAGTTTCTTGGATGCGATCGAAAAACCGACCTGCGAGGGTTGGAACCGGTTGGAACCGGTTGGAACCCGCCTGGGCGGCTTCCGTGAGGCCATTGCGCAGGAGATGAAGGCACTGTGCTGGGTCAAAGTATCGGTCCATTGGGGAAGGGGAAGGGGCGGAAGGGGCGGAAGGGGCGGAAGGGGCGGAAGGGGCGGAAGGGGATCCCGAAATTGGCTGTTTTTTGAAGTGGAACATGATGCACCATTGGATTTGGGGGTGCATGTTAGTTTTCAGACAAACCCACATGTCGAAATGGTCAGAACCTTGAAGCTGCTGAAATCGAGCAATTTGCTTGGGGATGACCCACCCCCAAGCCTTGCGGGAGGCCTTGCGATCGAAACCAGCATCAACAGCTTCTCAGAGCATGGTGCTGTATGTTCCAGCATGTTCCAACATTGGGGTATGCTCCTGCGGTTGGTTTCCCCACTGTTTTGAAACAATTCATTTTGGTGGATTTTGCGGGTTTAGACATTTTGGGTACAGCCGCAGTCAGACCCAGAGTTGGCTGGTAGCCAATTTTTAACCCATATCCATGGAGATCCAACTCTACTGAATATTGATTTGTTGGGTCCACCAATGATGACAACTCACAGATTCGGTCTATGGTATGCCACTAGTTGTCCTCCAGAAACTTCCAATATTCAGTGCAGAAGCATTGGCAGATACCAAATTAGGTTGAATCATACGAAGCGCCTGCGTACATCAGCAAGCCATTCGAACCTTTTGTTTTCTGGCAAAGGCCATTGGCATCCATCAGCACTTGCAGCAGGATTGGGACAATTCGGTCAGAGTGAACTTCTCGTGTCTTTCTGTTGACATGAGGATGCGTCTGCACAATCTTTAGATGAACATGAATTGACCAGCTATTTTGGTGTTCAGCAGGCTGCTTTTGGGCGAAGGGATTGAAGGGATTGTCAATGGGTTGGTTGAATGGAAAATCCGCAGGAAAATATGTTTTTTTTGGCCATCAAAGGCTTTTCCTGTAGATTTTGCCTTAAACCAATCAATTGAGGTTGAAGGTGATTTTTGCTGCACAGTGACTAGCTGGGCCTCTGATCCCAGGAATTTCCTCGAAATGGTCAGGACGAGTTGCCCAGATCTCAGTTTCGATGGCCTCATTGCAGGTGTTGGAGATCAAATTGTGGACAGGTGAAGACCTTTTTTTTGAATGGGGGCCCCAACAAGCCCACAAGATTCCCTTCAACAAAGGCATATTATCTTGTTTTCTTTGTTTTTCTTCAGGTCTTCACATTTCAGCCGCACACCATCTTTCTCAGGCTGCGAGGTACTGTCTCTGATGCTGATGTGCAAGCTTATGCAGCAGGCAGATTTGGGGTGTTTCATTCAAGTCGTTTGGCCTCAAAATGCTCAAAACTATGATGCGTCCACCAGCCCCGTCAGTCTGAAGCTTCATATTTGGGTCCCCTGTTGCACAACCGGGGAACCCGGTATGGACAAAGCTTGTTGACATGCGAATGTCGGAAGGAGAGAAGTAAAATGGCCACGCATGTTTACCAAAGATTCAATTTCATATCGGTTTGCCGCAAGCCCAAACAGATAGACACGTATTTGCCACTATTTTGGAAGGGAATGGAAGAGATTTGCCTTTTTCTCTTTTGGGGTTACACCAGAGAGTAGTATACACAGATTTAGGCAAGCAGACATGATTGCTAGGTCGCTAGGTTCTTGATATTTCCGACAGATGTGACTTTTCAGATCCAGTCTGCAATGCCTTCGCACTGTAGAGGCTTCGAGTAGTGAGTTGGCTCCAGACTCTTTATTTCTAGCAGGGCATAGGCGAGGAGTGCCATGCCTGAGTGGGCGGTGGCCATGCCATTGTGATATATTGTGACGCAGAAATTGGTAGTGGCAGTGATCGCTTTCAAAGTCCTCCCCAAGAGAATATGCATAAGTATACGTATGCACATATATATATATATGATACATATGTATATATATAAATTTAAATATGTATATATATATACATACATGATATACACATATATGTATATAGTGTATAATATTATATGTGCTTATTATCATGTTCCTGCCGAAACGCCATATTGCAGACCGGCCACTCTGAACTGATTGGGCTTGGACCCTTGGAATACTGCGTAACTTGGAACGGATACCTGTAAAGACCGTTCGGTGTTTCGTGTCACCCAAAAAAGGATGCAATTGATCATCCCTGTATTGTAGCCAGATAAAAGTTTCGAGGTGCCTTCCTCCAACCTCCAGTTGCAACAATGTGTTCCAGTTGAACATGTGCCGACCAAGACCTTCAGATAAAGTTATGAAAGTGACAGTCTGATGTTTCTCCAGCACCTGGAGGGGAATTGTACACATGGCGCCCTTAGCCATCCAGCAGCTCAAAGGCTTGCGTAACCGAATATGCTACTTTCAACTTCATGCTGAGCAACCCAAGCGCCTTTCGCACTTCAATGAAGACACGCGTTATATCTGAAAACTGAAAACTGGGGAAGAAACGTGTTGAGGTGGGATGTGACAATGGACTCTAAAGTTTCACAAGGTCACCAGGTCCATGTCCAGCGATGTTATAACGTTCTTTGTTGAAGAGAACGCTTTGGGCTCAGATTTAAAGTAGCAATGCGAGCGGATCGCGGTATGACAAGCGAGCGATTCAGCGATTGCTGGAATGCAGGTTGGAGGTTCTGTTGGAACCAACTCCAGCATATTTCTTTGGACACCTTCGGATCCATTCAGAACTACCGTACTGACCATTGCGGCAATTGTTTATTTCAATTTGCTCGGTTTGGTTTCTTCTCCCTTTACAGCCAGGTCAATATGTTACACCGTTTGGGGGGCCTCCCCCGGATGTGATTTTTTTAAATCCCTATTTCTGCAAAAGAAACATATGATACCATGCGGGACCCATGTCACATTGTTTCAGAGCTGAACTCTGCTGCCAAATGTTTGGACATCCTGCTGCCTTTGTTTTGGTATTTCATCCTCTGGTTTATCATTCTTTTCCCCATCAAAATGAGTATGGGTTAGAACCTACGAGCATGATTTCGTTTTGGGATGAACGCCCATTTACCAGCTATTGTTGACCCATAGCCACTGAAAATTAGGGTTCCCGAGAGATAACCCGATCGCTAGTTGCTGGACGCAGCCGTCATCACCAGAAACGAGTGATGGAGCAATGGACCAACAAAGATTATAACAGCGGTATTTGTTTATGACGTGGTGTATCGTGGTGTTGGGATAGATGTTGAGACCTTCGATACCTAGAAACAATGAAGTTCCGAAGTCCAATGGGATGCACGCCGCACTGTGAGATGAAATTTCTCGACCTCGAAATGATGGAAGTTTGGCACAATTCGCCTGGAAAAGAAGCAGAACCACCTCCTGTCAAAGTTGCAAAACTCATAGAATCAGTACTCATTGTTCAATGAAGTTTAGAAGTCAAACTTCCGACAATATGGACAGATGAAAAAGCAGAGGTGGGCAGAGTCAGAGAAGAGAAGAGCAGAAGAGAGAAGATCAGAGAAGAGAAAGAGAAAGAGGAAAGAAGATGCAAGTGCCCGAAAAGGTTGCAAAGTCGCGAAACACTGTTTTTCCAATGATTTGTGGCTCCGGAGGGTCGAAAAGTAGGCTCGCTAAAGCGGCGGGTGGTGAGCCATCTGGCCAGATGAGAGATAAAAAATTGCACGCCGTTGTGGCGCAAAGCACATTTGCAAGTGAAAAGCTAAAAACACTTCACGTTCGGAGCACACTTGGAAGTTGAGTGAGATGTTGAACAAGTGTACGCCGATGTTGCGCGAAGCGCCTTTCTTTCCAAGTCAAAATGTACAAAGCACACCATGCTCGGACCACATTTGGAAGTTGACGTGTCGAAAAAGTGTGCGCCGTCGTGGCGCGAAGCACGCTTCGAAGTCAAAAGTGTAAAAAACTGACGGGCTCGGAGCACTTTTGGACGTTGAGATGTGCTTTCGCGTGGCAGGCGCAAGGGATTGCAAAAGTGAGCAAAACGTGAGGGTTTTGTAGCATGTCCAAAACAATGGCAGGCGTGGGGCATTTGAAGAGGGTCCGTAAAGATGCATTTTCCGTGACAGGCGCAGTACAAGAGACATGTTCATCAGAGATGTTCGGAGGTCAGGGCGCTGATTTCCTGAGAGGGGTTGCATTTTGGAGCATGAGATCTTCAAGTTTGCTAAGATGATTTTGCGTGACAGGTGCAACTTTGTATGACCTGGCTTCACTTTTTCGTGGCAGGCGCAATGCTTTAGAGGGATGGAATGGAAAAATCGCAAAACGCATTGGTACCAGGCTACCAGGCCGTCAGCTCTTCAGAATTGCTTTGTCTTTGAAGTTATCAAGTTCAAAAGTTGAGGGAGGAAGTCTCGCACAATTGCTTCGTTTTTGGCGTTGGATCACAAACTGAGGAAATGTCGCAGAATAATTAGCTTCGGTTTCAAGCTTGCAGATAGACAGATAGACCGATAGATAGATTGATAGACAACTACAACTACAACAACATTACACTACGCTACGCCACACTACGCAACACCACACCGCACCACATCACACCACACCACACTACACTACAGTACACTAACTACAGCTACAGCTACAGCTACAACTCCAACTACGCTACTTTACACTACTTTACACTACTTCACACTACTATACACTATTTTACACTACTTTACACTACTTTACACTACTTTACACTACTTTACACTACTTTACACTACTTTACACTACTTTACACTACTTTACACTACTTTACTTTACACTACTTTACACTACTTTACACTACTTTACACTACTTTACACTACACTACTTTACACTACTTTACACTACTTTACACTACTTTACACTACTTTACACTACTTTACACTACTTTACACTACTTTACACTACTTTACACTACTTTACACTACTTTACACTACTTTACACTACTTTACACTACTGTACACTACTTTACACTACTTTACACTACTTTACACTACTACTTTACACTACTTTACACTACTTTTACACTACTTTACACTACTTTACACTACTTTACACTACTTTACACTACTTTACACTACTTTACACTACTTTACACTACTTTACACTACTTTACACTACTTTACACTACTTTACACTACTTTACACTACTTTACACTACTTTACACTACTTTACACTACTTTACACTACTTTACACTACTTTACAGTACTTTACACTACTTTACACTACTTTACACTACTTTACACTACTTTACACTACTTTACACTACTTTACACTACACTACACGACACGACGCGACACGACACGACACGACACGACACTACACTACACTACGCCAGACTACACTAGACTACACTACCCTACATTACATTACACTACACCCATTACACCACCACAAATGCAATTGCAACTGCGCTGCACTAATTGCACTACACCAATTACATTACGCCACAACTACAGCTCCACTACACAACAATACATCCAGCAGTTGTGGGTGAGGTGACTGACCAACCTCTCCTATAGGTTTCCTATTTTTGAAACTTCCTCCACCGCCTTGTGCGGTACTACTGGTATACACTAATGTACAGTGACCCTTCAGGACCTCATCAGAGACGATGATACTACAGGTGTAAAACGGGTCTTGGATTCACTAAAACAATCCACATCCATGTCACGCATCCGGGCAGGCTTTATCGACACTGGAAGCTCGTTTTTTTTTTTTTTTTCGCGAACTTGCTGTGGTGACGAAGTGACCATGTCCTTTTTTTGTGGTCCAAGTGTAAGAGAACACAGTCATGAGAATATCATGGGAAAGACTTGATCAACCCTCTGAACATCACCTGTTCATGAAGACTCTTTACAGTAGACCCGGCTCGCATCCCTCACATCCCTCGCATCCTTTAGCTTTAAATATCTCGTGAATGGTTTCCAAGCAGGGGAAGGCTCACCAGAAACACCCAAGAAATTCGCATCCAACTTCTCGCGCGCTGGAACTCATGGCCGCGCCCAAAATATGCTCTGAATGCGCTGGATTCGCATCAGAAGGTACTGCACTTGCCTGGCGGCATTGCTTGGCCTCACTTCGGCCACCCTTCCGACTGCTCCGACTGCCCCGGCTTCAGCTTCTTCAGCAGCTTCCGCGCCTTCACGGGGGCTGCAGATCTTCGATCCATTTGTAACGTCCACACTTCCAGTAGGGACTGGCATCAGTGTTCAACTTCCAGGAAGTAAAACAGCTTCTGGAGTTGACAGTGGCCAGCTAGACCTGCTGGTGGGCGAAGTTCTCTTGGGTATCTCGTTGAGCCTTCCTCAAGGATATTTCTTTAATGTTGATCAAGCGCGTGTGCGCATTGTTTTTGCTTATCTCACCCAGTCAGAAGCTCGAAGTGGTGAATGTGCGCCCGATCAACTCGGACCTGTGAGCAATCAGGTGGTGCAATCTCCGCTTTCAGCACGCTTCGGCGCAGCTGCAGAACAAGCACTTGGAACTACCACAGTAAATGTGAACCTGGCAGATGGTGTCACATTCATCAAAGGAGGAGACTATCGTCTTTGCTTTAGTGATGATGGATCCTTCGCAGCAGGTCATGCCGATCTGTTGAATGTTCTCATTCGAGTTGACGCCTTTGTGACAACTCGTCTTCCAGCTGGTAGCGGTGTTACCTTCGTCTTCAGCGACGGTGAGGAACAAAGTGCCAATGATGGAGAGAATATCACAGTGAGCGCTGGCGAGCCAATTGTCCGCATCTCTTTGCAGCTACCGGTACTTTCCATTTTTGATGCCAGCAATGTTCGGCTGAAAGCCATCAATGCTTCAGTTACCAGACAGGAGGTTTTGGACGGAGCCTGTGCTCCCGGGACTTTATTGGAGCTCAATACGCAGGTGTTGGACTCACCACTCTCTGATTCCTTTGGTGTTGAAACCCTTCACTCCAAGGGTACATATGTGGCCAACACTTCATGGGCACTGCCTGTTCGCTTTAACTCTGCGGGACGAGTTCGGCTGTGCTACTCGGATGATGGCAGTTTTTCGACTGGCCATGTGGATCTCATCAGCGTGGTCGTCACAGCGGAAGGGATTTTCAGTTGCGAGGCCGGGAGGTTGAAAAGTATGGAAAAGTGAAAACGGGGAATCGCGGGGAATCTATGAAACTGGCGCTGTACACGGCTTTACCATTTTTCACTCTTAACTAAAGAATGGGACCAACACCAGTACAATTTAATACGATCTATATCGAAAAATCTATAAGCATCGAACTCAAAAAATGCGCGCTGTTTTGGTTTTGAAATCCAAGGTGCTTGCACTGAACCTACATGAAGTTGTTGGTGTTGAGAATGGCTTGATACAAAGCACACCCATTGAAAGCAAGTCACAGTGATACACATCTCTGGTCTAGATTGAGAACTCACTCACAATGGTAGACTGGGTTTGCTCTTTGCTTAAATCGTTTTTTTTTTTCCGAATATCATACACAAACGCTATTTTTTCAGGGCTTATGCCCAACAGCCGGCCAGGGGCCCACCCATGGGGAATGAGGAAGGGGGAAAAGAAAACCAAAGAAAAGGTAAGAAGGAACGGGCCAGACAGTGGAGTAATGGGTGGTTGGGGGTTGTTGTGGTTGTGGTTGTGGTTGTGGTTGTGGTTGTGGTTGTGGTGGTTGTGGTGGTTGTTGTGGTTGTGGTGGTTGTTGTGGTTGTGGTTGTGGTGGTTGTGATTGTGATTGTGGTTGTGGTTGTGGTTGTGGTTGCGGTTGGGGTTGGGGTTGGGGTTGGGGTTGCGGTTGGGGTTGGGGTTGGCTTTGGGGGGTTGTGGTTGTGGTTGTGGTTGTTGTTGTTGTTGTTGTTGTGGTGGTGGTGGTGGTGGTGTTGTTGTTGGTGTTGGTGTTGGTGTTGGTGTTGGGCCGTCTTGGGGCAATGTTGGGCCGTCTTGAGGCTATGTTGGGCCCATCTTGAGGCCAGGTTGCAGCTATGTGGGGCCATCTTGAACGATGGTGGGGCTATGATGTATGTTGGGCCTATGTTGGCCCATGTTGAGCCATCTTGGGAGCTATGTTGGGGCTATGTTTGGGCCATCTATGGTCCGAATATTGTGGCCGTGCGACCTCCAAAAAAAGGTCGGTGTCGCCACACCGAAACAGAATGCCACTGAAGGCTGGAAGGTGCCTTTGGCTTGAGGCGGCTCCTGCCTAACGTTGCTTTCTGAAGCGACTTGAAACTGGCTCCAAATTGTCGCGGTCCGACAGCCAAAAAAAGGGTGGTGTCGCCACACCGAAAGAGAGCGCCAGTGAAGGCCGGAAGGTGCCTTTGGCTTGCGGCGGGTCCTGCCTAACGTTGCTTTTTGAACCGACAAAAAATTAAAAAAATAGCTTCCGCCACACCGAAAAACAATGCAACTAAAAGACGGACGAGGCCTTCAGCCCGCGGCTGCCTGTGCTTGAGGCTTGCTTGCTTTCTTTCTCCTTGCCCCGCTCTTATGCTCCTGGTTTTCTTTCGCATTTCCTTTCCTTTTTTCTGTTGCCCATTGCTTCTGCTTGCTGGCTTGCTTCCTGCTCTTGCACCTTACTTTCTTCCCTCTTTGCCGTTGCTTGTTCTTGCAGCTTGTTCTTTCTTTCCTCTGCTGCTTGCTCTTTCTGCTTGCTCCGACTTGCTTGCCCCTTGCTGCTTGTAATGTCTTCTCTGACGCGCTCCCCCTGCTGCAAGCGGGGTCGGCGGATACGCATATACCAATAAATCTCGCGACTGAATAATAGTTGATACAAGGCATAGGTATGAAACAAAATACGCATCGGTACAAATTTTGGACACGACTCATACCACATGCTGAGGAAGTCGGCTGTTTGGCAGCGCGCACCTTCCGCTGCCATGCTTTGCTTGGAATCCCATCAGCACTGGGGAGCTGCGAAGTGCCAATCTTGGGAGTCTTGGGATCTTTTGGCTACATTTCCTGGTCAGAAAGAATAGATGGCGTCTACAGCGGAAATGGGGAGCCTCTTCCATTCCACGTGCCCCTTTGCTCGGCTTCGGTGGCTGACCCCAATGCATTTTGTGTGGCGGATTGCGAAGGTGCAAGTGGTTTTTGTTTTTTTACCATTTGGTAATCAAACATGCTGCTAATTGAAATTTATAGATTTTTATAGGTTATTTTACCGATGTATAAAGGATTTTACCATTAATTGCCATGTTTACTTGCTGCAGGCATATATTTTTTAATCATCAAATGTATGCGATGAAGTGAGTCAGAATGCAGCAGTTTCACAGTTTCACACCTGCAACCCCAGCATGTTAGAACCTTTGATAGTGAAACAGTAAAAGAGATGCAGGGATTGAGATGGTGCTCTCCATGGATGAACCTGTGCAGGTAACCGATCCTTTTCATTGAACTCTGCGGTCAGTGTAGTAATGCCTCCGACGGCACCCTTGCCTATCGCCCGTGAAGCTCGGACCACTGCTGTGTGCTACTGTACTGGGCTGAACGGATGTGACATGGAGACAGGCCGAAGGAATTTTTTCCAGCCGCTTGGGCTGGTGCAACTCTTCACTGCATCAGTGATGCCCATTGGTGAGTTTGCATGTGCAACTTCGTCCTCCGGAATTTTGGCCTCCATCCCCTTTGGCGCTTGTGTCTTTTGTCCAGCTGGAGGATGTCCCTTTGAGGGAGCTTCCCGCATTCTGTTCACGCGGCAGCCAGCCCCATGGAATGCCCAAGCATTCCCAGCCTGGCATCCGCAGCACCGTTGCCGCGATGCTGTGCACGAAGCGTTTCTCTTGCCCGAAGCATCCATTGCAGCACTACTCGATGGTGGGCCCCGAAGTGATTTGAAACGCTTTCGCCCCACTGAGGGATACACCCTCCCGAACTGGCCCACTTTTGTACCACGGGGAAATTGGCTGGACATTTGCTTCAACCCTGATGTCAACAGTAATGAAACCGATTGGTTCAAGGTGGGCGAGGTGGCCGTCCTTGACGCCTCACTTGGTTCATCATCAACTGTGCCCAGCTATATTGGGTCGACTCCACCCAAACAGGTGGGTCAAGTCGGGCAGATTTCCATGTCCAGGTCACTTCTTCCATATCGAAATCCCGAAAATGTGGTGGGGCTGACCACAGGAGGAGGTATCCGTTTGGCCGAATTTGTGATCACTGAGGATAGCTCTACCAGAGAAGCCTGTGAAAAAAGTCGGCCCTTGCAAGTCACTGGTTTGACCCGCGCCAATGCATCGGAATACTCTGGTACAGTTCGTGGAGATGTGGTTGTCTTTGATGGTGGCGTTCTTGGCAAGAGTATCTCCTTTCCCACAGTGGGCACTGCAGTGGTTTGCTACTGTCCCAACTTGGGAGGTTTGGATGAATTTGGGGAACAGACGTGCCTGGGAAGTCCATACTGGGTTCCTGTCGGTGCCATCGTGATCGCCGGGCCCTTGCCAAATCAATACTGGCTACTACCAACCTTGAAGACTTTCCGCTTCGAGTATTTGGGACTGAACTTGGAGGATGGTGACATGCTCCGCCTGATTCTGGAAAGTGGGAGTTGTACCGCTTTCACAGCACCGGAGCGCTTGTGCTTGCGAACCAATGAAGATCCACTGAATGGACACCCTTTGTGTGAGAGTACTCTACTCACTGCGCTGCTTGGACTGGACCAAAACTTATTGATATTGATTTTGTGAGCAGTTCTTTGTCTCTCTTGTTTCAATAACATCCAAGAATCGTTGACCCAAAAAGGGAGCCGTCGCGTCAGGAATACAGGGCTTATGCAGACTACCACCTTGGCCGATTCGCGGGTTCGTTGTGATGAGCTGAACGAAACTTGAGCGAACACTGCAGTGTGCATTCCCCCTAGTCTATATATTTACCTCTTGTGCATGACAGGTACTGAACATCAGAACATGTTTACAAGTCTTGATAATCTTCCTTCATGATGCTGTTCACACTTTCTCTTTCCTCACCATGAAATTCACGATGGAGAACCATGCTCATCAGTGTGGTGTGGTCATTGGCTTCTCCCTTTTATGGTGTGTTCTGGCATTCTTTTCTATATACACTGTAAATAGGGCAGAACCAGTGCCCGCAAAGTTTAATCTGAGAGCAGGTCGCAGTCCAAAACGGTCAACGAGAATCCAGATCAAAAAAAAATCAACCAACAAGATTCAACAACAAAGGCCCATATCATCAGTATATGGAAGTTTCCTAAAATGGGGGGTACCCCTAAATCATCAATTTTAAATCATTTTAATAGGATTTTCCCTTATAAACCAGCAATTTTTGGGTATCATTTATGGAAACCCCCATATGACACCAGCCGAGATAGTGTCTCATCTGCCCCAGGAAAACTGTGGATCTGTCCCTTTGCGATCGGTGGAGACTACGTCCACTGGCCTAAGACTCACGTTCGCAGGCTCGATTGAAATGGGGGAGATCAGCAACAACTGGACGAGAATTCCGGATGGTGAACTGAACCCATACATAATGCAATTTTTTTTGGGTGGGATGAACATTCATTCAACAACTTTCATGTTCACCAGCATCACCATTTGGCTTTTGATTTCCTTTCAGCTGAGACCAAAGTCCTCACAGTTGTTCCTGTGCCATCCAGGAACCACATCTTCTGGTGGTGGCTTAGGAGAACTTGGTCTCCGCACGGGGGATACTATCATCCTGGGCGCGGGAGTGCAATGTGGAGGCAACTGCTCGCAGCCGATGCTGGACATGGCCAAAGGCTTCCTTGGTTTCCAAGGCGGAGCCGATGAAAAAAAGGTATCGTTTGGTAACAGATTCGTTTCAGTAGCTCTGAAATCCAACAGGTTTTTCTACAGCTTCAGTTGTTTCATGGCTCAGTGAATGTGTATCAATCTGTAATTATCAATGATCTTTTGACATTGCTCTCGGGTCTCACCTTGCTAGCGGCAGCTAGTGTCTAGGCCTTGAGAGCTATTTGCCCTTGGATGATGATGCACCAATCACTGCTGTCGACGTTGTGGGCTCTCGAAGCGGAACCTACACAGGCGCAGTGTGTAGGAAGTGAAGGATGCACAGAATTCCAGTGATTTCAGGATCTCGTGGCTGTCATGGCTCCTTTGCTGCAACACTGCAATCATAGCTGTAAGACCCCATCAACTCTCCGTCTCTCAGAGATAGTTGTTGAGTTTCAAGTTTCAATCCCTTCACCAACTGGGTCAACATGGGTCAACATGGGTCAACATGGGTCAACATGGGTCAACACCATTACCACCATCCTGGCTCCTCCGCGGCCACGAAAACCACGGCCTGGCAGGCACCGTGCAGAGCATTGCCGGAAAGTGGGGCAGCTACGGCACCAGGTTCAGCACTGGAGCCTCTCTCAGCTCCTGGGCGAAAGAACAGCAATGGAGCTGCAAACTGCAAGCAAAATGGTTAGCAAATGGCTGGAATATCTGCGAAACTCCACATGATTTAAACAAGATGATGTGTGACTTGACGACGTGACGTCACATCTCTGAATCATGATGTGATTATCACGAGAGCTAGCGGTAGCTAGCTGGAGTTTGCTCTTGCTTCAGCAAGGGAGGCTCTGAGTCCAACACAGTGATTTTTCACGTGAACCCCCCCAAGCTCCCGGGGCATTTTGGAGCGGTCTTGGAAGCAGATGGTCATGAGCTCAAACCCTGCCAGGGGCGTGCTGAGCTCTCGGCAAGCTGTCCTGGCCATATCAAAGCCCCATTCTGTCTCCAAGTCATATGAACGTTAGCTTCCGTGCACCCCCCCGGGCCTCAAGTCTGCCCCAGGGGTGGCAGCAGATTTGTTGTAGATATATGATTCACGATGTATCATCTTTATTATTGACAATTTCATTGATCTATGATGGTCATGTGTGGTCTATTTTCCACTTGACATAATCATTGACTGCTTGGTGCACCAATGAGTTGTCCCACACGACCAGCTGTGGCGAGGTTTGCCAGATGGTGCACCTATGGAAGTCTCGCAGGCTTGGAGCCTGGTGCTATGGCTCCGCACTGAGAACCTTGGTGACTGGGGACCGGGAGTGCTGGGGTGCTGAGGTCCCATTTTGAAAGGAGGGATAAAGGTGAAAAAGAACATATTGTCTGGTAAAATTTCACAAGAAAATCAACAAAATAATGGACAAATAATAATGACAAATATCATCTACCAACTGGCAATTTTCCATAACTATGAAAAAATACTGGAGGGTACTCTGCATGATTCTGAGGGGGAAAGCAATTATAGGGGCAGCCAATTAACTTGCGTAGATGCACTTGTTCTGGAGCCACCAAGAACGATGATGAACTGGGGGGTTGGAGGGGTCCGAAATTTTGGGACATGTGGCATGCAAATTTTCATTCTCGTTGTGGGCCCTGTTTGTCAAGTTTGGCAACTTGCCACTTTGCGCCTCATGCAACTTGGTCAGCGGCGGCTTGTGCACTAAGGAAAGCCGGATGGTACACCATTTGTGGTGTGGCAGATGCGAACGGAGTCTTGGAAGATGCCGAAGTTGAGATAGGCAAAGGGTTTCATGTGCATTTTTGACTACATTTTTCTGTCTTGAGGCAAGTTGTGAAATCCTTTAGTCTGCCCTGATCGCAGGCCTGGCTACAGCTCCCTGGCTGGATGGTGCTCCCTTTCTACACCAACAAAATGGACCCGGTGCAGATGCCCAGGTAGGGCCGCCCTTGCCGTGCAAACCCTTGGGGACCGGCCCTGAATCCTGTCAGGCCATGGCTGGTGGAGTGGTGACACCTGGAGAATGGACGCATGTGGCAGTGGTTTATGGTGGCAGGCCAGGCCGGCCAGGCCAAGGGATTATATAGGACTTTAGGACCTCAAATCACAAATCCTCTAGATGTGGTTCATGTGGATCGAAATTGGAGGTATGAAGCAACTAGCTTTGGTAGGGTTGATTCGTTTGATTTTCCATGAGGCTTGTGCATACAGCACACATCCAGAATTGAAGCCTGACAATAGATTTGAGAGAAGCAACCTTGGTAGCCTTTGAGCGTGTGTGCCGAATCAGAAAATCCTTTGCAATTGTATAATTCCCCTTTCGGGTATTATCGTAGGTTGCTCAGATTTTCTCCTCCGCTTCAGTATGAGTGGCACTCTTCGCTTCTATGTGGATGGCATCCTGTCCTACGAACGTCTCGGAGTGGCTTTGAATATGGCATCCCTGCCCCTTCAGTGTGCTGGCCGTGTGTCAGCATCACCACCTTCAGGCCCGGTATCGCGATTTTCAGGACCACTGTAAATCTTCGGAGCACATCTCACTTGGATTGAAGTTTACATCTTCACGCATCTCTACACACATAATATATGTATGTAAATATATATGAATTGTATATGTATGTATGTAAGTATAAATAATTACAGTACATATGTTGTGAATGGAGCTGGAGGAGTTTGTATGTGGCAGCATATGTCTCACTGATTGATGGACATAGACAGATATATATATATATGATAAACTGGCAATGACTGGTATACATACATATTTTATATATACATATATAAATAAATATTTATATAAAGTATATAATACATACAAATTCTTACAGCATCATCTCGACTTCCGGCTTGATGCCTTCCTCGTCTTGTCCTCTTGCTTTACCTGGTTGCGACAGTTTCTCACCACGCCGCTGATTACAGTTTGAACCCACATCGTTGCATGATGGTCATCTTGAGTCTTGATGTTAATCTGCCTCATAAATGGATTCACAAAGGCTATGTAAAAGTATCTAAAAGTTAGAAGGACCTCCACTTTTCTTTATGATTCTGACATTATCTCTTGTCATTGGCCCCCCAAAGACCGTCATGGGCCATCCGCTACTCTTGGTTGTAGGTACAGCATCGGATGGATATCTGGACTTGGACGAGATCAGGTGGTACAATGTGCCTTTGACATCAGAGGTGCAGGGCCATGGTGGGCCATGGCCACGACCATCACAGCTGTTCGCGTTTGGAAACGGATCAGAAGTGGATTGTAACTGGAGCTGCAGCAAAGAAATATATAACAGACAAACGAAGTTGGACACTCCCTCAGACCATGGTTCAAACCTACCGCATTCTGGAGGATGTTGGAGCACTTTTCAATGCGACTGATGGGGGTGTGGCCGATGCCCAGCAAGCTCCTGGAGCCCCTATTGGAATTGCAGTGGAAGCTACTGATGATGCCTGGCACTTTGTGGGGTGATGATAACGATGTTTTTTTCTTCATCACATTGGAGGTTTCCTGTAAGACTATTCGGTGCAACTCATCCAAGAATATCCAACTGGGGAACTGGTCAACAAGTCGATGGGATTGATGAGCCTCATCATCTATTTTTCTCCCATCGGAGGTCATGATAGTGTGGGTAATTCATTGAGTTCAATGGACTTTCAGTGCTTAAGGTCCAATTCTGGCAGTTCTTTGAGTTGACGTTTTCCGTCAGGATCCTGCTGTCTTCAACGTCGCGACGGGAAGCTTTGCCACGGCGCCGGTTCCTCCAGAGTTCAATGTCGATGCCACTGGGGGTCAGTGGAGAAGGGGCAACCGAGGCAAGGGGGACAGCTGTCAGCTGTGAAATTCCTCCCAAACAGCCTTCAAACATCCTCAAAAAATTCAACTTGGAAGTTTGGAAGTTGGAAACACCAAGAAAAGGTTGATTTTGGTGGAAACACCATATTCAACCTGCATCCTGATTTTTTCCACACTGGGCTCGGTGCAGCTTTTAGTTCGCAAGGTGTCATCCGTGGTGAACTGATGTCCAGCTACGAACGACGCTTGAAAGTCTGCTGGGAGCGTGGAGGAAGAGCAGCAGACGCTGGGGTGGTGGAATTTGTGGCCCAGAGTCCCATGACTGCAGTTTTAAGACAGGAGTGGGTGGCTCTCAAGACTTGGGTTTACTCGACACGTCTACCTGGCACTACCTGGCAAAAGTAAAGGATTGAGTGTGCTCATAGTGTGCTCTACTTTGCACGGTCCGTTTCAAGAAAGTTCTGCAAGGGAATGGATCAGTGTCAAGCTGCTTCCCAGGCAGTATGACGGAGCTGGGTATTTGGCCAACGCAGCGGGACTGAACTGGTGAGTTTGGTGGTTTCAAAGGATGCCGAATTCAACCCAACTTGGCCATATCTAGCCACATTTATGCCCTCTCATCTCATCTCGTCTCATATACAATGGTTGAACCTTTTTCCCAGGGTGTTTGAGCTTCACTTGGCCCGCAGGAGTGGTCAAAGTCTTCTCCCTTCATTCTCACCTTCAAGACAGGCAAGGCTGATTCCCAAGGTCTTCGCTACACAAAGGCCGGGAGAAAAAAGACGGAACAAGTGACCCTCTGGTAAATTAACATAGACCCTGAACATAACCCATTTTTAGTGGTGTAAACTCATCTTCCAACCTACCAGGGTGTATGTTAATTTACTGCAGGGTAGTATTTTGGCTCCAGGAAGTAGTGAGCACACCATTGGAATCAGCATGCTCATTTTGCGCTCCACGGGCAGAATTGCGGCAGAATGCTTCAGACAAATTTGACATTTCATCCCGAGCACCCCGTGGCACAGGCTGAGGGGCACATGAGCCTCACAATCACCTATTTGAACCAGGCGGAGAGAGGGGGCATCAAGGATCATCAAGGGTCGAAGCATTCTGAAAGATCAAGGATCATCATTTCATTTCATTTCATCAAGGATCATTACGAAAGAGTCTGCCATGCAGGCCATGCAGGCGTGATTCAAACTGCTCTGGTACACATGGGCTGTTGGCTGAGGCCGCGATCCGCCACATGGGCAGTAGTGCACAAGGGCCCTTCGTGAGCTCTTTCAACCTGGAAAGTGACGAGCGGCACGAGGAGTGCATGAGTTGCTACATTGCGCTTCGACATTTTGTTTTCTTAATAGCAGTCGTTTACATTCACATGGTGAGAGAGATCAAATGAGTAGCATAGTGTTTGCACATGCTCGGTTCGGATGTCTAGAGATGTCTAGAGTTGTCTAGAGTATGTCCGAAACTTCTGCACCAGGGATCACCAGGGTTCCCGCCAGGCCAGCCAGAGTGTCTGTGGGATCATCTTCCGAGAACTGTGGAGCAGTGATCCAGCATCGACCTGAGATCCTGAAGCCCTGAAACAAAACTGGCTTTTGAACCTCAAAGTCCTCCACTTCGATGTATCACCATCATGACCATCCTTTACAACACGATGTAATAGGCAGATACTCCTTCAAAATAATGAAGCACCAGAGATTTTAGGGCATTGCTCACATGAAGCCAGCCATTTCATGCCATTTCTGAAAATCAGGCGCGTGGCTTTCCACTGCCCTATGGTTGCTTCTATCGGAGCCTCACCACCGACATGCACTGAGCTCAGCCATTTCAGACATGGAGAGGAGCTGTGGTTGCACCTCATCCATGTCAAAAATCATATCAATGTAGCATGTTGTAATATGGCATACCCAGTAATCAACCATATAAAGAAACATGGAATAAACAAAAACAATTTGATATTGGGTTGATGATTGGAACTTTGAACACTTGGAGCTGTAGACCTTGAAAACTTGGGGGTTCATTCCGGTCCTACATTGCAAACCGCCCAAGGCGCGAGATCACAGTGATCTTCGAAAAGCGCAATGGCCTCTCACCTGACACGTGGGAAGCCTAGTGCTAAGTAGTGAATGAGCCACAAGTTTACCTGTTTTATCCAAGAATAGAAGATTCGCAAACCAATTTTCACGGGGAAATTTATATTTCAATCTGAATTAATTACTTGTCCTTGTAGGTCCTATCAGATCGTGATGAATGCAGCAGCCACAAACGAAATGGTTGCAGACCAAGAGGCGTGAACCATTGAACTTTGACAACCAAAGTTGAAAATCACGGAGGGAGCTTTCCATGATGGGACCAGTGGGCAATTTGGGCAGCAAAACCCGCACATTATCCATGTTTCGAAGTATGTCGAGAAGCTTTTTGGCTCGATGAAACTGCAAAGCTCATCAAAGTTCTAAGAAAACAAGCTGTGGCACGTGTGGAACTCCAATCTTATTTCACAAGAGATGCTGTCTCCAAGGGTCTGCCAGGCTCAATTGCAACTGCAATATTCATCCTGTTAGGAACCAAGGACAGTGGACCGGGGTCGCGATGGCGGGCCACGACCACGAGCTGACAGAGCTCTTGGGCCTTTTGCAGGATCTGACGCTGAAGTTCTTTGATATAAAACCAACGCTATTTTAATCTATTTTACAGTGTCTTCAGCTTTCAGAAGTTATTTAGATGTCAAGTTGATATTTTTGTCTTTCCATTCGAAGCTTCCACAACCGTCTAGTTGAACCTTCTTCATTTGTCATATGGTCGGTTTGGACAGTTTGGTCAATGCGCCGTCGGTGGGGTCAGGACCAGAAACCGGAAGTGAGACGACTTGCAGCAGAAGCCGTGCTAAGCCAAACGGAGGAGCGAAAATCATCGAAAGACCAAGGTTTGAGTTCGAATCTTTTCGATCTGTTTCCCAGTCGGGTTCGGGATGCCGATGGATGATATACGATATCGATTTCTGCGTACCTGACAGGCATATAGCTAGCACTATTCTTGGAATCTATTTGCAGTTCCTTACACTACAGAAAAGCATGACACTAGAGACCGGCAGACAGGTAGACATGCATCAGAGAAAGTCAGACACACACACACACACTGGAGATTGGGTGTGTTGTGGAGGTACTGTTGATAGACCTTGTCCTCGCCTTGAGGATTCCTGAGTTATTGCATCCTTAATGAGCAAGAATTCCGCATGCTGGGTTTGTGGCTTAGCCCAGTTGCCATACATGACGGGAGATTTCTTAACGCATAACTGAACCCAAAAGCATTGTGAAAGAAGGATCTTTGACATGTCAAACCATGTTAGAACATATTGGCAGGTACACATCCATGGCCAGTGGATGCTTCCCTCTCTGATGCATAGCTTCGTTGGGCAGAGTAACATCAGAGAGCTCTGTCCCCCTGCATTTCAAAAGTTGACAGTTGAGCTTTTAGTACCTGTTTGTTATAGCAGGATACACACGCGCACAGACACCAGTATCCATAAATATACATATATGATATACATACAGTAATATATATATATATATACACATAAGACCCTGTATATCTATATATATATGTATAATATTATACCCTGTATATATATAATTATACATAGATACATAATTTTATATGTTTCCTCTTTCAATCCGTGGCAGGACACCGACTTCTTGGATTTCTGCAAGCGCGAGCCACGGAAATGCGCCCGGCCGCTGTTGCGCTTGGCGGAGAAGGCGGAGCTCGACAGCGCGGAGGCCGTGGCCAAAGGCGGATACGGCGGCAGGGGCAGTTCGGAGACGCTTGGATCACCTTGGTGCGGCCATGGGGTCATGGGGTCATGGGGTCATGGGGTCATGGGGTCATGGGGTCATGGGGTCATGGGAGATGAGACTCTTGAGATGAGGCTTTCGTTTGGCTTTCGTATGGGTTTCTTATGTTTTGAAAGGGTACTGTACCCTAGGGTTTTTCAAAACTTGCAACGTCTATGATTTTGGAGTCCATTTCTTTTCGGAAACCGATCAGTGATGCAGTCTGTGTGAGGAATGTTTGAAAACACACAGACACACACACACACAAATCCAGTTTCCTCTCGAAGACTTGCAATAGAGGATCTTGCAGGTAGGATTTGATCACACTTCTTTTTATCAGTTGGTGAATGATGAGGTCATGCCAGGCTACCTAGGAGCCCAAACCATATCTCATCACAGTTTTGTATGTCCTGGATGGATCTGTGGTTTCCGAGGAAAAGTGAGAAGATTGCAGCAGCTCAAGCAATGAGCACATTGGCAGCGGGGGTTGCCTCCTTGAAGTCCTTGGTCAACCTGTCTGCAGTGCCCGCACTCGCAGAGGCGGCTCCGGTTTACGCCGCAAACATAACATGTAGAATCATATATAGCTATCTGCAAATCATTAGTATCATTAATTTATAAAGGACATTAACATGCATTCACCTTGGTTAACTGCAAATAAACAATATCTCATTGACCCATTGATATCCAACGTGTCTGTGTCACGGTTTCAGCATCCCGAGGAGCTGGTGGCCCTGAATGCCCCAAAGCGGCTGACCGAAGCCTTGCGCGCTGGCTGGTTGGAAGGTCGAGCGGAGATGGCGCATTGGTACGCCATGCTGTTGGCCAACGTCTCCACCTCCAAAAAGGGTCAGGAGAGGTATGGATTTTAGGGTAACACAGGAATTTCTGCATGAGGTTTCCAGATCATTTACCCTTTTAAAGAGCTCATTTTAGAAATTTCTAGGGCAAGACATGGGGATGGATCAACGGATCAACGGATCAACGGATCAACTGCAGGAGGCGCTCTGTGGCGATGAAGGCATGCTGAAGTTCCTGGTCGCAGCATATCTGACGAAGCCACGACTTCCGCCCCGAGATGGCTACGAGGAGCCCAAAATGGCGGTACCATGTGGCAGACAACTTTGATGAATGATGATGATGTGTTTTTGTACCAAATACCAGAAGGGTTCGATGAGTTTGATGTGTTCACCTTGGACGATTTTTCTGCTTTGCTGCTGTGGAACGATTAGGATCCTCTGCTATGGCTTGGGGCCATCTTGGTGAATGTCCTGGTCTTGCCAGAAGGTCGCAAACTCTTGGCAGCCAAAAGTCAGGACTTTCCTTTCAAAATGAGGCAGTAGATGATATGATATGATATGTAGATAATGATTTATTTGCAAGTCAGATATTGATATATTGATAATGAATGATGATATTGAGTCAGACTTTGCTAGATTGTTTTTGATTGAAGCTTTAGTTTGGATTTCACATGCAATGCCGGGCCCCTCCAAGGGATTCTGACTCCCATGACTCCGGTAAGTAGTTGATAGGGAGTTGAACTCCATTAATGATTGCTTTTGATATACAATTGTGTATAATTGTGTATACAAATATAAATACAGTATATAGAGCTATATATAATATATATATATATATATGTATCTGTATATATGCTAATTTCATGAACGTCTACAAGTAAAACATCCCTCTTGTTTCGGTCCTCGCTTGTGCCCGCGCTGCAGGAGTTGGAGATGTTGTTCAGGGAGATGTCGGATCGGGCCCGTCGAGCTGATATGGTCAGTGCCGCGAAGAACGTGTGCTTAGACATGGACACTTCGGAAAAGCTGTGGATGGTTTGATGGCTGAGAATTGGGAAGATCTTGGGAAGATCTCCATGATTTTAAATTATCTTCTTGTTTTTGGGAATCAATGGGTTCTTGGTATTGGAATCGAACGCTTGGAGACCCACGACTTGGGGTCTGCGATCCTCGAGTCCAAGTTCATCCTGTAGGGGGGTACGTTTGGTGAAATCATCCATAATCTCATGACGTCCATCATTGCGATGTTTCTCAAAGAAATCGTTGAATTGGACCAGATCGGTGTCACATGGAAATGCAACTTCTTGAAGCAAACCTATGAGGGTTCAAGATATTTCGAGATTCACCCAAGAACTTGGATGGTTCCATAGTTGCCATAGTTCCACATGCTTGCGCTGACGTTGGAGCTCTGAGGAATGCCATGAAGTCGTTACCGAGACCGACCTGATGCTTCACATGGCCAGGTGGGAGGTGACCCACATTTCCAATACAAGAGTCAAGAGAGTGTCAAGAGTATGTATGGGGCATCAGGACCCAGCAGTGATTTTGTGTGTCACGGCTCCTTTGCTGACGTGTGAATCCATTTTCACCCAAGAAGTGCTACAAGATCAGCTCAGACTTTTTGAACACGATCTTCAGATTACAGAAACAACAACATGTAAATGTAAATAAGGGGAATAGCACGGGAAGTGGCGAGAAACTGCAGACCATCAGGAGAGCACTGCATGGAATTTTGCTCAAAACTCCAAAGCATTCGCAGGGAAGGATCCTGCGCATGTGCGGACGCGGGCTTGGGACACGACCCCGCACAACAAGTGATCTAAGCCAGAACAACTCTGACTTTGCATGGATCCATATGGGATTGAGTATCCCTTCCCTATCAACATAGCTATTTCATGTGATATCCCATGGTCCCATGGTATCCCCTGGCCACCCCATGTCTTCTCAACAGCACCACCCTCAACTGGGCGATGTGCAGGTTCCTTTGTCCATGGGAGAAGATGGATGCGGAGTCGCGTGCTGCGCTTCCGGGTGCTCTCCGAGAATCTCTGGAGAAGGAGGGTGCGACCCTCACAGGTCACCCTCCGTGGCAACGGTCCCAAAAGGGCTGGGCTACATCATGGTGTACTTGTACCACGGTATACCGTATACCGTATTGTACCGTATGGCAATTTGAAGCGGGAACCTGATCAGATTTAGGAGTATACCATAGTATACCTTATTTTCAGACAAAGCCCTTTAATATGGCTGATTTAAAATCTGGTCAAGCCACGGCCATAAACCTCCAATTTCTGGGAGCATCGAGGGTTCAAGGTGTGTACTTGACATGTTGCCATTTTTCCTCAAGGTTGAAGCTTGTCTGTCTGTTGATGTCTTGCAAGTCATTTCTTACCAAATATTTGAAAAGAAACAAGCCATTTTGATCAGTCTTGGTGAATGTTTTTCCAGGTGACTTGGCGGTACGTTCGGCTGCTGCTGCGTGCGGCATGGGCCTTTGCCGTTCGCTCAAGGGACGTGAGTATCTTCGCAGCTTTGTGCAGGCAGGTGAAGTCGGTGAAGTCCCCCCCAAAAAAGGACCGATTCGACATCCAAAATATCCAAACAACGCCAGGTCTTTCGTTCGTGGATGCAAGAGGAAACCGACGCCACCGTCAAGGACCTAATGGGGTTTAGCCAATTTTAGCGCTATATAGTTTTTGATGATTAGCCAGTGGATTTAGGGTATACGCTATATCCTATGAATAAAACACGAACACTACATGTGAATATGCATGTATAGCCTGTATAGCTGCATCTGATGGAATATGCAAGTGTACAGGTGATATGAGACCAATCCACATGCTATGAGTTGATATGATCTCATTATCATTACCACATCGTTGACATTCCTTGATCATATCCCCCTTCTCTGTAGGATCAGCTGGACGTGATCATGCCGGCTGTCCTGCTGTCTGAAGATGAATTGAAAGTTGAGCAGGAGAAGTTAGCGGAGCAAAACTCACAAGCTGCTTAAGTTTGCTAATAAGACTCAGCTGTAGAAGTTATTGAGATCTAGCACGATGCACTGGCTGCCGAAAGATTCTTTAGATCATTATAATTATAGATCATTAATGATCATTATGGATTTCACGTTTTGTCGGTACTAAAAAGGAGCCTGTGGATCAATCTTGGAAGGGAATGTATTTGTACAGGCCAGTCTGGCTGGTGGTCACGAAGAATGATCGGAGGCATTGGGTTTTGGACTTTCTTGAATGTGGAACCACCAGCCAGTGCTCTTGATACCTCTCTTCTGAGCTTTTGCCAAGCCTCGCCGGCCTCGCCGTTGCATGGACCCAAAGGGCAGTGCAAGACTCTGCGAGTCCTATCGAGGGATGCCTCAATATGCCTCGTGGGCGAGTGCCTTGATTTAGGACAGGAAAATGCCTTGGGGACGCGTGGATCGGCACTGGTGTTCAACTATACCAACTTAAATATGACATGAGGTATATCTACCTGATGTTTAAATATAGAATGTTGTATATCACTACAGTTACCTGTATACAATCTAGATAGATGTTTCTCCTGATGGTTATGACATGTTACCAAGCAGCCTGTCAAACTGGACTTTCTTTTCCGCGCTCGGGTGCCAGGATTGTTCGGGCCAGTTTCTGGTTTCCTTTGGTATTCCTGAGGGGGTGAAGAATTCAGGACACCAAGGGATAGGGAAACATGGGCTATTTCCAATGGAAGCCACTTTGGCGTGCTCCAAAATGATGGATAAAGATGGGGCCCCAAACGTACAGTAATTCCTAGTTTCCCAATCACAGACTTAACTGGTGTTGAGGTAGACCCCCTGAGAGGCCGCCCACATTTTTCCATGCCCCATGTTTTTAGCCGACCAATTTCTAGCCCCAGGTGGCAAAACATCCTGTGACACCAACATTTTTAAAGAAGTGCTGCTCAGAGTTTCATCCCCTGCGCCAGTTGTTCTTCATCAGCTCCAATGATGACCATGAAGGCTACAGATACACAGCTCTGGAGGCCTGCTGTGCTGGGCAGATCTGGGCAGTGTGCCGCTGTTGCGACTGGGTGGGCCGTTTTTGACCGCACCATGGGCTTTTTGACAGGTGGGCCACGTCTTCAGTTCGCAGGACATGCTGTATCAACTTGGCCTGGACCCTGGGACCCTGGAACCAGGATGGAGAGAGAAGCACAATAAACCACTTGAGACTTCAAGGCTTCCGAATTTGGCAGAAAAAACACTCCAAGCGGCAAGTCAAAACAGTGGATAGCTGTTGCCTTCTCTAAGCTTTGGAAAGATTACCAGATAGGATAGGATAGATAGGGGGAAGTGGTTTACTTTGCCATATGGATCCATATGGACATATTTATTCATTTATACCGTTTATACCCCCCGCTTGTGGGGCAACCATGGGGCAGCTCTTAAGGTGCCGGAAACAATGACCCGCAGTTTGCACCTGATATCGGACTTGAACCTTGGGAGCAGTGAGCCGAACAACTGAGAACTGTCAAGCTATGAGGGGATCAAGGGAGCCTTGTGATACACATTTCTACATCTTATTTGATGATTGGGAAAACTGATGAGTTTTGGGGGTCCTCATTTTTGAACAGCAGACTTTGCTTGGTGCTCTATCCGCGGATTGCTTGTGGAAACTCAGGATATTGTTGGTGGTGATGAGACCACCAATTTGGTGACGTTCTCTGGGCTGCATCAAGCTGCATCAAGGGAGAGCAGGATATTTGACCAAATCTGGGAGTCCATTGGTACCCCGATTGTTGAGCCATGCCCATGAACTGAATGCCCATGATCTCTCCAGTTATTCACACGATTTCCATCCATTTCCCCAAGTGTGTCAGAGGCATGGCCTGTGAGTTTTTGGCAACCTGAGGCTGCAAGACGGATCCACCCGGCTGCAACTGCAAATGATGGGCGGCCAGTATTCCACGGCGAAGATTTCACGCCCGAGCCCCAGAAATCATGGCTCACTAGCTGTGATGTTGACCATGTTGACCGTGGACCAGGATTTTGATCCACATCCATTCAAATCCATAGGCAGTCCTCGGTAGCCTGGGTTCCAGGAGGAAACTTGCTGAGCGTGTGGGTTGAGCCGTTGACTGTGGAGGGCTCAGACTAAGGGCACAAAAACAACACAATACAATACAATACAATATAATATAATATAATATAATATACAATATATAATATTACAATATTATATTATAATATAATATAATATACAATATATAATATTACAATATTATATTATAATATAATATAATATAATATAATAATGTATAATACATATATACATATAATATAATATATTTAATAATAATAAACATATACATACAGATACATTGAATCCACAAGTCACTCAAATCTTTGACATCGTCTCCTTTGCACAGGTTTCCTAAAGATTTTTTTCGCGGATTGGGGGTCCTGAGGCTTGGCAACTGCCAACCAGCTGCGGGGATCAAACGGACTTGAGGCACTGGAAACTCCCCAGAGTTGGACTCCGGACTCCGTTGGACCATTGGATCCATGGATTTTGTGCACCATGACTTGACTTCTCAGCAATCCATCGCCAGTGTGGCGGCTGGCAGTATCCGCATCCATTGCTTTGTGGTGCAGCCGACCGGTTTGTCAACCCACCGCTCAAAGTGAATGCATTTCTTGTATACAACTATTGTTCTTTGGATGTAAAATCACCAAAGAACATCAAAGAACCGGATACATCAAATGATCGATTACAAGTTGGATCGTCTAAGATTATCCGTTGGGATGTTGTGACAAAAAATCACTCGTGACTGGTGAGACGGGCTGCAGATGTTGCGATGAATTGTGATTCACTTTGCCATTTTTGGCTTTAGAAGGGTTGCAGAAAACATGCCATTTTGCAACCATAACTGACCATAACCACATGTATAACTTTGATTTAAAATGGTTTCACAGAGTGGTGCCTTGGCACCTTGGAATTTCCATCGATGCCAGATCTTGGGCACCTTCCGGCGCTGTGGAGAAGTGGCGAGGTGTTCAGGGAAGCCGGCCACGAGCTCAAGGGCGGTGGCTATGGATCTGGCCATGGGTCAAGACCTATGAAATCCCACATGACTGGAGATGAACATCCATAAACACCAGCTATTTGGGGTCACCAGGGTACAGTAGGTACCAGGCTTCTGACCCTCATCTCAAAATGGAGGAATTGTTACTGTAGTTGATGCACAGATTCCCTGCGACCCTTGCATCGCAAAGAATTTGCAGTGCGAATGGTTTTGCTCTTGGTGGTGCTGGAGACAACGGAGAACGAACGTTGACATTTGAGACACGTTGCTTTGGGGTTTTGAGCCTCGGGCATTCGTTTGGCCTTGCCGGGGTGAAGACTGACTGAGGTTGTTCCTTTCGCCACACAGGCAACTTGGGACGCGATAGCGGCATCTGCTGTCGGCTATCAAAGAACTCATTCCAAAGTCTGGAAGGGGAGGCTACAGAATACGGAAAACCCTTTGGAGTGAGACAAGCAAGCAGAACACTCTTCTTTCCATAGTGTTTACACTGGCTTCTTTAAACCATGTTTTTCACGGCCCAGTCGCCAGGTCCCACAGATTGAAATTGAAATGCCGCCCAACATGAACGACCTCTTTGGACCGTTGGTCTGGACCTCGCCATGGCAGGATCATGAGCCACATGATGCCACGTCCCAACATGTTGCAGCTGTGGCGAATGACTAACACTTGTTGCCAGTGATGTTATAGGATGTTGCAGGTACATATATACATACTAGACTATATATATAATATATAATATATAATATATAATATATAATATATAATATATAATATATATATGGGTATAGTATGGTATAGTCTGGTTAAGAGCCTTTGGCCCGTGTTTGAGCACTTGTCAGCGAATTCATAAAGGTTGTGCACGATTCGTAAGAAGTTGTGCACGTTTCACAAGCCCCCCTAACAACGTTTGTGTTCAACTGCTGTGGAATGGACTGCTCTCGTTGGGCTTAGCCAGACTACCCCGACATACATATGTATATGATATATATATATATATATGTACATATGTGAGAAATATGTATATATATATGTATATATATATACATATATATATTGTCCTCCAGGCACTCAGTTGCAGTAGCAGCGGCCTATATATATATATACATGTATATACATCTATATGTATATATATAATGTATAATATATACATGGAATGTAAATATATATATATGTATATCCCTAATATGTATATATATATGTAAACACACACACACATACATATATATGTATGTATGTATGTATGTATGTATATATGTATGTATGTATGTAATGTAATGTAATGTAATGTAATGTAATGTAATGTAATGTAATGTAATGTAATGTAATTGTATGTATGTAATGAAATGTAATGAAATGTAATGTAATGTAATGTAATGTTATGTATGTATGTATGTATGTATATATATGTATGTATGTATATATATAATGTATGTATGTATGTATGTATGTACACATACATATATATGTGTATGTATGTATGTATGTATGTATATATGTATGTATGTATGTAATGTAATGTAATGTATGTATGTAATGTAATGTAATGTAATGTAATGTAATGTAATGTAATTGTATGTATGTAATGAAATGTAATGAAATGTAATGTAATGTAATGTAATGTTATGTATGTATGTATGTATGTATATATATGTATGTATGTATATATATATATACATATTTATAATTAGGTACGTTGTATGTATATCGTAAGCAATGGCCTCCAGCATCCCAGATCTACGAGATGGACATCTATAGTTTCCGCCTTCCCGCACAGGGCGTTTCGGGCTCGGAGTTTCCAAGTCGTGTGGGGATGGGTCAAAACCAACTACTTTCTGGTAATTTGACGTAGCTATTGAACATGGCCTTTTATAGTTGATTTACCCATTAAAAGTGGTGATTTTCTATAGCTATGTTAGCTCACAAGAGACTATATATCATAGTTGAGTCATACCATATAGGATTATGATGCACACTTAGGGATACACATTGCTGAATTAGGGATTGAATCAGCTGGTAGATGGTAGGGATCCCATATTTCGGGATAAATGTAGGGATGAACATCCATTTACCAGCTGTGGTTCGGCACAGCAAGGTCCAGGGTTTTGATCATTGCGAGTTGCTGTCACAAGGCGTTGCCGCACAGACTCATGGTGCAGATCATGAAGGATGATGCAACGAAGCCACACTTCAGGTCATGAAGGGACATTGGGGAAACGACCTCATTTTAGCAGCCAATTTCTATGCGCTGAGTGTTTCGGGCAAATGACCCAGTGAAGTCTAGCTTGAGAATAGAGGCATTCTGTGGCAAGATTTGCACCTCAGCACAGTGTTTGCTGCAGGGTGGCCACTGGACGCTTCTACAATGCGCCAGGAACTTTGCGGTTATAAAAGCTGCAGGACATTTGGTCAGAACCAACGTGCGACCGTTGCATGGTCGGTAAATCACCCTAAGCAAATTACCAGATCGATCCAAATCTCAAATTCTACATAATTCTACAACGTCCTGATCATCCTGCCTACTTACTGCCACGAAGCTCTATCATGAAATGCAAATCCCTATGTGCATGATCACCCTGAGGCCCACTCGGGAGTTTGCAACGATTGGCCGCGTGCTTACCAGCCCACAGGCAGGGTTCGGGTGTGGTCAGGCTCAGGGTCTCCAAACCTCAGAGATTATGGAGAGCCTGAGGCAATGCTGCAGGGTTCGATCAAATCTGTCTTTCATTTGGAGGATGTCTTAAACCACTCTAGGTTCACAGCCGTTGTGTCCTGCCAACTGCAAACTGTCTCTGCGCAGAACGGCTTGGAGCCCTTCGAGGGTGTTCAAAGCCATGTGCTCTATGCAGCGCACCCAGGAGCTTATGAAGTTTTTTTACCCTGACAACTTGCCACAAGTGCTGTCTTTTGTGTTTGGATGGCAACACATCGGAAAACATCGCATCATGTGCTCTGAAGGTGATGTTGCAGATGGCTGTGCCACTGCGTGGCTTTGACCGTACTCGGCTTGGGCCTCTCGAAATCTTGTGCCTCCCAGGGGTCGGAGGTAGTGCATTCCGCATGCTTTCCCTGATGGGCGCACACCCCCTCCTTTTCGCCCCCTTTCGCCCCCCTTTCGCCCCCTTCCTCCCGCTCTCTCTCTCTCTCTCTATCTCTTTAGAATTGTGCTTTTGTGACTCAGCGACAGTGTAGATGTTGGAAACGACATGTCAGTTGAAGAATTGCAGAATATATTCGCATAGGAGCGCGACCTCTCGGCTGAAAAACTTCACAGCTAGGCCACCGCCGGACGTTCGACCCAATTCCTACTTTGTCATCCAAGCTCCGCCAGTTCGGTCCTGATCCGCTGGAGACGGATGTTGATTTTGGATGATTTTGGATGTTTGGACAGGTTTCTTATGTTTCTTTCATGTGTTTGCACAAATAGCTGATAATTGCTGACGAGTGCAGGTCAATACAGTGCTTGGTCAAACGAGGAGTCCTAAATGTGAGTGTGCCAAGGGATTCCGGATGCTGGAAGCAGTTCCAATCGTCCACGAAGGCTCGATTTCGACCCTTGGAACTTGCAGCAACAGCTGTTGGTGGTTTCTGAGTGGATCCATACGTACAATTGGGATCATTATCACCGCAACTGCTTTTTTTTGATGGGGGATCATACTGATTTGACGTTCCTAGAATTGGTTGAAGCGAAAATCGCAGCAACCCCTCAAGGTAAGTGCCATGGTTTCAACTGTAGATTTTCCCAAGAAACCAATCAGTTGAAACCGCAGTATGATAATCCCCATTATAATCCCATGAAATCCACCGGTTTCACCATGATGATCTCACAACATCCCAATGAAATGCAGCCATAATCGCCAGGTGCGGGCCTGGGCAAGGTGACTTTGTCACCTGATGGTGATGCAGTTCGGGCCCCTGATCGCCATGCCGCCGGGCCATTTTTTGGGGTCCATGGGTTCGTCCATTTCCCCCATTCATTTCCTGCCATCTTGAGGTATCCCCTTGATTTTAGACAAGGCTGCCACGATAGACAGTATGAAACCGGAAACACACAACAAAATATCCCTGAGCTGAAATTCGCGTGTACAACTCTTGAGAGAAAGATAATAACCCTGAGGCATCCCGTCTCAACGACACGATTCAGCCAGCGCCCACTGGCTTTGGTACGTTCGGAAGCCTTGTGAACGGGCGAAGACATCTGGGGCAAAGGAAGTCATTTCGCGGACAAAACCTGGTGTTTGAACTGGTTGATCCTTTGCTGGGTCAGGCCTGATCTTGGTGGCTGGAGCTTTTTGGGAGGTGAAGCAACGTACAAGCTACTGGCCCCATCCTCAAGGTGAAATGAATGGAAGTTTGAGTGGACTGGCAGACTGGCATAAGTGTCACTGAGATGTTTGCTTTAAGGATGGTCTTGTGATGTATTCGGTTGGTAAAATCCCCAAAGACTCTCAAAGTCAAAGTCTCTCATTGATTTGGCAAGGATCGAAGCCTTATCCCGGCGATGACATCCCTGGTGATGGGTTGGGAATCCTAGTGTCCCAGGATGTCCCAGGTCATTACCGCCAAAATCTTCGGAGCAGATATGAATTCCTGAATCATCAATAATGAATAATAATGCTATATATATAATATACAAAGAATCACAAAATACACATAAAGATATAATTGCATAAATATACAAGAATATACATAAAGATATATTCTAATATGGTTTTCTGCGGCATTTTCTGAGGCTTGCGGGTCTATCCTGGCAACACGAGCTTGCCCATCACAAATACGCTGAATCTCTGGTCCGTGCAGGCCTGTTGACCTGGCCAGCTGGATGGTTATGATTTTCCTGGAAAATCCCAGCAAAAAGTGGAGGATTGTTTGGGGTATCCCCATGGATTAGGAAACCTATTGGAAACCTCGAAGCCTGGAGTTTCTGAGCTTCTGTCCATGTGCTTCAGGTCTTTTCTCCAGGCGATCACAATGAGACTATTGTGAATTTCACTGTGTGAATACCCAGTGCCCAGTGGTGGATGGGTCACGGGTGTCACCACGGGTCACCATGGGTCACCACGGGTCACCATGGTCTACCCGACCCAGCAGAGTTGTGGTGGACCAAGAATGGGCCTCGCTGCAAACATTTGAGGGACATGAGAAGCAGAATTTGTTTCTAGATAGTGGGGCCACAGTACCATGGGTCATTGGGGCTTAGATCCAGCTTGAGAACCTGCTGCCGAGGCCAAATTTTATCGAACGGGTTTGGGAGGTGTCCCGGTACTTGGAAGGCTGCAAAACGCAGGGAAACCGAGTCACAGGAACTGGAATCTCAGTTTGTCAAGTTGGTAACATATCGCTTTGACATGCTTTGACAGTTCAATGACAAGGGGAAGCCCAGCTGTCGCCGCTATCGCCCATCGCCTGGTTCTGCAAGTCTCCCAAGGCTTTGATACAACCTGTGGATCCCATGGTGTCCCGGGACGTTCCTACCATTCAGCCGCAAGGCTCTCAGGGCTCTCAGACTGACGCATCTTTGACGCCAGGGAAATATTCCTAGCCTCGAGGTGGTTTCCATCCAAAAATCAGAACAAATCAGAACATCCTGAAAATCCTTGCAAACGACATGAACTGGTGGACTGGTGTGGATAGGTTGGGTTTTCCCTTTGAAAAAGCATTGCCAGTCCTTTGAGGTTGTCCATCTTCTTCAAGGCTGTGGAAGACGTGCCTGCTGGCGGCTCCATCGATGTTGAGGTCAGCCCTGGGGGGGTTCAGGCTCTTTTCGATTTTTCATTTTCTATTTATCAAGAGAAGATGAACAAAGGAGCAGTTGCAGAGTAAATACCTAAAAGCACCCTGGCCTGGCTCAATCGCAGCGTTTGTGCATCATGGCGCGGCCAAATTCGCTGAACATCCACTGCTTGCTCTTTCCCAAAAAGACAGGGAAGGCCTTGGAGCAAAGCCTCCATTCTGTGCAGTGTGTCTATGGTGATCAGCAGAGCAGAAAGTTCCTGCACTTCACATGCCATCCCGTCTTCGGCAGGACTGCCGCGTGAACGCCGTATCAAAGGGGTCTACCAGTCTACCCTAAGGCGGCGTAACAAGGCCAAGATGATGTGTCCCTGCTGCAGCGGTTTGTAGGATGCTTAGGAGGGCTGAAACTTAACACGCACAACACACAATATGTGGGCCTCCGATTTGTTGTGTTTGCAAGTGTCGAACAGACATTTTTCATCATTTTTCTAATGCTACTCGTACACTGCTGCACCGGCTAATTTCCCTCACAACATTTGGGAAAGCAGAGGAGGGGTTGCCAGATCCACATTTTGCAAGGACCCGCAGAGCACTTCTTCTACTCTGTCTATGCTTGTGGTTACTTATCTATCCGCTTGATGCCAAACTTCGATGCTTGCTGCTTTCCTTGGCATACAGCTTCGTAGAATATAACTTTACATTCTTCGAGAGGGGAAAGGCATATACAAGTTTGGCTCAATTTCTAGCCAATGTGGTCTACATGCCTGTGCTTGTTGATCTGTACGGTCACTTTCTGCAGAATCCCATTTTTTATGTCCTGCTATTTCCTGCGAATATCTGGCTCCTGGAGATTGTCCAGGGAACAGCCATCCACTGGATCTATGGCCGAAATGTTGCATGGTGCTACGCAGACTATGCGGATGAGCTGTTTGGAGGTTTGATTCGGCTTGGACACGCCATTTGGTGGTGGGGTCTGGGGGCAGCTCTTTGGCTCTTCTATCCAGGTGCTGGGTTAGGCCGTGGGTCTTTTGTTGATTCCAATGCACTCCAACATGCCCTAAATTTGATGGTTGATCATTATCTTCCCCATCAACGTGGTCATTTTGTATACCCGGTATACCCCATTTAGAGACACATAGTTTTTTTTGTTGGAACTAGAACCGCCCTGAAGGTATCTACATGGCAAGTCTTCGGGTTGCACACCTTGCAACAAACCGTTGAAGACCCAGGGCTGCTACGTGTAAAGCACAGCCGGTCGGCCCGGTCGCCCCGGCGGTCGCCCCGGTCGGCCCGGTCCGGTCGGCCTGGCAACGACGTCATTCATCATTCCACTGGAGCTGTAAATTGACATGTGAAACGATGTGAAACGATGTGAAACCTGTGCCTACAACGTGATCATCGCTTCCACAGGTGATAATCGCCACTCGCGGCGAATGTGTGAGATTCGCTGGAGAAAAAGCTCATGTTTGATCCTTGGAGATGTGTAGGTCCTCTCTACCTCTACCTCCGGGTATGAAATCTGTTAAGTTTGAATAAGTTTGAAGGGTTCAATACAATGTCCACAACAAAGAAGACAAGTCATGACAAATGTTATGAAAAGCCAGGCTTCCCCAAGCCAGGCTTCCCGTGTCTTTGACTTCGGAGAGCAATGTGGAGCAGTTGACCTGGATGATGGGTCCAGAGCTAAGGGAGTTTTTCATTCAGCTCAGTGTAGATGATCAAATCCATGGTGAAATATGGTGAAATATGTATCATTATGTATCATAGTGTTAGAATTATGTTAAACAATGTTAATTGACCAATATTAGATATATTGTATCCTCTATGAAGGAAAAGGAGCTACTGAGCAACTGCATCGAAATCGGACATTTTTGGACCATGCTGATGTCGCTCGAAAGCCTGCTAGAAGACTAGATTCCTTTCCCATCTCTGGACAAAATCAGAGATTCACAGTGACATCAGTGACACGCAGATGCGAATTGGCTCGGGGATTATTGATTTCTCAAAATGATTGGTTTGGATGGTTTGGCTCAACTGATCCTACAAATTTGTATGTCAAGAGGACTCAAACTTAGGCACTTGGACACTATCGTTGGATTCCATGTTGAAGTCTTTGTCCGTTGATGTGTCACTTCTCTGTGTTCAGCAGGTACTATGTGACAGGCCCTGTCCCAGCAGTTCATCGACTACCTCGCATTGTCAGTCTGGTTCCCAAAGATGTGCTGAGAATCACTCCCTTTTCAAACACCCACATCTGATCCCTTTCCATCTGAGAATTCAATCCGGATATATCCAGATGTGTTTGGTGATTTGGGGCTCCAAAGTTAACCTAGTCAAGGGCTTCCCAAACTTGGCTGGCAGGCTGCACCAGCTATCGCGATAGTGGTCAGACTGCTGGTCCGTACAACATTGCCCGCATCTTTGTGGAGGGACCGTGTGAATCTCAGGATGATGGGATAGATGGGAGGATGTCAATGTGCATATGGCATGATATGGCAACCTAAAGTATCTAAAGTTTGGGCCAATCCCACATGTGGCTGGGTTTGCCTTCGAATGGCACCGCGCAATTGCAAGTTGAATGGCGGACCTGATGTCAAAACATATAGAGTTCTGGGGTATGTAATTTTGAGATATACTGAGTTGGAAGGAATTGTTTGATCTCTGTCCGAATGCTGCTGGCACAAGCTTTGGAAATTCCGGGCCGTGGCCTCGTGCTATTGGAAAGTGGCTTTCATTGGATCGGTTGCAGGCACTCCTGGTGTGGGAGGATGCCCTGGACCTCACCCTGAAGTCATTACACGAGCCAGTTCGGGTTTCGGAACATTACGGCTCCAAGAACGAAATTCTTCTTTGGAGCCGTAATGTTCCGAAACCCAATCTGGGTCGTGAAAATCCGTTGAGGTCTTCGTGCACTCAGTTCTCAGCATGTCGTGTGTCGGTGGTTTTTCCCCGCCTTGAACATCCGCGTCACAGGAGGTCCGCCACCAAGCATTGTCCACCAAGGACCTGTGGCCAAAGAAGTGTTCGGACAAGACAAGTTCAGCTGCGCGCAGCCCCTATTTTGCAGCGGTTTGTTTAGCACGATGGAAAAACCGTGGGCATTTGCTTTAGTCCAGTGTCCATGGTGATGTGTTGAGATGCGGTGATGCACAAGAGGCCCCTTATTGCGAGTGTTTTGCGTGTGATGGTGGAGGCCTTCTTGGAACCTTTTTGTCCAGTGCCGTCGACTCTGGCGAGGAGTCTACAGTGTCCCCTGCAATGGTCAGATCTGGCCACGCTCATTGACAGTGACTTCCGCAATGTATGCAAAACAAACTCGCAACTGAAAGAGTGTGAGGCAGCACGTCAGGAGAGTGTGGCGGCGTTGACTAGAATATGTATATACGCAGGAGGCAGGTTTTCAGCCTGTCCAAACAGTGACAGCAATGAGATGCGCGATTTGCAGATGCAAAAGTTGCCCAAAAAAGTTTACAAGAAATGCGGACAAGAAATGTGGCACAGCGGCATCTTAAAAAGGCATTGGCCAAGGCCAAAGTGCTAGCAGAACAGCCAGATAAAATGATTTGGCAAGCGTCACTTGAGCTGAGGTTGCGGCACCTTCCTTTTGGGGGGGTTCCAAACATCACTTCTAGGTGGTTGGACAACGAAGATGGGGTGTGTTTCAATGGGCCATTTTGCAACCTGGCACGGTCAACCTGCTGAGAGAGTCAAGAAAGAACCCCCCAAAGAAGGACAAACAAGGGACATAGCGTACCCAGCATTCAATCTGCTTATGACAACCTTAGTTAGGCTATACACGGATATACACGGTATGTTCCACTTTGATTCAGGGCCTGGGAGGTCTGAATTGTCGCTGTTGTGAGGTTGAAAGGCATCAACATCTACGGCTTCTCCATCTCTGTGCGAAATCCCACGTTACAGGAGGTGTCACAGGTGAGCTGCAGGGCGAACGTGCCATGGTAGGATCATTCTCATCCTGCCATGGGGGTCGAAGTTGGGCCCCTTATCAAAGTCAACAAAATGGTTGATTTTGCACAGGAAATCACAGGAACATCTTTGTTTTGCCCCTGAAAATCTTAGACCCTGCTTGGTGTGGTACTGGTACGTGATGTACGTAATGTTCTGCTGCAGATCCTGTCGATGACTGACCCATGGTCAGATGTGGTCTGAGACTGAGAGATCTGGAGGGACGGTGTGTCTATCTTGCGCAGAAATGAATCAGATTGATCTGAGATGATCTGAGATCTTCAACAACTCCAAAAGCTTCAAAACCAATCACCAGACGTCGGCTGAGATGTCACTGAGCCACTGAGGATTGGAATCTGACGACTCGTGGACCCGCCTGGCTCACAGATGTCATTTTAACTTTGGTTTGGGCAGCTCCTGGGGTCAGATTTTCCGGTCAGTGTCAGTTGGTCTTTGCATCTTCTGTTTCTTTCATATCTTTTCCCATGTGTCTCCCTTTTACCATGTGCTCATATGTGCTCCACCATTGGTTTTCCATGTTTGCAGCATCTGTGATCTGATGCCCATCTCCAAATCCAACAGACGGAACCCATTCAACAGTCAAGAAGATGGAAGCTCTCGAGTGTTCCGGAGAAAACGAGGGTTTCCAGGATTATACTTGTACATCAACTGATTTACTTGGTTCAAGTCATCTCATCACTAATTATTCTCCATTCCTAATTGGTCCTATATTTCATCAGAGTTTTCCGTTGGTTCCTAATTTAATTGATTCCTTATCGATTCCCAATCAACTGATTTAATTAATTGGTTCCTAATTGGTCAGTTTCCCACCTTTCCCGTTCCATATTCATCCATATTCCATCCCAATTTTCATGTGGCGATTAGATAGATTGTTCAGAAAATTGTTCATGACATAAACCACCCAGCTATTGAGGTACCCTCATGTTTTTTTAATGGATGGTTTTTATTCATGAATAATCCATCCATTTAAAATTTAACGGATGATTGTTTGATAGACTATGTAAATTAGCGATTTCTAAATGGCCCATTTTTTAATAGCAAACTGTTAGTCACCAGAGAGGGTACCCCCCATGACTTCCTAAAGCTCCGTATGTTGGACCCCAGGAAGGATCCCCGGTCTGTGCCACCTATGGTGGTGCCCCTGGAGCTCCGGATGGGACTGGATCCTGGCTCCTCGGCAACTGGGGATTGGATGGATTTAAGGTGGGATCAAGATGGATTTAGATAGATTTAGATGGATTTCATTTTTTTTAGACATGAGTAACATAGTTCATAACTGTTCACATTTTTGCAGTCATACAGACAGTTAAAATGGTGGACAATAACATCAACTGATGAAATCATGTGATGTGCAGAACCAACCACACAGAGAGGACAGGCGTGCGACATTTTCTGAGACTCACGACGCGGCATACCCGAAACCGTCAGCCACACCAGATAAAGGACTGGGATGTAGCAGGGCACCAACAATTGGTAGGGAATCATGCAACATTGTAAATAATGGGACTATAATGGGATAAACCATGTACCAACTGGTGAAGGATTTCTTCCATCCACAGTAGTAACCACATGGTTAGACTTGATATCAGCGATATCAGCATCAGCAACTGCAACCACTTCAACTCTGCTGTCAGCAGCGATTAGAATTCTCATGTAGAAAGGGTGTTGTTGAAAAGGCAAAGTAATGTCACGCATAGCTTGACTATATAATACTCTAATAACTCTAATATGAAACCCATGAATACAGAGATTTTCATATATCAGTGATCAGCAGTTTTTTTTCTGGACCTTGATCATAACAGGCAGTAACAGCTTCCCAGCTTCGCAGCTTCTCCAAGGCGCTTGGTGAACAAGTCGATTCCTCCAAAGGCCTCCGTCAGTGAAGCCTTGGCCACAAACGGGCCGGCAGTAGCAGTGGGGGATGCCCAGGGGGACGGGATGGCCAGTGTCCGGGTGGACCCAGCTAGGGGTAACAAGGCAAGTGGAGATGGGTCAAAACAAAACCGAGGTTTTTCCCATGTGAATGGCAGATGAAGAGCCATCATGATCCATCAACTACAGCTCTATTCTTGGAGGTTTTGATTTATGCATCCAGAAATCCATGGCAATTTTTCCATCCATCAGTCATGTACCAATTCAATAAGAAGGTTATACCTCAGAAGCATCTTCGTCAAGGCAATCAGAACAAGCTCTTGTCTGATGAACCGACAAAACACTCAGTGTATACTGTACGTATGTATGAGGGCACCTCTAGTTTGGGAACCTCAAAACAGTGTTTCACAAAAATTAAGCAGATTGGATGTTCCATCTTCCTATCATTTCCTATCTACTCTTAATTCTATTCTTGAGTTTAGGATTCTAGTCCAATTCGTCACCATGCTCTTGCAATTTTGCACCTTGTCCGTTTCGCCGCAACTGATGCTTTCAGTGACGGACTGTCGCTTGAGTGAAACACACCACAGCTGGTAACGGAAGAGTCTGAAACCAAGACTGCAACCAATCCCAGGTGACGTAGGTCGTCAAGAAATATGTCCCGTCAACCTTTAGCATTTAGGAAATCAATTGCCGAATTCCCATAGACATGTCCCTTCAGTGCAGCGCGAAGACCTGAGCCACAAAGTTTCACAGCAACATTTGAGCAGAGCTACTTACCATTGCTTTCCCTGGACAACATGGCGCTTTCTCAGGCAATAATTGGGGGGTCAACCATTTGCAGTTGTCTCTGCAAGACTTAAATTTTGACATTAGAGTTTCCTGGAAAGAGTCAGCAGTGTGGAGGAGTTGAGGATTCAAGCTACGAACAAGGCGAAATCAACCAACTTCACAAAATCAATGGAGTGATTACAGGGACAAAGATATGACCCCCCCTGGAGCGAATTGGAATGGCCTCTTGATGCTACCCGTGTTATCATGTGTCGCCAGGAGGAGAAACTGGAAAGAGCGCATCAAAGTCTTCAGGACACTGAGGGCTTTCCAAAGCACCAAGTCTTGTTGGAAGATCGAGGTTCAACTGGTTCGACTGAGTGACTGCAAACATTTCGATGCTTATTAAACTTGAACTCTTTCTATTTTTGTGTGGGAACTGGACAGAACAATCAGAATGTTATTTTGAGCAGAACTATCCTTTGCAGGATTTTGAGGAGATGCTCCAGAACTTTCGGCTGAGCACGAAGGAATTTCAGGAGTGCTCAGACGACGTAGTGATTTCACAGCCAACTGATCCAAGCTTTGTCCCTTCATGCTTTGGGTTTCAAAGCCCGAAGTTGGCAAGGTTGTCCTAACTTAATGGATTCCAGAGTGAAATCTCCCAGAATGGGTTTATGCTTTCAGGTTTGAGAGACAATTCACAACCCCCTAGATTTGATGGTTTCCAATCCATTGATAAGTTATGAAATTCCCAGGCACAAAGCGTGCCAGGAGATGAACAAAGTGAGTGACAAACCCGGCATGGCAGCCACGGAGGTCAGCTGGGGGGTCCGAATCACTGACTGGATGGGGGAATCCCTGCAGAGGTGAAGAGACTGGAAGAATCCATGGAAGACTTTCAGCACACCTTGAAGCAGTTTGGTTTGGATGTCAAGGACTGGTGAACTGGTGGACTATTGTGGACTATGGTGGACTATGGTGGACTGGTATGAACAGCGATTCTTCATTGTTTGAGCATCCCATCAAGTTGGACAACAAACCTGTGCGCCATTTGATGGTGAGCGGGATAACCAATGGGGGCACGCAGCATCCATCGATTTTACCCATTTTCAGCGCCCATTGTATCCCACTTCTGGTTGGTGAATCATCCCAATTATGTACCCATTGCTTTGGCTGACCTATACCGCTTGTTTTTGGACGCACAAATGTTGTTCGCATTTTCAGGTCATTTTATTATATTTGAAATTTTATTGGTTGTGCACCCACTACATGACAACATATGACAACCATACATGTCACTTAATACATCTTAATACCATTTTCCCCACTGACTTTGTCCAAACATTCCCATTTTGTGAAATTCCCTTTGTACATCTTCACTCTAGATTTTATACACTATCCTCAATTTTTGGTGGCTATATCATGATACTGGTTATATCTCCATCTTTAAGGTTTGATGTTATTGGTAATATAATAATATATAATATCCCCACATAGCTTCTTTCATGGTAATCTCTTCATTTTTGTTGCTTGATGTTCGGAAAACAATTCTAAACCATCCATATTTCGATGGTTTATACCACCCATTTGTGGTAAAATTGGGGATGGATCCCATTGCTTTACCCACATCGTTCTTCGTTGAGGAGATCACGGCCAAATGCTCTTCGCACTTCACCGTGCCCGGCCTTCCCATGGACCTGCGACGGAGTCCCTGGTTGGAGAGCCATCGGGACAGAGACGTCAGAAGGTGGTTAAGTAATATTAAGTATATATATAATGTGTATATATGTATAATACATAATATATATATATATGTATCATTATGTATCACTATTATACATATAGACCATTGTATATATATATACACACCTTTTCCTACTCTTCGATACTTTCCAAGGAAAAAACCGTTTATGACAATTGTGACATTGAGGACCTCTTTGAACATATTTCGTTTGAAGGAACTCAAACCGAATCACCAAGAGTTCTGATCGCTGGTGGGATGACCGTGGCACTAGACACCGCAAACCCCAGCCGAATTTTGCCAAGGAACAGATGCCTAAAGGCTACCTAAGGAAATAAAAGTTGTAGAGAGCACCATGTTGGATGATTTGATATGATTTCATTTATGATGTCATATGAGTTCGTGTGGTTTCAGAGGAATTCAAGACCCAACTTGGCGTCCATTGGCATCATTGAGCTGGTGAGCTTGAGGCAGAAAATAATGATCTTTGCTGCTCAGGTTGGATGCAAACTGTCAATGAAAGTGGAACATTGAGAAAAGAGGCCGGACCATGGCTGTGACTGATTTTGACTGTTGAACGATCTTTAACGCTTTCACCTTTTAGTTCACCCTTTTCCGCTGAGACATTCCATTTGAAGCCCAAGGTCTGGTGGCCCCTCATGTCAGGCCGGCGAATCATTAGAGAAAGTGCGTGCTGCAACGACCGAAGCCAAAGCTTTGGCGAAGAAGGAGCGCAGCAGCGCCTGCTTCCCACCACGGGAATCGTATTTCATGGAGAAAAGGTGTGAGGATAGGCTGCAATGTCTTTGCAGCTGGGTAGGCGGCTTTCAATTGAGTATACATATGTCTTTTTGGTTTTGGCGGATCTCGCATGTCACGAAATGTAATTACTGTAATTTCCGCAGATGATCCATGTTCCAGAAGATGTGTCCAATCAAACAGGCTGTGGCATCTGTGGCTATGGGTGCAAATCCGTTCCCCAAAATGGGTAGTTCACATTCACATCCCAGGCAAAATTACTTCATGTTCATTCTTGGGAGCAGCACGGGGAAGGTTCACTCGTATTTGTTTTTGGTTGACCATATTTCGGTTGGCAAACACCGGTTCTATCCCATATTTTGGCTGGTTACATAAATCCCTAGTATTCCCTAATCTTGTAATTTCCCATACCAACCCTCCCAAGGGGCGCTTTATCGTTATTGAAGTAGTCAAATATTCATAGTAAGACATGTCCTGGAACTGTGGCTTGACTCCCCTCACATCGAAACCCACCCAATTTGGTTGACCTCCCAATTTTGGATGGGTTGATTTCTACATGGTAAATACATGTAATACCATCCTTCGATCGATCGCAAACCTGGTCAATTCCGATCAGTTTCAATTGGTTCGATTTCATGATATAAACCCACAGTTGGTTAAACCTTCAATCATCTGGTCAATTCCTATCAATTTTGATGGGTCAACTATCATTCTGAAATCCCAAAGTTGGTGACATTTTTCGTTGGTTGGTTTGAATCCCATGTGTTTCATCCCATGAAAATCCCATGATATAAATATGATATAAATCATGAATATGGAATCCCATCAAATTTCATTGATTCCCGTTAAATCCCACTAATATCCCATTAAATTACCGTGAAATCCCATGAAATCCCATTGTTTGCTTCGTAAAAGTGTGAATCTCTGACGAAGCCAGTTGGGTTCCAGGAGATGCTGAAGGCTGCAAAGGCGAAACTGCAGCTGGAGGATGATCCTGGAGAGATGGCGGTGGCCAAAGCTCGACAATTGCTGGAGGTCGTTGAAGAAAAGGCGGTTTTTGATGGTTTTTGCGGTTTTTCTGAGGATTTTCTGCGGGATTTGGATCATTTTTGTGGAGATGGATTGTTTGTTTTTTTTTTTTTTAAATGGGATTTTCAAATATGATTTTCTTTACGAAACTGATGGGATTTCCCCCAAAAAATGACGGGAGATGGGAATTTTCATGATGGATGTTCATTGGTTTTTCAACAAAGGCTCTTGAATGACATCTGCAAATAGGAGCACATGCAGCAGAAACCACCAAAAAAAGGTTTTCATACAGAAAAGGCCAGGTTGATGGTGACTAGTGACTTGTGAGAATTCAGCAACCACAATTGATGAGATGGGGCTATCCGGCTATCCCTACAAGGCCGGGATATATCCCGGGCATGGCTGTTACATGGTTGGCTGATGTTGGCTGATTTCGCTTTCGGTACTAGCCCTCGACCGATGAGGATGACAGAAATAGAAAATGGTCTGTTGTAGGGAAGATTCGGAAGATCAATGAGTAAAACTATGTCGTAAATGGTGTTTCACCACCTTTGGACCTACGGTACTCATTTGGGATATTTGGAAACGCGTCTCCACCAAAACTTGCCGGGGGACTCCAACACGGCACAGTTGGCGGACAGGCGGAGCCCTTCATTGGAATTCCCAAAGGCAAAGATGAAGGTGAGATGCAATGGCTGGCCAAGGAGTCAGCAGGTTTGCCAAAGAATCCCCAGTTTTGGGATGTTGGATGTTCTTGGCCGGGGCCAGGTGAGAGATGTCAGGTCTTGACCACTCTCCTCAAGATCATTCAAGATCCTCAAGTCACGACGTCGCAGGAGCTCGAGCCGATGATTGAAGGTGTTGACGAAGCCATCGAATCTGCCAAGTCTGAAGTCGTCTCTCATCCACTGAAGATGGAGATTGAGATCGAAGAAGAGATCAAAGAGGATGCAAAAATATGCAAAAACTGTGTGGCTGTGTGTGGACATGTCCTGACATGGCTGCAACGCATGACAAAGCACGTGGCAAAAAATGTAGAACGGAATAGAACGAAATCGATATGGTCTGCTCAATAGAAAACATTTCATACCGTAGCAAAATCACAGCAGATTCCTTGAGCTCCTCAGCCAATGTCCTAATTGTGAAAGGACATCAAGGAATACCTCAAAGATGAGGCAAAGAAGCTGCAGCCACTGGGATATTTGATTAGACCAAAAGGAAATCCGAAAGGAAACACAACTGTCAAGAATCCTGATGAACATTTGGCATCATTTGGCTATTGCCACGCACGATTTTGTTGACACCCTGCCTGCAGAGTTGCAAAACTTTGAACTGCCAAGATCTGCCAAGACTCCAAGGATGTCGTTGGGGCAGTTCAGCAGACGAACGCAACGAGTTCGAAACTTAGTGGCCAACTACCAGACTCTCGGCAGCGTGAGGGAAGGGAAGTGAGCAAGAGTGCTTTCAGATAACCTACTCAGAATATCCAAGAAGATCCAGCATCCAGCAGCACTATATATATATATGTTTACATATACATATATGTGTACACATAAATGTACACGTATGATATCTCAACCAAAGGATCGCATACGATGGACAACTGAAAGCCATCACACTCCAAAACGATGGACATCACAGGACGGTTTCCCACCGAGGAAAGACCTGCAGGATGCCAAGAGTAAGGAGCTGATTGCAGAGCTAAAGCCGCAGATTGTGGAGCAGGTGAAGGTCTGGGCGGTCTGGGCAGCTGGTGCTGGTTGCTGCAGTGTATGATCAACGAATATCAACGATGTCTGGACCGATCCAAATACTGGGTTCCGCCCAGTACCATAATATGAGTGAACTGGATAAAGATCAGGATGGGATTGGAATTCCGGGAACTGAAAGGACCTAAAATCTGTGGGACCTGGGACCTGAAAGGACCTGATAGGATCTGATGGTATTTGCATCTCCAAATGCATCCATTGGAATCCATTGGAGGCAGTGAACGTTGATGATGCAGCCGCAGAGGTGTCAGGGTTCAACATCTCGGATCACTTTACGTAGGGTAGCAATGGTGAGTTCGGCGTCATGCTGGGATTCTCGAAACGGTTTCTTCATAGAACTCGTAGGAAACCATCAGTGAATATCAGTGAATCAGATTCTTGGTGCCTTGGTGCTATCAAACATGCAGACCATCAGCTCACCATGTTCATCATGGCTCATCATTTCAATCTCCCCACGCAACTTGCTCCAAGCATTCTGGGGAAACAAGGGGTCAGCTCCGGCTTGCACACCGTGAGGTGACGACTCTAATCAAGGAGGCGGAAGTGCTGTCAGAAAAAGTCCGAATTATGGGAAGCATGTCCATGGAGGATCTTCAGGCCCACCCTGACGCAGAGCTGCTGAGCCTATCTGAGCTTTGACCAAGAACAACGACATGGATATGGGCCATTGTGTGCCCAAAACCACGATCTCCCTGAATGGGTAGGTTGTGCTAACATCCCAACTTGGCGACTATCCTGGCAACATAGTTTTTGGATGCGCCCTTGCATTGTCGCCAGCGTCCCGAGTAATTATTTGCCCAGGAAGGACAAGTCAAGGATTTCGACTCATTTCCAGCGAATTGTAGAATAATTGTCCATCATTGAAAATGTGGTATTCATATCTATCTATAGAGATGATGAATCATTGTCCACTGATACAGTAAGTTGCGGGTGTTGTATGATTACTGTAATTATATGGTATATTACCATTATACTACTATTATATCACGATTATATCACTACATATATCACTATTATATCACTATTATATCACTATTATATCACTATTATATCACTATTAGAATGTCACTATTACAGTATATTACTATCAAAGGCATTATATCATCCTATTTGTAGTACCGCGGCAACCGTTGCCTTCAGCGCCAGGTTGCTGCCAAAGAGATTGATGCCAAAGTCGCGGAAGCAGCAGATGGCCTGGAAGGTTTCCAGCAGCAGATCTGCCCTGTGGAGGACAGTTGAAATGTCCTGGGGGATGGCGGGGGTGGTGATAGTTTTTACTATGGTTTAGGATGATGCTTTTGGAAGGTTTTGGAAGTACCACATGAATGTCAACCTGAGATAAGCCTCTCATCAAGCGAGGGTTTTTCAAGAAGTACTGAGCTTTAGAATACTTCAGGTACTGTGTTTACCAACCCGCAGTACTTGCGCATGCTATACTGAAGAAGTGGCAGAGGCACTAGTTGCAGAATAGATGGCAAACGCAGCACTTTGATGGTTGACGTCATGTGTCCTTTGTGATCTTTGTGTTTGTCTTTTCCCACCCTCTTAAGGCCATTGACTTCGCGATCTTTTGCATTAGCCCTTAAATTTCAACCCTCCCATTCATCAACCACTGACAACCCTGGTTCATTTATGCTGGCCTATCATCCCAATCCCCACAGAGTCCCCAAACTCAACTGCTCCACAAGGACCACATCACTGAAGATGTGGACGAGAAGGTGAAGCAGACCTTGCGAAAGCACATCCTTGGTGAGTTCAAAGGACCGGCAGCAGCGCCGCTGTGAAGGGAGATGGGGATGGGCCAATACCTATGAAATACCATATATATACATATATATTATTTTTTGGAGGAACATCCATTTATATAATTTATCAGCCATTTTGGTCACCAAGATACGAGGGTTTGGACCAGTGGCCATATATTTGCTGCAATGATGCTGGATTTCCATAGGATTTTCTACCCATTTTCCGCCAATGAGATCAGGACTCCGGCAAAAGGTCGACTTCTTCCAGAATCGCGTCAAACGAGTCAAGGGCATCCTGGACAAATGCCATTCCCAGAGTCCCGGCTGATTATTGGCTTCTAGGTCTCAAAACCTCATGATTTCGGGCATTCAGTACTTCAATGTTCACTGGGTCCGGAAATCGGTTTGCGCACAACCGACAGTTCATTGAAGTCTTGAACCATCGATGAACCAGTGATGAACCATAATCATGATGAATTGTGGATGGCATCCGCGCCAAGGATCAGACAAAAAGATGGCCTGAGACTCAAAGGTGTGCGGACGAAGGTTCTGGGACTGATGGATGTCTTCCGAGAGGACACCCTGCCGGGGATGGGGATTGGGATGGAGATTATGCAACCTCTGATTTTCCCAAGGGCGATATTTTGATGTACCAGGTTCTTGATGCATATGCATCATGTTTTCTTTTTTGCGTTCTTTCATTTCTTGACTCTTGTTGGTGAGTTCCGCATGCCAATGTGTCCCATGTTGATGATTTCCTCATGCTAGAAAGCATTCAACATTGAACATCATGCTTTAGTCACCATTTTACCCCTGATTTTTTATTGGAACCAATCTACTGTTAGTCCGATGCTAGTCTGCCATCGCCAATATCAGGACCAAGCCGGCAAAGGGTTGGAAGGACTTCCATCCAAGGACAGCGGTGAAAATGCATGCAGCAAACAACCAGTGGATTTACCCTACAGAAAGATACAGAAAGAACAATCCATAGTTGGCCAAGGTAATCATCAATGATTTGCGCGCTTATTTACAGAATTTAATGTAATTCTGGGGGTTAATCATAATCGTGGATGATGAACCCCCCTCTAAACTCTAAGCCGATGACTATCAGTGACTATTTGCTGGCACACCTCAACAAGTACTCTTCTCATCTTTGTTGACCATGCTACCCAGACCCAAATCCTAAATTTCAGTTTGTAAGCACTGCTTGTTGGACACGTCCATTGGTTGTCCACCTTGAAAATTCATGGGATCATGATGCTGCCAGTCTTGTCAGTGGGACACACAGCCCAGTTTTTGACTACATTTGCAGAGCTGTTCCCACTAGTAGGCTCCGTCGCAATCAATGCTGATAGGCTGATAGACATTTTTTTCCCACACGCTTTCACCTACATTATCGCAGTTCACAGACGTATAGTAATTGCCACCCTAGCCAACCAACTCTGTGCCAAACTAGCTTCGATAGTTTTTGGTCAAGTACCAACCTTTCCATTGTTGGGTTTGATTCAACCGGCAGGACATCTTCGGAATGCTAGACAGAGACAAGGCACTGTGCCGCTTTCGGGAATCCAAAGAGCAGATTAATTTATGTCACGAGGATGTCGTTGCAAATTGCAGGGATCCACAGGGTGCTTTTGAATGTTTGAAGCCTTCCAGCAGTCAATTTCTCAGGATAGCTTCAGTTTCGCTTGGAGTTTTCCTACTGCAGTAGGCACAGGTTGCTACCACAAACAATCGAAATGCGCTTTTCATAGACCTTGGTAAGCCCACAGCATCCAAAGGGGCCCCACAGCATCCAAAGGGGCCCAGCACCTGAATCGGTCCCATTCCTCAGTGCCAGGATGGTCTTATCGGAAAGGAAGAATTTCTCTTTTTCTTTGATGACGTGGCGCAGCTTTTAGAGGCTCAATTGTGGTTACACCGGACAGAACATGACATGACCTCAGTTGAACACCAAGAGTAAAGAGATGTCCAATTTGCACATATTTGTACCTTTGCTGATGTTATCTGATACCATTTGCTTTTTCCTCAGAAACTGAAACTCCAAGTTGCTCAGCTTTCAAAACGCCAGGAGAATCAGGAAAGCCTGCGCACATCCACAGAGGTGCCAGAATTTGTCGGAAAAACGCCGAAAAGCGATGGCAACGGGTCAAAACTGGTGTATCCCCCAATAATGACCCAACTATAGTGTATTGACACCGATTTAACGATGTAAAATAATAGTGCCAAAGCACTGGAGGTTTTGTGTACCCTAAAATGGTATTATATAATATTATATAATAATAGTAATATTATATACCTATCTTCGGGCACTCCAAAGTGCTTCCAAGCCACAGACGGCACACGTTGAAATCAATTATGGGCACAGGCGGGGTCAATGGGATCCAGAGGAATTGATGTTGATCATGGTCTTCCCGATGAATTGATGGCCATTCATTTTGGTCCCTTTACCCGTTTTTGGTCAAAGTGATTAGCTGATGAACATTGATGAACCATAGTTTCTGTTTGATTCCTGCTATACCCGTCATCCATCATTTCAGATGGTCAAAAGTCAGACCACAATTTTGGCAGAAACCATTGGGAGTTGAGATCAGCTGTGGAGGACTTGGAGAAGCTTTTCGACTTTGGCCTCAGGGATGGGCATGAGGGCCTTTCCTTTGAAGCCTTCGAGCGCTTGCTGATTCGATTTGTTCAGGTTGGGTAGCGTTGTAGATGTGCCATTGTCAAAACTTTGATTACAGACCACTGGAAGATGGTCACAGCAGCATTGGAATGGATTTCTATGCCGATTACAAGGAATCCCTGTTGAGACGACCATACCACAACCATGTTTTGACCATGGCAGCCATGGCACAGACGACGCAGATGTGTTGTGTTTTCAGGTGGTGCGGCCAACGGTGATGACGCAACAACTTACCCTGCCTGGGGAGGCCACCGGAGAGGTTTCCAGTTTATGGGGGTACCCCCAAATTCCCAGTCATCATCCATTTGCAGATGGGATTTTCCATTATAATTCATCCATTTGGGAGTACCCCCATTTATGGAACCCCCCATATATTTAGTAAGAAACATGAACAGATTCAACTGATTTCTAATGAACAGGTATATAACTTATATAACTGATTAGGAACAGCGCTGAGAGGCACCTGGTGGTTTTAAGGGGGTTTGCGTGCACTTCCCAATGTAACTGTGCATGCAGCCTTGCACGCCTGCTTTTTCACTTATCAAAAACTACTTCAACCATGGAACAATTTCAGCGTAACATGAACATGAACGTTAACATCCCACCCCACCCCATGATCAACGTAACATCATCAGCGTGATATGAACATGAACGTTAACATTCCACCCCACCCCACCCCACCCCACCCCACCACACCCCATCATCAAACAAAAACAGAAAAAAAACAAACAAAAAACACCAAGAAGACAACAAAACACCCAGGCGCCCTGCAGCGCCCATGGCAACTGATTCAATGGGTCTAAGGCTCTAAGCACGGTCAAGATGCGGCTAGCGCAGTGGCAGGCGGTGCGGGAGGTCAAGCCCAACGAGATCTTGGAAGTTCTTGCAGGCCCCGGACTTGGATTTTCCATGTTACTGTGGTTGGTGGCACCAAATTCTACTAATGTGGGTCAAACAATGTCATAAACCACCCATTTGGGAATGGTTTATACCACCTATCTATGGTGATTTGGGGGATAGTTTATTGAATTGTTGTTTTACCCACATTAACAGTTTCATTGATCTGAACCCTCAGAATGCCCCGTACAAGATGGGACATGCACCATGAACATGACCACCTTCGCAAACTGTCTTCGATGATCCCAAACATGAGGAACCCCCGTTCCTGTCACTATCCACAATTTTTCGAGCTATGCTCACAGTCTCGTTCTTAGTTCCTTTTCCAGGCAGTGTCCCAGCTAGTGAACTCACGAATTCTCAATACTTCTCAAATAATTCTCGATGGTTTTCAACAATTTTCAACACTTCTCAACATCCCAAGATTCAGAAGATTTGGTCTATTTTGGTCTTGTTCTGCGTCAGAACCCAGCCCAGTTGGTCTTCCAGGACCACAGGTTACGGCGAAGATGAAGCGTGTCTACTGCAGATCCAAGGATGGTGCCATCGGCTGGGTCACGGTCATTGGAAACGTGCAGAAGCTCAGGAATGGTTAGGGTCACTGCAGTGGCATTGCAAGCTATCTATGGGGGATACTCCCATTTCGATGGGGAATGAGGTTCTGAAACCGAATGGGATTTTGGGGGACCTGTTTTCAGACAAATCCAAATTGTTTTGCCAAGAAATGGTGTGATATGAGTTGATTTTCGTGGAATCTATTCAATCATCGCACTTGGAAGTCAGCGAATTTGAATCATAGAGCCTTCCTGCTTCTTTGGGATGTTAACTGGCTCAGTACGCCGGAACGCTCGATTTGGATCATTTGTTGAAATTGATTTGATCATTCCAAGGTTGGAAGCTTCTTCGTAAAAGACTTTCAGCCAGAGTGAGAGTCGGAAAGATATGTCACAGACACATCTCTGGCAGCAGACATGCCTCAAAGGGAGGACTGCGCCTATGCCTTGGCACTGCCTTGGTAACATTTGGTAACTACCTCTACTGTATGTAACAAATGTATACACATGTAGCCTTGGATGTCGACAGATTGCGGCAAATCGAGCTTTGGGAGGGTCTGAGTCTGCTGGTTATCTTGGTGGATCTTGGTGGGGGATGATGTTCAAAGTTGTGAAGTGGTCATGTCGGTCACGTGGATAATTAGATGTCATATGATGTCATCACAGTTCATCACAATTTATCACAATTCATCACACTTCATCACATGTCTTTGTCAAATTTCAGTTGAAACTTCGGCTCTTTAGCACGGTGAACAGTTGATGAAGTTGCCGGGGGCACCTGCTCCAGTGCTACAGATTTTCAAAATGGAATGCCGCCGTGAGCCGTGACACGGGACAGGCAAACGCATGTTCACTTGACATAGAGATACGGAGAACCCGATGTCAGGTGAAGAACAATCATTTTGGTAGACTTGGGAGAATTGAACTGAATTAAAATGACTTATTTTGAATTACAAGAAAGATCATTTTATAAGATTCTCCAAGATCTGTATATCTTAAAAAGAACATTCCTGAGTTCACTCTCTGGAAGCACGCGACCAAGCTCTCCAGCGTGGGTCTTTTGAGGTGACCCTGACGAATTGGCTGCCCTTTGCTTTGACCCAAGTGGCCTCACATGCAACGGTCAGCGGCTTGGTGAACCAATGTGAACCAATTCTGGCAGAGGAAAAGGTAAAGGGGAAGCAAATTCTGGCCATTCTCCTTGAATGAGCTGTTGATAGCTGTGGTTGTCGAATGGAGGCGCTATTTCCTTCATGGCTGCTTTAAAACATCTCAGATCTTGAAACATCTGCACACCTGCAGATGGTCTTTATGTTGGATGTCGACTTCTCTGGATTCCTGGAGATCTCAGCACCTGTCGGCCAAGCTCCAAGTGGTGACTTCCGAAGCTGTGAAGACATCTGAAGTCAAGGTAAAGTCATGGCTGAAACTCTCTGAAACCTCCAAGATGTTTCACAATGACGATTGCAAAAACCTTGCGTCCAACATCGTCCAACCAGCCCCTGTTTCCGAGAACATCACATTGCAAAGGCTTCGAATGGCTGTCAGCTCTGGTTACCTCCCAGCCTCAAGCGCCTTACAACGTGTGGCCCCCAAGGATTTGCATGGATTCCTAGAAATGGGACCTCCATAACCTCCATAACCTCCATAAACATCCATAAACATCCATTAATATCCATTAATATCCATTATTTGATGGGATATTCCCTTTTCCGATTGGTCGTCCAAGATTTGTGTACCGCTCATCACCCACAGTTGCGATGCCGAGGAAACCCATAGCTTCGAAGACCTTCCGCAGGCCCACTGGTCGCTGGTTGAACAATATCATTTACAGCCCCAAGAAAGATAGAAGAATCAAAAACCTACTAATATAATCTAAACTCGGTGGAAGTGACTTTTCATTCTTTCTGGCGGTCACTATATATACGTACGTATATATATAATATAATATAATATTATATATATATACATATGTATCCATATATGTACATTATACACATGAGACTTTGCCGCCACCGGGCATAAATTTGTCGGGATGGCTCGATGACAGGTGAGTCCAAGTTCGCAAGGCACAGATCTCAGTTTACCCGACAGTTTGCTGTTGTAGGGACCATGACATGACCATTAAATTCCGTTAATGGAGATCAATGGGGTATAGTTAATGGATGTTCATGGATGTTAATGGAGTATACATCCCTTAAACATCAGCATAGTGTGTGCTTGAGTCATACGAATTGTTCTGACAATGTCCTATATGCACAGAAAACTCAGTAGGTTTGAAGTGAGAGCAAATCCCCTTTGCAGTGCTCCATCAGACAGAAAATGGCTGCCTTGTATCGGGCAAGTTCCGAATCTTTAAGATGTCAAATAAGATGTCAAAAGATATATATATATATGTATGTATATGTATAATATGATGTATATATATATATATATAACATGATATATTTTGATACAATTGATTGTTTATTTGATATATATATATGTATACATATTCATGATATATATATATACATTTAATATGATATGATAATACAATGTTATATAATACAATATTATATGATACAATATGATATAAAATATGATATAAAATAATATAATATAGAATATATATATAGTAATATATATATATATATACACATAGTAATATCTATCTATCTATCTGTCTGTCTGTCTGTCTATCTGTCTATCTATCTATCTACCTATCTATCCTATCCTATCCTATCCTATCCTATCCTATCCTATCCTATCCTATCTATCTATCTATAGTAAGATATGTGTATATATATAGTACTGTAAGATATATGTATATATATATATAGAGAGAGCTATGTTCCACTAAATGCTTTGATCAAACCATGCAAGATGTGCATAAAACTACCCAATCACCTAAAACTTCTGTTTTGGAAGTCCCTTGAGGTGCCATGCTTCAGTTCATCGAAGGGCAGTACCGTGCTGGTGTTCGCTATGGATTCCAGGCGGGTGTGGCCAGGAGTTAGGTACGGAGTTCAAATAAAAGCATGGTACCCATGGTGGTAAGGTAACCCGTGAACTCCGTAAACCATCCACATCATCCACAATTTGAGACAGCATGTGCTTTGTCCAACATCTTTGAGTTTTCCCTGATTACAGTGTCATGGTGTCAACACTGGCCTGCCCGACATGAGAAACACGTTCTCGAGGCACCTCTTTATGTGCCGGATGTGGGTCCAGTGACGAGCTTGTCTGCGCTGCTTGGCGACAAGAACATCCACAAGAACTGGGAATGTTTATTCACTAAACATCCAATAGAAGGATTCCAATAAAGGATAGCCTTGTTATGCCTTGTTCATCTTACAAGAGGAGCTTGAGGAAAGATGCTTCAATAGTCCGCAAGAGACGACAGATATGACTCTCTCGAGGACATGGTTCGACGACAGGTTGCGTATAAAATGGTTCAATCAGTCCAAGGCACCCCAGAATGCCTCGATTGTGACAGCAATGAGGTTCTACATTAGTCTCCTGGTGGCCAATCCACTAGGCTGGTCACATGGTCGACTTCGGCGTCTGAGCATATCTCAGCATATCTCAGCATTATAGAAATTGTTGGGTCACATGGATCAGGCTTCCTGTTGAGATGTTGAAGTGTATTCCGACATGATAGTGGCTACTCTGCTGGGAAACGCTGGCAGTTGCTGCCAGGTCCCGCACTTCCAGAGGGAATCAGTTCAGTGGTGCGCAACTAAGCGGTGTGACGCTGATCAAGACAACAACTATGAGCTGATGACCAGCCATTTCTGAGCTCTGCTAGATGAGTCATCTGATAGGAATTGTCCAAAAAAAGCAAGTTTTTTTTTAAGTGGTGCGAAGAGTAAAAATCGCTTGATCACTGAAGTTCAACAAAAATTGCGCTTCGAAACACTCAGATACACTCAGATCTGGCTGTGTGCCGATTCAGCCGTGTCGTTTCCTGCGCAGCGACAGCTCGCAGCGCTGCGCCGGTCGCGAGGTCTTTGCAGAGCCCGTCCGCGCCATCGTTGATTCCATGGCACGGGTTCGGCACCCAGGGCTCGACATTGGTGGCCGAGGGTATCCATCGATTTGGGTTGGGATCAAAACCAGTGAAACATATTGAAATAGCATGAAATAGCATGACTGTAGCTTATTGTATTGTAGCATATTTGGGGGAGAATGAAATGGAATGAACATCCCCTTGTCATCCATAGATCGCAGCGATTTTGATGTGAACAAAGGGTACCAGGGTTTTGACACAGGGGTCACTTGGGTTGAAAGATGTTGAAAGCACAGCCATCCCTCCAATGAGCTGTGCCGAGTCATCCAATAAGCTGCCTGGAACGACTGCGGAACTCATGCTGAAGGCACAGAAAGGGAGCACCAACCGATCTCTATGGTGTATCGGTATAGTTGCTGCGGTTGCCTGTTTTGTCTCAGACTTTTTGGATCTTTGGGTCCGAACGAAGGTCATGTCATCAGAGGGAGAGAGGCACATTTTTGTAAAGACTCGATTGACCCAATCCTGGAATTTGCAAAACAAAGCTAGGAGAATAATAATACTAGGAGAATACCAGGAGATCCCGAGGTCCCCTAAGTCTTTTTTTGTGCCATCTCCGAGCCTTGTGCCAGCTACGGATTGCCACTGCGGTGCCGGACCCATCCTACCTTCAAATCACCATGCCGCCCGGGTATGGTCCACTTCCCAGTCATGGACCTCAGATACAGAGCCGACATCTTGATGGATTGCGTGCTATCCCCTATAAATTGGGGGATTTTCAAATGCCAGGATTGATTACCAGAGGAATCCAGAGGGTACTTGAATCCCAAATGATTTGATCTGTACTTACATGAACTGCAACACCATTGTTTGAGTAGAAACGGAGGTTGTGTAGGAATGCATCCAGTTGGAGAGGTCTACTTGGAATTGAATGGTCCCGATTCCACCGATGTTTCCGGGCGGGCACACCCCATGGCATGAAACTGAGGTGGAGATTGTGGTAAGAGGTTGGGACCGGGGGTGGCTTCCCCCGAAAGGATCGGTGCCGGGTTCACTGTACAAACTCAGCCCTCAAGAGGCCATACACCAAAGTTCTTCAAAAAACAGACAGTTGAGAACCACTCTGGAAACCAATAACCATCCACATCCACGCTGATATTGGTTATTATATAAACATTACTAAATTACCCAGATATCAGTGATGTCAGTGTTAACTGACGGAAGTTTAGAAGTCAAGCTTCCGACTTATGGACAGATGCAGCAGCAGTTGTGAGAACAGTCAGAGAAGAGAGAGTCAGTAGAATGAAGATCAGAGAAGAGAAAGAGTCAGAGAAGAGAGAGAGAGAGAGCAAGAGGAAAGAAGATCAAAGGGCGCGAAAAGGTAGAAAAGTCGCGAAACACTGTGTTTTTCCGATGTTTTGTGGCTCTGGAGGGTCGAAAAGTCCCCCTAAAGCGGCGGGTGCGGAGCCATCTGCAGGGATGAAAGATAATGGCGCGAAGCGCATTTGGAAGTCAACATGCAAAAAACGCCTCAGCCTCGGAGCACTTGTGGAGGCTGAGATGTTCAAAAAGTGCACGCGACTTGGCGCAAAGCACATGTCGAAGGCAACATGTTAAAATCGCCTCAGCTTCGAAGCACTTTTGGATGTTCAGGCGTCGTTTTATGTGGCAGGCGCAATGGATTCTGCACCTAGCCAGAAGTGAGCAAAACGTAAGGGTTTTGCAGCAAGTCCAAAAATTATGGCAGGCGTGGGACGTTTGAAAAGGGTCTGCAAATCGCATGGCAGACGCAGTACAAGAGACATGTTCATCAGAGATGTTAGGACGTCAGGGCGCTGATTTCCTGAGAGGGGTTGCATTTTGGTGCATCAGATCTTCAGGTTTGCTAAGATGATTTTGCGTGACAGGTGCAGCACTTCGTGTGACCTGGCATGACTTTTCCGTGGCAAATTCTGGATCGACGATATTGCGGTAGCTAAGGTCTTGTGATTGATTTCTTTTGGGTCGCAGTGTCTACTTGGCCTGCTGCCTTCCAACTATGATGCAAGCGCAGTACTGTAGATAGATGGACGAGGAGAAAAGTCACAAAACGCATTGGTACGAGGCCGTCAGCCCTACACACAACTTTCCATTTTTGAAGGATGTCTCGCGGAATTGCTTCGTTTTTGACGCTGCCAATGTAAGAAATCCAAGAAGTCTCGCAGAATGTCATCGTTTTGGAGCTGTCAGAACTTCAGCTTTTTTGAAGAAGTCTCGCAGGCTTGCCTCCTTTCAGATGGATGGATGGATGGATGGATAGATAAATAGAAAGATAGACAAAGAGAAGAAGACAGAGATAGAGGTAGAGATGGAGACAGAGATAGAGACAGAGGCAGAGAGAGAGAGAGAGATAGACACATAGATAGGTAGAGATATAGATAGCGATAGAGCTAGAGAAAAGGAAGGATACAGAGATTGGGGGAGATGGACAGAGAAACAGGTACATGGATAGAGAACTAGCTAGCAAGGTAGATAGACAGACAGACAGATAGATCGATGGATGGATGGATGCGTGGATAGATGGATAGATAGACAGACAGATAGAAAGAAAGATCGATAGGATTAGGTAGATAGAACGATCGACCGATCGATAGCAAGAAAAGAAAGAAAGGAAGAAAAAAAGAAAGAAAGGAAAGAAAGAAAGAAAGAAAGAAAAAACGAAAGAAAGAAGGAAAGAAAGAAAGACAGACAGACAGACAGATAGACAGATAGACAGATAGAGAGATAGACAGATAGAGAGGTAAACAGATAGACAGATAGAGAGGTCGATCGATCGATCCATCGATCAATCGATGGAGGGAGAGAGAGAGAGAGAGAGAGAGAGAAAATCAGAGTCTCAGAGCCTCAGAGCCTCAACCCATCAGTGGGTTCGCTCTGCCACCCATGCATCAGCAACTCACCTCCTATAGGTTTCCTATCTTTGAAACTTCCTCAGCTGCCTTGTGCGGTACTACTTGTAAGCACCAATCATTGCATGATTACTACGTATATAACTTTACGAATTCCCCAATCATCATTAATGTGGTAAACCGAAGAACAAACCTACCATTTGGGCGATTGTTTATGCTAACCCATAGAAATTTTGATTTGGGGATAGTTTTTGACCTTGGTTTTACCACATTAACACCATGAAATCATCATTGGGGATTTCCCAGCGTCAGGCCCTGGCCTGGTCAGTTGGATTTCAGTGGCATGGAACCATTGGAGATGGCGACATGTGGCTTCCAGCGATCCGTTGGGGCAATCAGCTACCTTGGCCAACAGGTTGGGGACGAGTAAATGGTCTGGGAACCCAACCACTCACCAAATATATGGTGCTAAAATGTCGCGGATGTTGAAGATGGCTGACATTTAACGTCCCCAGCCCCGGGAATCTACTATATCTTTTATTTTGTAGTAATTAATCAGAACTAATCACCAATTATGTGTTTTATTGTTGTGTAGTACCAAAAACATGTTTTGACCTTTTATGGGATTGCAACCCGAAACATAATAGCATTCAGAAGGACTGCGCGCAGACATATGATTGGCCTTCATTACATAGAACATTGTCAAAGTCATTTATGCTCCGGAATTCTCTGCACACATTTGCACGAGAATGCTTCCTGAATCCTCCTACCTTGGGAACAGCCCTGTTGCCCTGTACGGACAGTACGACGTCTTCCACATCATAATTCGACCCACAATGCCACTGATGCCTGGGCGGCCGACTCAGTTGCGGTCGAAGCTTTGGACAGCGACATTTAGAGCTGGTCGATGTTGGTCGATGCTGGTCGTTAAGTTCTTTCCATGGTTTCCAAGGTTCCTCCAGTTTCGAATGGATGTTGTCCACTCAGATCGAAATTGCAGTGCTTTATTCCTGGTGACATACAGTTGGACACTACTGCGAAGTGTTTTTTCCACAGAGGCTTCCCCAAAATCGAGTGTCAGAACGTCACGATGTTGTGAACCAATGTATATAGACCAATGTGCCAAGATCACGAATCCTCCGGCCGAGCTTTCTGCCTTCTATACCGAAAACGAGCCTGCACCAGGGTGACTCTGGCTCGATTTGACGATTCGGAATCGTCAGGTGGATGGTTTCTACCTGCCGGGTAGCATCTTGAAATGAATCCTTCTGGGACTCTTTTATTTGGTTCAAGTAGCCGGCAACAGCCAACCGTCAACATTGCCAAGTATCAACATCACTTGAGTGGCGCCTAGAATAATGTATCATGAGCTTCTACTGGTTGGTTGTCGTTGGTTCCTAATGGTTCCCATTCATCGATTTCATAGGAATCCCCATTATGAAGCCAGCTATTCTACTCTCATCTAACGCAGTTGGAATTCCGCACACCTGGCAGGGCACGAATTTGTGGACCCGCATGCTGGAGTTTTTCCACCATGATGCAGCGACCTGAGGGAAACTGAGGTCAACCTGGAACCTGGAGGCTTTGAGCTGTGGACAAAACCTTGATCGATGCTGATAGAATCGATAGATGATAGCATGTGATAATATGGCTCTGGATTTATGTCATTTATGTCATGTTTTTGGGGTTTATATTACCAGTGGTACTATTTGTACTACCACTACTAGAATCACAAGGCCACTGCTGCTCACGCCAAGCAGTGTTGACTGCATTCCAACCTATTTGCACAGTGTCCTTTTTTGGGAGGATTTATCACTATATTCCGAGAAATTATCACTATTGTGATCTATTGTGGGATTCAAATCCAGCAACTGTTACAAGATCTGTGGATCCTGGACAGCTTCCCGTCACTCAGGTCAGATGGATTGCTCATCGACGCTCCTCAGACCGTGCCCAGTGAGCCACCCCCTTCCGTGGCTTGGATTGGAATGGAATCAACTTCATGGCATCCCAGAATCCCCAGCCAGTTTCAGTGCTTGGGTGGGTGAAAAATTGCCCCACAAATGAAACCATCACAAGAGTATCAGTTGGGATATGCCAGGTGTAAGACGTGTCTTTCGACTATGAAGTTTGTCGACGCCCACGTGTCATTATCGCTCTTGGTTATTGCTTATTGTCCTGGCTTCCTTTGAACTTTCTTTGATCAGTCGCTTCCAGTCGTGCTATGCTCACATATGCCTTTTGAGCATATTGATTCAGAATTATCCTGACATATCCTAACATTCTTACATTTTGCAGCATTGTGTACATGATCCTGCACTAGACTATGTATTCTATATTTATGTAAGACTCTATATAAGTGTATCTCTCTCTCTCTCTCTGTATATATATATATACACACATAGGGAGAGCCATTGGACATCTCCAATTATGCATCATTTCATCCCGAGGAGATGGCATTGGGAGAGTCCGGCTCCCAGTCGAGGCTTCCCTCTGCATGCTGTCATGGCATTCTACCGTAGATCGTATTTGTACATTATTTGTATTTGTAAAAACCTGGACCCTAGAGGCACTGGAGGAATATGTCGTTCTAAGACTGTCATTTTGAATCCTTGGGAGCAACGCTGAGGATTATGGCCATTTGGCCGGCTGGGCGAAATGATCGACCGAGCAAAAGCAGCCGGTGTTGGTCCCAGCGAATGCTGACCGCCTGTGGATTCCTGTAGGGGTTGAGGTGTCCAAACTGCCGTGAGAACTGTATGGAACCACTGAAGCACACAGAAAGTGCTTGAACGCAACACTATACATGCAGCATGTCAGAGTCGGTCAATGTAACCAATGTTTCACCTCGGACAGGTTCACCAGTTTAGTGATGCAGCTGTGATGCTAGGCTCATCTTCCGCTTCAGCTTGGGCATTGGTGGCCCCTTCAACACCGGGGACTCCGCAACGGGATCATCCGCCGGGAAATGACGAAAAGCAGGGCTTTGAAAATGAAATCGACTCGAAAGACTTCGAGATATTTAAAATGATTTAAACATGTATTATGTTGGAAAACGTTGGAAAACGTTACAACATGTTGGAACATGTTGGAACATGTTGGAAATCAAGGAGAGAAACCACCATTAAAAATTTAAAAAAACATAAAAAATCCATAAAGACGGCTTTCATGATCACCGTCCCTCGCTGCGAGGACCCCATGCCTGCCGGGCAGATGGAGCTGGTGGGTCCTCCGGGGACGGTGATCCCAACCCGTTGCTATCACCTGGTGGAGTCGGCATCTCAACGACCTCAACGGGGTCAACGGGCGCATTGGGAACCCCCCAAATTATCCAAGCTCTTGGCTAAAAATTGAGTCATGTTTGATAAAGCAATCATGTAATCCATGGGTATCCCAAGTTGAAAGATATTGACAGGAATCTATAGCCAGCATTGACCAGCTGAATGAACGATCATGAACAACATCCATAAATTACCGAGCCGAAATGGGCACCAAGGACACGAGTGGTGAACCTTTTTGGAAGCATCTTCAACGCCTCACAACTGGGAGTCTACTGGCGCGCAAGTGGCTGTAGTACCAGAGAGCTACTCTAAGAACGTGGCAATAGGAAATCCATGGAAATCCCACATTTTGACATGTTTTTACTAGGATCCTGAACCGTAAATGCTGAATATATATGTATATATATATATGTATAAATATGGATATTATACATATATGATATATGTATAATATATTAACATATGATTAACATATGTATAAATGGACATAATGGACATGATTCCATGATCAAGAGTTACCGCCGAGGTGGATGTTTGGGATCCAAACAGTCCAGTGACTGGATGTGAAGGCAATGGTGAAACGGCATTGATCTCCTTGGCCACTTGGATCTCAGGTGATCTCAGGTGAGGGGTGACCTATGACTCCTATGACCATCATCTTATGACTGGTATCTTCATTGAAAACAAGTGTTGACCACTCTTCTATGGGCATCTGTAATGTGACATCATCCCACTTTTTAAAGAATAGATTCTAGAGCAGCAAGACTACCGCCATTGGCATATAAAGAAACCTATACAGTATACATGCCACATATAATTGATATATATATATATATTATATTGATATGATATGATACGGTACGGTACGGTATGCGTACCCCGTGGATTTGTTGGTGCATTCTGTGTGTTGGTTAGTCACAAAGGTAGGGCCCCGTTTGATTCAAATGCCGCTGAGTCTCCCGGTCTCATCGCCTCCAATACCTACGCGTTACCAAGCTGGAATGGCGATATGACGACGATGATAGTGACGATGATGACGATGATGACGATGATGTTGGATATTCGATAGGTCAACTTGTCACAGTGGTTCTGATTTCTGACGAAGCCTGGAAGCCAATGAAGTGAGACAGATTCGACCGAGGCAGATGTTCACCCAGACGTCTCGTGCACGTATGTTCATGTATTTGCTTCATCCTTGAAGCATTTTGTGAGATCACTTGCCCTTGCTATCACTAGACATGGTTTGCTTCTGGCAGATCAAGAATAAGATTGAAGCAAGATAAAACAACAAATCATACTAATTCAAAACAATTCATTACTATACATGTCAATTCAACCTTCCAGAGTTCTTATCTTTCCATATCTTGCCTTGGGACCTGTGTCTGAGGTTTCGCATCGACATCGTGAACCCTCCGAGTCAGACGAGTTCCAACTTCTGGACCATGACTTTGTTGGATCACTTCGCCAAACCCATCCCATCCTTCCCCCTGTGGGCCTTCCCCGAAATCTCCGTGTCGACCTTCGCGCGGAACTCGGCGCCCTCCTGCTACCTGGGCGATTGCGTGGGCGCCGGGGGCATTGCCATCCCGACACTCGGACGATGCAGGTCACCGTCTGGAAATTGTAGGTGTCTTGTATGGTGTATTTGGTAAAAAAAAAGTAGGAAGGTCCCTTCTCCAGGCCCTTCCAATGATACACTGTTTTTTGTATCGATTTACTTCCTTTTTTGCTCGGACGATCTTCGCTCGTTGACAAGAACAGTGCTGCTTTGAAGAATCTTTGTCCAAAGGATTTGGTTCATCCTCCATCACTTGGGTTTGCTACAGTTTTTGATTTTTCGATAACTTTAAGTTTTTGCACTTTTGTGTGGATATGGTTTGTTTTCTTTGCGCAAATTTTCAGTACTCACATCAAACAGCCAAATAAATCTTGTTCTCACATCAAATAGCCAACAGAAAATGGGCCGAATTCAGGGACCGAGCTCGTAGCACAAACTTACGCTACGAATTGGACAAGGTGTGTCTACTTGTCAGTTTTGGTATTTTAATGAATACAATGAGCACAGGGGCCAAAAATCTACATTCGAAGGTCTTGTTTGAGTCTCTGAGCTGTGTGGGTGTATGACATATAATGTGTACAGTATACATAACATACATATGATTATATAATATTATATAATGTTATTATATAATGTTATAATATGTTATATAAATACATATATATATATATATATTGTCAAACTCCCTAGTTTCCTTGGGTAATCCTACATGACCACATATCCATTCCCATGTGTTCTATCTTCACTCGCCGGCCGACTTCGTCGCTTGGAGCGGTGGGACGGGACGTGGAGCCAAAGACCAAAAGGGCAGTAGCTGTGTGAGCAGGGACTCCAGCCGGTAAGGGCATCTTTAAGGGATAAAGATTCACATTGGTAGCGGAGCCTCTAAGGAGGCATCCAATCCTAAGGGGCTTAGGAATTTTGAATTAGGTCAGGGTACCTGGTGTGTTGCAAGTTGAGGTTTGGTGGGGTAAACTTTTACTGCATCAACCAACAGCCAATAGGAAAAACTGAGCCATGTCAGCTGATGGCCCGGAGGGCGCTACGCCTACTGTGGCAGCTGGCGATGAGAAGAGCAACTCATTGTGGAATGTGTTGCCAACCTTTGACCCGTCAGTTGACGACCCCAAGGAGTACGTGGACAAGGTGAAGTTTCTTCATGGAGTGTGTCCCTTGCGGGACAAAGGAATGCTAGCGCCAAGATTGGCGATGCTGATGAAGGGCACGGCATGGTCACAAATCAAACAAGCAGATCCCCAACGTCTTGCAGACCCAGCAGAAGGCATCAAGCTGATACTAGCAGCAGTGGCGACGTGGGAAGAAGCGGCTGAACACCAGACCTACGAAAAGTTCGAGAAGGCAATCTACCGAGTGACCCAGAAAAATGATGAATCAGTGGTGAGCTATGTCAACCGCATGGCCGTGGCCTTCCAGGAACTTGGTGAAGTAGCTCTTCGAGATGTTCAATCGTTTGTGATGCTCAGGCAAAGTGCTTTACAGAACGAAGACAAGAAGAAGGTCATTACGATGACAAATGGAGACCTGAGTTTGAAAGTGGTTGAAAAATCAATGAGGTCACTGGCCACCAAGGTGTTGAATACAGGAACAGATATGAAAAAGAAGACCTACCCGGCCAACTATGTTGAGGAGGACAACGACGATGTCTACATGGCCCATGAGGAAGAGGGGCTCGACGAAGACTTTGTACTTCAGTCAATGGCAGATCAAGGTGATGAAGATGCACAAACAGTGACAGAATTCGAAGATCAACTCATCGATGTGTGCCAGGAATCTCAGGAGCTCTCCTTGTGCTTCTCGGCATATGCCGAGGCCCGATCTCGCATTCGGCACAAACTGAATGCTCGAGGCTTCTGGCCGCCGAAGGGTGGAGCTGGAAAAGGGAAAGGAGGGCGCAAGGGAGTGATGAAGGGCTTCAAGAGGCGTCATCAGACATTGGCCGATCGGATTGCATCTTCAAGTTGCCGTATCTGTGGCATGAAGGGGCACTGGAAGTGGGAGTGTCCTCGCAAGTCCCATGGAACAGGTACTTCGACAACTGGTGGATCGAACCCTTCCTCCAATGCCGACATCAACATGATGACGAAGGTCGCCATGGAGGTCCAGGAAGAGGAAGTCGTTGACAAGCCTCTCAACAACATGACCCTGTCCTTGAGTGACCTGCTTGAGTCGCACTATCAGGACCCGATTTCAATAGTCGTCCCACCGTTTGAGTTTTCCGATGTTCAAAAACATGAACACGGGGTTAATGAGGAATTCAGTTTTATGACAGAGCATAAAACATTCATGGCCTTGGACCGATATCTGAAAGTGGCATCACTTGAAAGTAAACTTCGGGGGGTATGTTTTGGTAAGAATCGCAGGACTGATTTTCTCCGAGAAACGGAGTCAGTTTTGACAACCGAAGTTGAATGCCCGGCTATTATAGATACGGGAGCCAGCAAATCAGTCATCGGTCGAAAAAAGGTGAAAGGGCTTATCAACAGCTTGCCGATTGATGTTCAGCAGCGTGTGCAATATGGAAAGTCAGAAACGGTGTTTCGGTTTGGCAACAATGGAACTTTGTCTAGTGTTGGTGTGGTTTTTATTCCTTTTGGTGATCGATGGATGAAGCTGGAAATTGTTGATGGAGAAACACCACTCTTACTTTCCAATGCTTTTCTGAAAGCGACCACAGCGGATGTTCACTCAACAGAATCACAACTTTATTTTCGGGATTTGGGAATTGGGGTTCCCCTGAAAAGTAACCCGAAAGGTTTATACACTGTTGAGCTGTCCAAAATTTTGAAAGCTGTGTCAAGAAACTCCGAAGTGGAGTCTAGGACTGCCTCATGTGAAGTTGTCACAAATGTCATTTCGTTGGAATGTAAGAAACCAAACAGAGAACAGAACAACACAGCAGCTGGTCTTCATCGTGAAACACCTCCAGAGTCAGCAGCTGAAGTGTCCCAACTGCCTAAAAGTGCAAGCGATTGTTTTTCGCAACCTCCTGATCTACCAGATCAAAGTCATGGCGTCGATGCCTGTGGCAACCTATGGAATGGGAAGCTGCAAGGGGCCCATGCCCGATGCCGAGCTTCGACTTCAAGTCGACCCAGCCTTGGCTTTCGAGAGCCCTGTGGCGGAAGTGATTCATCGGCCTCCTGGAGTGACCACACTTCGTCAGTGGGGCGAGCAGATCTTCCCGGAGGGCAAGTACCAAGGAACTTCGTTCATTCAAGTGTACAACCGAGACACCAAGTACACGGCTTACATGAAGAGCCACAGCCATTTGACCTCGGCGTGGGCAATGAGCTTTCAGAACTTTGCCAAGGCGATGGCCATGCCTCCGGGAAGTCTTCAAGCTTCTCAGACCATCCCCAAGGCTACGGGGACATTGAGTTCAACAGGCAGCGAGTGGGATGTGGTGGGGAGTCCATCACAGAAGCAGATGCCCACCATGCCTTCATCTACGAAGCGTGGGGCGCCGGAGCCGATGCTGGACGAGATTCAGGACACCATGGAACTGGAGAAAGATGTGGAGAAGGAGCAGAAGATTCTCACGCAGATGGCCATCCTTCAGCGAGAGCTGGAGCGTCTGAAGCAGCCGGAGAAGCAGTGATTAACAACGAAGTAGGTCCTGATGCGCCGTTGCCCCAAGAATGCTCAGATCAAGCTGCCAACATGTCCACTCTCCAGGATGACCTTCAAAAACGTACACAAGTCATTCAAAGAGAGTTAGATGCATTGGCTGTCAATCTGCAGCGAGATGTTGACATCTTGGCAACGATGACTCAGGAAGTCCATGCACCACGAAGCAAATCTGCAACAGCTCAGAAACAAACATATTCTTGCCTAGACATCTTGGAGGTTTACTGTGAAGAGAATTCTAGATTGACTGAAGCAGCCACCAAGATGGGCTTAAAAGCTCGACGTTTTACCAAAGCTGATGGAGATTTGCGAACTATGGAAGGCCGTGCAGCCTTATGGAAGATCCTGACGGAGCAGCGACCACGACACGTTTGGATGGCACCCGAATGTGGTCCGTGGGGCAATTTCAGTCGACTGAATATGTGCCGGAGTTCTTCCACACGACACAAGATCCTTACAGCAAGAGCAGAACAACAAACCCATCTTGAACTTTGTAGGGAGGTCTATGAATTTCAGGTCATGGGGGGGAATCATTTTCATATTGAGCAACCTCAGGGGTCCGAAGTTTTTGATCAGCCAGTCATGGAGGAGATATGTTTGGGAACCCTGAAAACAGTGTTTGACATGTGTGAGGTAGGAAAACTTCGAGTACCTGAGGGGAACAATTTCCTACGGAAAAGAACCATTGTCAGGACAACTTCACGCGAGTTTCATGAAAGTTTGGATGCCCGATATTGCAACCGGCGGCACAAACATCAGCCGATTGAAGGCAAAATTCGATACTTGGGAAAATGGATCAACCTCTCGGAATATGCAGCACGGTATTCAAATGGTTTTGCCAAAAATGTTTGCTGGTATTTGTTGCACAGTGTCCGGAGTGATGAACTTCCTTTGGAAATGGGAGAGCTGTGTATCGAGGGTGATTCCCAAAGTGTAGCCGAGTTGTTTGCGGTGGCTGGCATGAATAAGGCCAGGCGAAAGACACTTCAACAGTCGGAACATATCAAAGAACCAAAAAGTGATGTTTGGGAAGGTCCTCATAAAAGTTCCCGGGGGGCTAGGCTTAAGGAGTTGGTTGTGAAAGTTGACAAAAGAGCGCCTCGGGTAGGAACTGTTGAGGTAGGTTCTAATGAAGAATTGTTCCGAGAATTTCAAAGTGTTTGCTCCAATATGAAAGTTCGAAGTGTCGAGATTTGCCGTGGGACGGACCGTTTCCGTCTGCCAAAGTGTCGCCTCGGACAGGAGACCATTCCACTTCGTAAAACTTTCATCATGCACAGGGAAACTGGGGATATCTATGAGTTTGGGGACCCCGAAAGATGGCTTGATTTGCCTAGGACTCGTAGGTATGCGAAGTCAAAGCCTGCCAAGGTTTGTGTAACTGTTTTTGGGGGTAATCCTGAACAAGCTTCAAGTTCCAATAGCCCAGTTGTGCATGAGAGCAAGTCATCGCCGCAGCCGTTACCGCATGGGCCAAATGCTGAAAATCGAGATTCTTCGGACAGTCAAACGTCCAAAGCAGCTGAACTACCTGTGATCCAAAGTGTTGGCAAAAAGAGGGTGATGGACACGAGTGATGAGCCTGAAAAGAGACATAAGGGGAAAGAAACTGGGGTTGATGATGGTGATGAGTATGTTGATGGTTTTCCACCTAAGGGTATTGCCAAACATGGGCCTGCTTTGTTGAATCTCAGTAAGGAGGAACGTGAATGGTTGAAACGTGTCCACCACCGTATGGGCCATCCGGATCCTCGAAAATTCGCATCCTTTCTCAAAGATACACATGCTGATACCCGCATTATTGCTGGAGCCTTGGAATATCAGTGTGATACTTGCAGTGAGTCACAAACAGGATACTCACTTGCGAGGCCAGCTGCAATTCATGCTCACCTGGGTTTCAATGAAGTAGTTGGTATGGATGTTGCAAATTGGACCAACGATGTCGGTGAGAAGTTTGTTTTTGTTCATTTTCTGGATGAGGGTACCCTTTTTCATTTGGGACGAAGGTGTGCTGAAGATTCTGAAGCACAACTTGCATGCTTCGAGGAAACATGGCTTTCATGGGCAGGCCCACCCAAACAGGTGTACCTAGACCCTGCCACGGAATATACCAGTGAAAAATGGTTGGAAGCCATGCAGTCCGAAGATATTGAACTGAAGATGACAGCAGCTGAATCACACTGGCAGCTTGGAAGGGTGGAAGCTCATGGTAGGGTGATTAAAAGAATGTTGGATTTGGTGAATGCCGAGACCCCAATTAAATCTGGTGAGGATTTTTGTAGGGCCCTTAGGCAGGTGTTTTCAGCCAAAAACTCCATGTCACGCATTCATGGTTTCACACCTGAACAAGCTGTGCTTGGCATTGCCCGAAGACTCCCGGCATCAGTGACTGGTGGCACTGAAGCAAGCAGTCATGCTCTTGCTGAAAGCGAGGGCTCAGAGGGATCAGTGTTTCGCGAAGCACTCCGTCTCCGCAGTGCCGCCCGAAAAGCTTTTGTAGAGGCAGATAACTGCAGTAGCTTGAGGAGAGCCTTACTTCGTAGGAGCAGACCTGTAAGAGATAAGTACGAGGTAGGTGATTGGGTCCTCTATTGGAGGAAAAAGGGAGGCAACTTGCGTCGAGAACACGGCAGGTGGTTTGGTCCAGCACGTGTAGCTTTGGTCGAAGGACTCAAAGTGGTCTGGCTGACCCATGCAAACAAGTTGATCAGAGCCAGCCCAGAACAGCTGAGACCAGCTTCGCTCAGGGAATGGAAGGCTGTCAAAGAAACTGATGAGGGTAGGACTCCCCTAGGGACTTGGTTGAAGAAGATAGGTCATCAGGACTATTTTGATTTGGGGGATACAATACCTACGGCCCAAGAAGTGGTAGCAGGGGAAGTTGGGGGTAATCTGGAGTCAGAAAGCCTTCCGGAACCTGAAAGGGCTCCAAGTGTCATTTCCGGTGATGTGGAGGGGACAGCTGAGCCGTCTTCAAATCCAGAGAGGCCACCAATACCTGTGGGGGGCCTTCATATCCCAGTACCTGGTTCGGATGATGAGGATCTTTTGTTTGGGGATGTTGTTCAAAGTGAGTCTGGTTTTGGTGGTCGAATGTGGGAGATAGATATCACCCCTGAAGTTGGTTTGGGAGTACAGGGAAAAGAATGGGAGGTCTTCCACAACACACATGTCACTGCGGATGAAATGATTTTGTTAGCTTCTGAACAACGCAAGAAAAGGGTAGAGGTCCGACTCAAAGATTTAGGAGAACGTGAACAGCAACTCTTTGCCAGGGCAAAACACAAGGAGATCAAAGCTTGGCTTCATCATGGCACAGTTAGGAGGGTCGCCCAAGGGAAGATTCCTGAACATGCTTTGATGCGGTGTAGATGGATTTATAACTGGAAAGAAGCCACTGGCGAAGAGCCCAAAGAGGATCTCTCAGATTTGGGCTGTCGAGCAAAGGCGAGACTGGTCATAATTGGCTATGAGGATCCCGACATCGACACGGTAAGCAATGATGCTCCTACTTTAACTAAGGATGGCCGAATGACCGTTCTCCAGGCTGTGGCAGCCCATCGCTGGGAATTGCTGAGCTTTGATGTCAGCACCGCGTTCTTGCATGGAAAAGGAGATGGACGCACCCTTGGAGTTCATCCTCCTCCTGAACTCCGAGAGGCTTTAGGCATGACAGGAACTGACCAGTGTGCTTTGGATGGTGGTGCCTATGGTCGTATTGACGCACCTTATTTGTGGTTTTGTGAGTTCAGAGATGAACTTTTAAAACAAGGGTGCACACAATGTCCTCTCGATCCTTGCGTTTTTGGACTCTACACAGAAACTGGCAACTTAGACCCTCAAGGTAACCCCCTAAAGAAGTTTCATGGCTGTTTGGGGATTCATGTTGATGATGGGATAGCTGGGGGTGACAGTGTTTTCATGGCCATGCTGAAGAGAGTCGAAGCCAGGTTCAAATTTGGAGCGTTTGAGAGGAGGGAATTCAAGTATACGGGAATTCATTTTCGACAATGGGATGATTATAGTATAGAGTACGATCAGATTGAATACATTGAGAGGATCAACCCAGTAACAATTGAAAAATCCCGTAGGTCTCAACCCTTGTCACCTCTCACAGAGGCTGAGAAAAGCAGTCTGCGTAGCATCATAGGAGCGTTACAATACGCTGCTGTGCACAGTCGTCCAGACATTTCAGCAAAAGTCGGCGAACTCCAATCATCAGTGAACCGTGCAACAGTCTCGGAACTGATTCAAGCCAACAAGGTTTTGGCAGAAGCCAAGATGCATAAGGTGTCACTGATGGTGCTTCCAATCAAACCGGAACTTTTGACTTTCTGTGCTTTTTCTGATGCTTCATTTTTGTCTGGCAAGCAGAACAATGCTCATCAGGGAACTTTGATCTTTTCAACGACACCAGAGTTGTTGGAAAACCGAAAGGCGATTGTAGCACCAGTGGCATGGACGAGCAAGAAGGTTCCTCGAATTGTGAGGAGTACGCTGGGTGCAGAAGCAGCAGCCCTTAGCAATACAGTGGATCGTTTAATGTGGATTCGTTTGCTATGGGCATGGATCCGGAATCCTCACTGTGATTGGGCCCACCCTGAGAAACTCCTGAAAACTGAGAACACTTCGGCATTGGTAACAGATTGCAAGTCAGCATATGACTTGCTGACTAGGACAGCTCTGCCTCAGTGTGCTGAGCATAGGACCACTGTTGAGTGTTTGCTGATACGAGAGAGACTTCAGGAGAATTGCAGGGTACGTTGGGTATCTTCACAGGCAATGCTGGCTGACTGTTTAACAAAGACTATGGATTCACAGGTCCTCAGGACATGTTTGAAAACTGGCCGTTATGCTCTGCAAGATGAAGACCATGTTCTGAAAAAACGTTCAGATCACCGCCAGCGTTTGGACTGGGTAAAGCGTCAAGCTGTTGTTGAGCCTCCAGTGGAAGCAGAGTCTTGCCAAGTAGCGTCATGTGCAAATCCAGCTCAGTCTTTGCATGACTTTTGGACATGGGGAAAGGATGGCGAATTAATTCGAGTCCACCAAAGACCCCGGGAACTCAAGTTCACTCCTATAGGGATTGTGGACTGTCCTGTTGATCTGAAGTGTTTGGACAGTCGTAGGGTCACTCAGATTGGAAAGAATAGGGTTGAACATGATTTCTGGGTAGGGACTTGCGCCGCCAAGAATGTAGGATTCTCATGGACTGGAACAACCACTTTCTATGTCAAGGGTAACTGACTTTTTGATTGTTTCATCAGTTTTTAGTCATAAAGAGGGTGTGTCAAACTCCCTAGTTTCCTTGGGTAATCCTACATGACCACATATCCATTCCCATGTGTTCTATCTTCACTCGCCGGCCGACTTCGTCGCTTGGAGCGGTGGGACGGGACGTGGAGCCAAAGACCAAAAGGGCAGTAGCTGTGTGAGCAGGGACTCCAGCCGGTAAGGGCATCTTTAAGGGATAAAGATTCACAATATATACACATACATGTATCGATCACAGACAGAGTAATTGCCACTTTGGGGTCCAAATTCTCGGAACATTCTCGGACATCGGTGATCCCATGTTCCTTCCAGTTCCTTCCAGTTCCTTCCACTGTGTTACTTCCCACGTGACCCAGGATTCAGCTTCGATTGCGGACGCAGAACACTGTGAATACCGGAGGCGAGCTACGGATCCTGGCTCCGCTGGAGTTTGGATTCGACCCAGATCCAGATGCTCCATTGATTCAAGGCGACAAGCAGACCAGGTGTTTGATCAACGAATATGAGAGCCTTGGCTTGTTATGATTTGGATATGATTTGGATATGAGTTGCCACAGCCCTGAAAAATCGAAAACATGTTGATCACTTATTCAACCCTTGGGCACGCATGTTAGGTTTTCACGGATAAATATGCGTCGCTGTGTCCAAATGAGCTGCGGAACTGGATGAATTCCGGTTCTGAATCTCCACTTAGTTCTTGAACTCAGATACATCCTGGTTGGATAGGTCAAAGGATCTATTTTTTGCTCCAATTTGTGAACAACTGGCCATAGCCGGCCATAGCCAACATGAGTTTGGCAGATGTCAGGAACTTTGATCTCTCGTCCTTGCCCTACACCTGGCGAATGGCCGTGGCTTGGCGACCGAAGAATTTTTCTCGGCGACTGCTTGGCGATCAGTTGGTTGATATCAGAAACAGGGGATTCTCATGTAATGATGTAATGGGCATCATAACATATCATAACTATTATATGTGATTTACGTTGTGATTTCAGAAACAGGGAGGCTGTACTTTACTACCCAACATATTCGGGATTATCATAAATATGACCTTGAAGAGAATTCATTAATTGAAGTAGTTGTCGCTAGGATTGCTAGGCAGGACTTGATCAACCTAATGTTGTGATCATGTTGGTCGTCTAAGGAAAGATATTGCTTGATCGCTGACAGAGGAAATCCGCTGGATGGATCTGGAACAGGGGACACCAGGACTGTCCAAAGCTTAGCAGATGAAGTGACTGGTACAGCAATGGAGCAATGGGAAGCGCAGGGAATGGGGGGTCGGTCACAGGATGCAATTCTCATATCTTCCAGACCTTCCAAAAGTCTTTGTTCGACCAAGTAGTGATTGAAATTGTAGAGGCGAAGCACAATCCACTTCGAGCAATACGCAACGTCGTTTGTTGAGTCGATGAATGCGCAGAGCCATAGAATTGAACACTGGTGTTTCTTTCGAGACATGGCTCAAGCCATTCAACCAACATCTCACGAACCACTCGCAGAGTGGAACTTCTCTGGCAAACTGTGCCCGAAGCCGGAGAATCAGAATGGCTCAGGTCCGTGTCATCACGCGCTACCAGCAGAATCCCTTTGACTTGCGACCACCCAAGGTGGGATCACGACAACTCACGGACTCACACCTGGGACCTGGGACCTCCTGGGACCTCCTGGGACCCCCTGGGACTGGGACGGAATCCCCCTGGCCTCAGACCTTCCACCCGAACGCCACCTTCGTGTTGTACTTCTGGATGCATCCACCCAATACCTTTCGGCCATCAGAGGCGCGGAAATCCACACCCGTCTAAGGTTGGCCTGACAGGTAGATCACATGACTCACGTTGCAAAGTCTTGCGATGTCTCCTGCAGTAAACATGGTAAATCCAAAACAGTATAGAAGAGCATGATAGATCCACCTCTGTTAATAGCAACGAAGAATTGACCCAGATCTTTCGATGGCGTGTGGAACACAATGATGGATTTCGTAACTAGAAGCTTGCAACTGCAATATCTGCAATATCTGCAATATCTGCAATCATCCTCAAGACTCAAGACCCATCAACATCCATCAACCCATCAACATCCATTTCAGTTAAATCTGGAGACCCTGGTCAGGTGTTCCCAACAATTTCCGAACATTTCTGTGTAGGCGTGGCACCTGGAATCCTTCAGTCCCGGTGGGGAAGAGTTGGACATTGGAACCGCCATGGGATGGGAGGCGCGTCTGCTGAGAATTAGGATCTTGGCCCAGCCCAGATGCACTTCTAGGAATTCAGTTATATTCAGTTCAAAGTTAGAGACTCAAACAAATTCAATCGGGCTTCCATGTCCTAGGTTTCGATTGAAATCAGATTTTGTTCTTCTACCTAGTTTCTGCTCGTAACTGCAATTAACTCCTCCCTCGTGTTTTTTTTGGCTTTGCCTCTTTTGGCGACTTGTACCAGGTGATTCGCGTGATGAATCTCTTTGCGCATAGCAATACAGGAGGGGTGAACCAATATACACAGACCATCTCTCCAGCAGCTTCTTGGCGTCACCATGTCGTGGTGAGTCGTGGTGATGTGGTGATGTGCTGGGAATTTCTGTAAAAAATGTAGAAATGGAGGACACCAACTGACACCAACATCGTTCAAGTAAAACGCGGACTCTTTGTGGGAAAACCAATGGTTTTGGGGCCCCCACTTCAGCAGATCACCATTTCCATGTTGCAAGTCCAGGAGAAACGGGGTATCAGACCACATCACCAGGTCATGGTCATCAAGCCCACCCGTGCAATTGTCACAGTCATAGAAGCTCATACAATCCAAGCCAGCCATGAACCAAACCATAAAGATGGAGAAGACAACTAACAACACTGTGAAGCTGTAGCTTAACCTATGTTGATGTTGATGGCTCTTAGCAACAACAGCCAACAGCTGGAAGCTCATCTGAGGTGACACAAGGACTTGCCATCATCCCAAACTTTGCCTGTCCCTTGGGGATTAACTGTTCTGCGGATTGCTCAATCCATGAGTTTCAACTGGGAATGGACACCATTCTTCTGAGGTCATCGATTTTGTGCTGCCTGCCAACGGTTGGTTGGCAGACAAGTTGGTCGGGATCTTACGGGATCTTCGATGATCATCTGTTTGTTCCGAGTTCAATGTATGTGACAGCTGACAGCTCCCCACGGACTTTGAGGGGAGGTTGTTTCCAAGATTTTTCCAACTTACCCAAATCACAAAACAGTCCTAGAATTCATCATTCATTGTTGGTATGCGTAGCTGGACATTTGGTTGAGTTGAGGTTCAGTTTTACTATCGTTGAACAAAGAAGTTTGTGTGAACATATTATATGTGGATGATCTAACATGATCTAACATACTTTAGTCTACCAGAATCTGACAGAGTCTAACACACACACACACATCTATTCTCAATTTCTACACAGCACACATCAAAAGAACGCTGTCTGCGTTGGCCATGCCTTGGCCGATGGCCTGAGTGGTCTCTGAGGTCCTGACAGCACCGAAGAACTTTGAGATGCAGCTGCCTTTCATGGATGCCAATGCGTCGGTGAAGCTCAGCACATCTCAGCTGTCCGGAGTCGATTTCTGTGATAATTTTTGATCCACGGAATCCATGGTCATCCATGGTCCATGCTGTGAAGCTGGCGAGCGATGACATCTGAAAGCCACAACGTTGTGTGAACTGGCTGTGTTCGCATGGGAGTAACCAAGAAACATGTTCGAAACAAGTCAGCGTCCCTGCTCTCCTGCGCAAACCGCTGCGAACTTATGGATCACTCCAAGGGTCTCCGCAGAAGGAGTTGATGAATCGTCTCTTAAGAATGTGGAATCTTTCAGACGCAGGTCAGTTGTTAGTGTCTTAGATGCTATCAGTTAAAAGTCAACATGTTACAGCCAATTAAACACACTATGTAAGATATGCCTATATATATATATATATGTTTATGTATATATATATATATATGTTTATGTATATATATATATATTATATTATATTATATTATATTATATTACATTATATTATATTATATTATATTATTATATTATATTATATTATATTATATATACATACATTGCAATTATATGATACATGATATATGCACTGCATATGACATAAACTGTTAAACATTAAACACATATATGTGCAACATTCCTCGACGTATTGAATTTCATTTTGCCTCTGCATGCCTCAAAGAAATCGACTAGGAACCCTTCTGAAGCAACCAACATAACTGGGGCCCTGGAATTTCAGTGAAGTAACCTTTGATCTGAATGGAATCAAAACATTCAAAACTAAGCGTCCCAAGAGCAGGTTTTTACTAGCCTTGCTTTGACATGAAGGGAAGACGGAGCAACTTTGTCGCACGAAATGCACCATAGGAATCACCAATTGACAGTTCCACTAGTCTCCATCCCTAGCCGCTAGCCCCATCTAGCCCCATCTAGCCCCATCCCCTGTGAGTTGACAACTGTGGTTGTTCATGCGTACTGTCACCTGCCATGGCGGCAAAGAAAGAGGAGGAGGTTTCTGCATGGAGCCTATTGTCACTGTTTCCCTTCTGTTGCCTGGCATCAAGTTGAACCGCAGCTGTTCAGCTGTCTGTTCAGCTGATCATGTGGATCACTTCCAACCCTGACCCTCCTCATCCACTGGGTCTTTTGGTCAGAAATGTGCAGATTTATTGCTGCTTACCTACCAGTTTCAACCCAAGGCTATGTGGACAATGCGGCTTCCACAAGCAGTGAGACGAGCTTCGGGCGTTGATTGAGCATGGATTGCTAGGTGCAGTTAGTATCAGTTAGTTTACTAACTTCAGATGGGAGCAAGTTGGTTTGAGAGTTCAAAGCAAGCCTATTTGGATCTATTTGGCATTGCTTGTTCAAGCCCCAGCTGCAAGATGTCCGAGCAAAACTACGTATTTGATCGTATTTGCATATAGCAAAAAAACACCATTCTGCCATGAAAGATGTGTTTGATTCTTAGAGACTTCAGACTATGCTTCGCAGTATGCCGCACAGATTCCAAGGTTAGTATGGCTACTTCCTGTTTCACGAACCCCAACAAACATGTTGTGCCACCAAATTCTCCAGGGGATCCAGGGGGATCTGATGCGGGATCAGCGCCCTTACCAGGAAGGTGGTCTCGCTCCGCGCAGACCTTCCAGAGGGTCGGCCAAAGCTTGCTCATGACCTCTCTGAGCATGATGCCATTGATACAACCATGGGTCCAAATCGCCACTCGGTGGTGAAACCGGATGGAGATGGGACATGATGGGACCAGGAAAATTGGTGACCAAAATAGATGAACAGGGGGAGTATTGCGGCGGCAGTGAAGACACATTGACATATATACATTGACATGGTTTCCGAAGAAATACTCATGGAGGCTTCTGGCTTTCCCTGCCCACTCATTATTCACCTTCACTTGCTGAAGGTTGATTGCATGTGCTGTACCTACGCTTTCAGTGAGTGCAGTTTCAAAGCTACAGAATCGCAAGAGTTGAATTTCAATGCATTCCAAGGTTCCCAACTGTTTGGATTCCAAGTCATAGTTGTGCTTTCTCTTCCGAGTTGGTTTCTCCGCAGTGTTTCACACGAATCAGTGTTCCATTGCTTTTTCTTTTTGCCATTGTCCTGCATGATCTTCCAACACCCGAGGAAACAGACGGCTAGTGGAAAATGTAATGACTCCACGGCAGCATACCTTCAAGGAAGCCGTGCAACTCCCCAAGTTGCTTCGATACCCATCACTCCCCAAGGACACCGCTTTCTGGTTGGCAGATGTATGTCAGATGTCATTCGATGTCATTCGATGTGGCCGTGAGTTGAGTTACCCGTTGAGATCGGTTTTTCGTTTTTCTTCAGGACTTCACCCTGGAGGAAGGCTATGAGGAATACCAAGAGCGAGACGTTCTCCTGGGACTCTTCAGGGAATTTGCGCTGGATCTGAACAGAGGTAGGTACTTGACCCAGCCGGGCTCCAACCAAGACTACTCTGTGATCCATTGCCAAGTTATGGATGACCTGCAGACCTTGAAGGTGGACCAAGGCAACGGCTGCTTGATTTTAACAACCAGTTGGGTGGAGAGTTGGTGGTTTTGAAAGCAGGTGAATGTGTGCATTGCTTAGACTAATGTTAGAGTAAAATTACTAGTAGATTGGTTTCCTGAACAGGGAACATCCAATTCTCGGAATTCTGACCCTCCTTACCCAGGCTGCATCATCGAATTTCCCCTGACGGGTGTTTCCAAAGTCTACCGCATCGTCAAAACAGACGAGCGCTTGATGAACATGCAGACCACAACAGCGCCAAATGTCGCACCTAAGTGGCACGCTGAGATAGTCGAGATAGTTTAACAACCAAGTAGTGGGCAAAAAAAAAGTCATGAGTTTGTTGTTTCTTGGTTCCAACATCTCCAGTGCCATTTGAAGATCAATCTTTTTTTGAAGAAAGATCTGGACAGCTACAGTTTATCCCGTGCAGAAATTCAATCTTCCTCGGTTGCGGAGACAAACGATGGCCGCTGAGGAGCATATCGTGGTCGTGGAGTTCATGCGCCGAAAACTGGCCTTTGCAGCTTGGGAGCAATTTTAGGACGACTGAAAGGTGCTTTTTTCGATACCTGGCGATTTTTCAGCACATTATCGGCAACTGATGGAAATGCTGCTGAAGATTCATTCTCAACAACTCTCTAATTACTGCCTTTCATGGAATCGCCCAATCGATGACATTTTCCCAGTGCCCAGTGAATTTTCCCAGGTCTTCACGGAGGTGAAGGAAGCACAGAAATTTCTCCTCTGTATGGAGCTCATGATCCGCCGTGCACAGGAGGACCGGACGTCTATGGCATGGCAGGGCATGGGGCAGAAGCTGGACATTTTTGATGGAAAATCCTTGATTTTTTTAAGATGGAAAGTGGAAAAGAAATGAACACCTAGGATATCCTAGGATACTTATGGATATCTAGGGTCCCACAGATATCAGATTGTCGCGACCTGGCAATTTTGGGCTTCGATGTTAAAGCTCATTGACAGTGCCAGCATTTCCCGGAAAGTGCCCAATGATTTCCATCCACGGAGGACATGAAAGATGGGCTCGACCAAAGCTGTCCCAGAGCACCTCAGGTGAGCATGTAAAAACGAGCTTTCCATGCACCAGGGCATTGCATCATTGGGGTCATTAAATGTCATTAAGATTCATATTAAGTAAGTATATACTATTATAAATGGGCTAACGCCCTGGTGCCGCCGACCCCCATTTTGAGGGCCATGGTTATGTGATGTTATCCGATGTGGCACTTGAAAATGGAGGATTTACCCTCAACTTGTGGCAATTCTTCCATGGGGGCAATGATGATAAACCATGGGATTTGAGGTGGTTTTTTTCCATGATTTTCACCAGGATTTTGGGTGATTTGAAGGTTGAAACTGAGGATTGTTCACCTGGGGGTCTTGAGACCTGCCGCGACCGTCGGACTGTTGATATGCGTCCTTTGGCTGCTGACTAGCTTAGAGCCTGTAAGAGGAGCTTGCAGCAGGGAAACAGCTCACCCATGGCAAAGCAGCGAAAGGCCATCGAAAGCTGCTGCGAGGGTTTTGAAGGTTTTGAGGGTTTTGAGGGTTTTAAGGGGTGCTGAAAACGTGCCAGATAGAAGTTTTGAAGCCCAATAGAAACAGCTTGTGGCGTTTCGGAAGTGCCAGCTAGCAATTTCGAAGCCCAACAGAGGCAGCGAAAGGCCGTCGAAAGCTGCGTCAAGGGTTTTGAGGCCTTTGAGGGTTTTAAGGGGCATGCTGAAAACGTGCCAGATAGCAGTTTCGAAGCCCAATAGAAACAGCTTGTGGCGCTTCGGAAGTGCCAGATAGCAGTTTCGAAGCCCAACAGAGGCAGCGAAAGGCCGTCGAAAGCTGCTGGGAGGGTTTTGAAGGTGTTGAGGGTTTTAAGGGGTGCTGAAAACGTGCCAGATAGCAATTTCGAAGCCCAATAGAAACAGCTTGTGGCGCCTCGGAAGTGCCAGATAGCAGTTTCGAAGCCCAACAGAAACAGCTTGTGGGGCCTCGGGAGGATCCATGGCAAAGCAGCGAAAGGCCGTCGAAAGCTGCTGCGAGGGTTTTGACGGTTTTGAGGCCTTTGAGGGTTTTAAGGGGTGCTGAAAACGTGCCAGATAGCAGTTTCGAAGCCCAATGATAGCAGTTTCGAAGCCCAACAGAAACAGCTCGTGGGGCCTCGGGAGGTCCCACGGCAAAGCAGCGAAAGGCCGTCGAAAGCTGCTGGGAGGGTTTTGAAGGTTTTAAGGGGTGCTGAAAGTGTGCCAGATAGCAGTTTCGAAGCCCAATAGAAACAGCTTGTGGCGCTTCGGAAGTGCCAGATAGCAGTTTCGAAGCCCAACAGAAACAGCTTGTGGGGCTTCGGGAGGGCCCATGGCAAAGCAGCGAAAGGCCGTCGAAAGCTGCTGCGAGGGTTGTGAGGGTTTTGAGGCTTTTAAGGGGTGCTGAAAACGTGCCAGATAGCAGTTTCGAAGCCCAATAGAAACAGCTTGTGCCAGCCAGATAGCAGTTTCGAAGCCCAATAGAAACAGCTTGTGGCGCTTCGGAAGTGCCAGATAGCTGTTTCGAAGCCCAACAGAAACAGCTCGTGGGGCCTCGGGAGGTCCCATGGCAAAGCAGCGAAAGGCCGTCGAAAGCTGCTGTGCTGCGGGGGTTTTGAGGGTTTTAAGGCCTTTGAAGGTTTTAAGGGGTGCTGAAAACGTGCCAGATAGCAGTTTCGAAGCCCAATAGAAACAGCTTGTGGCGCTTCGGAAGTGCCAGATAGCAGTTTCGAAGCCCAACAGAAACAGCCCGTGGGGCCTCGGGAGGTCCCATGGCGAAAGGCCGTCGAAAGCTGCTGCGAGGGTTTTGAAGGTTTTGAGGGTTTTGAGGCTTTTAAGGGGTGCTGAAAACGTGCCAGATAGCAGTTTCGAAGCCCAATAGAAACAGCTTGTGGCGCTTCGGAAGTGTTAGATAGCAGTTTCGAAGCCCAACAGAAACAGCTCGTGGGGCCTCGGGAGGTCCCATGGCAAAGCAGCGAAAGGCCGTCGAAAGCTGCATGCTGGGAGGGTTTTGAGGCCTTTGAGGGTTTTAAGGGGTGCTGAAAACGTGCCAGATAGCATATGGCAAAGCAGCGAAAGGCCGTCGAAAGCTGCTTCGAGGGTTTTGAGGGTTTTGAGGGTTTTGAGGCTTTTAAGGGGCATGCTGAAAACGTGCCAGATAGCAGTTTCGAAGCCCAATAGAAACAGCTTGTGGCGCTTCGGAAGTGCCAGATAGCAGTTTCGAAGCCCAACAGAAACAGCTTGTAGGGCCTCAGGAGGACCCATGGCAAAGCAGCGAAAGGCCGTCGAAAGCTGCTGCGAGGGTTTTGAGGCCTTTGAGGGTTTTAAGGGGTGCTGAAAACGTGCTTGATAGCAGTTTCGAAGCCCAATAGAAACAGCTTGTGGCGCTTCGGAAGTGCCAGATAGCAGTTTCGAAGCCCAACAGAAACAGCTCGTGGGGCCTCGGGAGGTCCCATGGCAAAGCGGCGAAAGGCCGTCGAAAGCTGCTGCAAGGGATTTGAGGGTTTTGAGGGTTTTGAGGCTTTTAAGGGGTGCTGAAAACGTGCCAGATAGCAGTTTCGAAGCCCAATAGAAACAGCTTGTGGCGCTTCGGAAGTCGCCAGATAGCAGTTTCGAAGCCCAACAGTAACAGCTTGTGGGGCCTCGGGAGGACCATTGGCAAAGCAGCGAAAGGCCGTCGAAAGCTGCTGCGAGGGTTTTGAGGGTTTTGAGGCTTTTAAGGGGTGCTGAAAACGTGCCAGATAGCAGTTTCGAAGCCCAATAGAAACAGCTTGTGGCGCTTCGGAAGTGCCAGATAGCAGTTTCGAAGCCCAACAGAAACAGCTCGTGGGGCCTCGGGAGGTCCCATGGCAAAGCAGCGAAAGGCCATCGAAAGCTGCTGCGAGGGTTTTGAGGGTTTTGAGGCTTTTAAGGGGTGCTGAAAACGTGCCAGATAGCAGTTTCGAAGCCCAATAGAAACAGCTTGTGGCGCCTCGGAAGTGCCAGATAGCAGTTTCGAAGCCCAACAGAAACAGCTCGTGGGGCCTCGGGAGGTCCCATGGCAAAGCAGCGAATCTGCTGGGAGGCCTTTGAGGGTTTTAAGGGGTGCTGAAAACGTGCCAGATATAGCAGCTTCTGAAGCTTTTGAAGCTTTCAAGGGGCCATGGAAAAGCACAAAGCAGGCACCGGGCCATGCAGCACACCTACGGTGATTCCGGGCGCCGCCCCGCCTAGGCCAAAGCTAGGCAGGGGTCGGCGGATATACTGAAGTTCAAATAGGTCGTTGACCACAGGATGCGTATTGCATATTTTCCACATATTTTCCACTTGCATAAGATGGTTTAATGATTCAACAATACTTAAACAGATAAAAATTGCTCATATTAATTATCTCGTATCATGAATGATCTATCCATCGGTGAAGACTTCGCTTGGAGGCCCAGCGACCCAGCAACCTCGGTGCATACCGAGAGCGGCGACACGTTCGCCCGTTGCTGGGAGAGCCCAAAAGCACTGGAGGTGCGCCACCCGGGGTGACCGGTAGGGCCGGTAGGGGTGCTGGAAGTGGGTGACGGGCCAAGGGACTGGGTCGATGAGAATTGATTCAAAGAAGCGAATCTTAGCTCAGGAATCTTGAGGTGGCACATGGTGGCACTTTGTTGTGATATGGACATTCTGGCAGGAGTACTGGGGATGAATATGGGGATGGGTCAGGATGGGTCAATATGGGACCGATGTGGGGATGAACATCACAGCTCTAAGCTCAAGCTGCAGGTGCTGAGTGTGTTTGCACACAGGAATGAGCCGCCGGGAAATTCCACTCCATCTGAAGATGGTTGGGACATCTGGGGGATGGTGAATCTCACTGCCCATTGTACTCAGAGGGGTCAGCCCTTTCAAGAACTTGAAATGATTCATGAATCATGAACTGCACCGCACTTTAGCCACTTGCATTCAGTCCATGACAAGAGTGCTGACTGTGCCAACATGCTGTTTGCAAGTTGAATCTTCGGACCAGATTTCGTGCTCAATTTACAGATCAAAACTGAAAGCTCAATTACTGATCCGGGTATGTAGTTGTATGTATTGAAATTATTCAGAGGTGGGACTCAGATTGAAAAGAGCCTCGCGAAGTCTGCTTTGAGGAAGTGCCATGGAAATTCATGGCTGCTTCCAGCAACGATTCATGATGCGGAGGTGGACCCATCAGCATGCAAAAAGACTTACTTCATCAGTGCATATTCTCATAACTGGTTTGCTACATTTGCAAGGAGACATTTATGGACAATCTATTAGATATTTTAAGATATTTTAATATCTTAATATCATATCATCAATATTGTCCATGATATTATAAGAATTAAGTGCAGTTTGCAGATTGCAATTACACACAGGCATATTTGATTGCCACGAAATGGGTCGCCCGCATCGCCTGTTTGGCCAAGCCAAGGGGTTTCCATGGCAGGCCGGCAAGCTTTATGTTGGCGCGCGATAGCTTTCAAAAGACTCACGTCTTAGCCTGTAGGATTTTCGAGACTGATCTTGATTTCGTCAAAACTTGGCCGAGTCACTGAATGCCAAGACTTGAGTCAGAATCAGTAGATAGATAGAAGTATGATATACTGTAAATTGATATAAGGTATAAATAAAATTAAGTAAATTATCACCAATGTATTGCACTTTTTATGGGAGAACACATTATAAACTATTGGGCTTCGGGGCGCGCCAGTTTTGGACAAGGCCAATTCTTGATAGCTGGAATTTGCAACCTACACGTCTCAGGTCGCCTATACTGATACTTTCATTCAGCAGGCAGTTGCCATTATGCATGATTGCATGCACACATAAACCATGATTTTTGCAGAATTCCCATTTCCTTCTAATTTTTCTTGATTGTATCTCCGTTTTGTTTGGGTACTGGCAGGTCTCCATTCAACCCCCTTACGCATACGATAGTATATGTGGGTGTTCAATGTTCATCTAAAGGTCCTTGTCGAGAGTTATGATTGTGAAGACCGTTCATTTCACCATGTTTCGAAACCTCGCAAAAAAATCCGGCATGATTTGAGAGTACCATTTTACTTCGGGAAGAAGGGCCATTTCCGGATCAAAGAATTTAGATCAACCGCCGTTTCTGTATATATATATATTTATATCTCTATATATATATACATACATATGATTCTATATGCATATACATACGTACATTTAAGTTAAGTTACATTGCATTACATTACACACATGGACTAGTAAATCAATAAATCAAATGAACAAATGCATCAGACGCAGCACGACGCAGCGACCGCTGAGGCCTGGCTCGTGCATCGATCGGACGCTGCTTCTGCCGCTGGGGGTCGCCGTCTTGGAGCCTGAAGCGACCCGTTCAGCCATCTGCATGGCCGAGGAGGGGCAGTTTGGTTCACTGGTGCTGGTTTGGAATCACTGGGTATTCTTAGGCCAAAAAACAATTCAACCATGTCTTTATCTTTGTTGAGTATGACTCAGTATGACCGTGCTGTGATGTGTAGTGTAAGAACCCTTCAATGAGGCCATTCTACAGCTCGAAATGATTAGCATTCAATATCTGAAGGCTCATGTCCAGTGTAGAGAAAAAGGGCTCGTTGTGCAGGTGATGACACTTCCGGCTAAAAACTTTGGAAGGGCCTTGCAGCCTGAATCTTGGGTGTTCTTCAAGTCGAATGGATCTGCTGCTGCTGTCGTGGTCGTGGTTGTCCTCATCATCGTCATCATCATCATCGTCGTCGTCATCGTCGTCTTCGTCGTCGTCTTCGTCGTCACGTCGCCGCTTTCTTCTGGTTTGTTTTGCTTTTCTTCTCCTCCTTCGCCTTCGCCTTCATATTTTGCTGAATTTTAGATTCTTGCCGTTCTGTAGTGAAATTGAGAAAACGCCTGGAACTTGGGACGTTCTTGGAAGCCACGCACCGAGGTCAGGGGATTTGTGCCGACTGCTGTGGGTGGCCTCAATGATGGGCGCTACCATGGGTGAAACAAGTTCCCTGCTGTCTTCTGATTCTTTTGAGGCTGAGGTTGTTTGAAAACCGCAGCAATCACTGCTGAGGTTGGAGTTTTTGTTCAGTTTTGGAGTCGTCTCTTTTCCCAGCTTACTTGGTTGCCGAAGCCATTTTATTTCGCCATGTCATGAAGCACAAGTGGCAAAGAAACAAGGACTGGGGCGGGCTTCCTGCCAATGCCCGGCAATGGTATAAGTTGTCCAAAATGTCTATTTGACTCTGACTGAAAGAAACCATAGAAGACTCAGTACAGTGCCGAACAAAGCACGGCAAATCACGAAGATACAAGCAGACCCACCTGCAAGTGAGATCATCTAGATTCTTGAATTCCCCAAGAAGTTAGCAGTTTCCTGCAAAGTGATCCCCAAAGGATAGAATTGGGAATTTCAGTGCAATTTCTTTTTGCTGGTGCCCTTTTAACATCCTTTAACCAGTTTGAACCATGGATCCACCAAGAAACAATCAGGAACAGCAGCAAAAGGCATCAACAGCACTGTTGCTGTTTCCCCACAGCCCAAAATGGTGGGCCGCCGGGGCCCGGGTGGGCCAGCTGAGTGGCGTGTGGGAAAGCTGCGACATGCGGCGTTGCGCGGTGCCCAGGAGGTGTTGGAGGCGCTATCAATTTGTCCCCGAAAGCTCCAAGGTTTTTTTCCAAAGAACTGCCGAATTCAACTCTTCATCTGCATAACATATCCTACTTTTTGTACATCACCTACATCAACTTCATAGTACATCACACACATCACATACATCATCTACTTCAACTTCATCTCCTACATCCTTTTACATCATCTGCATCATATACATCAACTTAATCTACATCGTTTACATCATCTGCATCATTTAGCACGGCAGATGTTACACAGGACTTGTTACACAGGAGTTGTTACACAGAAGTTGTTACGCAGGAGTTCTTAGACAGGAGTTGCTACACAGGAGTTGTTATACAGGAGTTGTTATACAGGAGTTAAGTTGTAGGTCATCTGCTTGTATCTGAGCTCCTACAAAACTCTTACACCCTCTACGGAGATCCTGCATGTCGGACGCACAAATGTGCTCTGTTCTTCGACCAGCTAGATCCAAGCACTCATGGACAGATTCAATTATTAAGACTGGTCTCACGGGACATGATGGCGTGTAGAAGTAAACTGTTTGAAACTGTTTGTATCTGTGAAAGCACGCAGATAAAATACAGCATCATACAGCTGCGGATCTCTTCTAGTGGGATTTCCAAGAGTTTGCCAGAATCAATCACCGAGTTTTCAATTCTTTCCTAAAAATTCATCTTAAATCTCTCCAATCTGCAGATTCTGCAGGATGAGTTGGCTGTGGGATTGCAACCCATCAGCCACCACTGTGCCTTACTGCTGGGTCATGGTGCACGTCCCTGGGGCCCCGACAGTGGAGACTGGGAGACCAAGTGGTCGGAATGGTGGTCGGCTGAAATCCAGGATGCGGCACCTGAGATGAATGGCTGGTTTCTTGTGGGGGACCCAACAAATAATCCAAACTTGGTCATGTTTCAAATGGGGAAACAGTTGTCTTGAGCGGTGATTTACAGTTTGAAGATATTTCAAGAAACCGACAGGTTTCTGACAGCTGATCTTTCGTGGAGGTTTTAAACTTGTTTGCGTCACAACACTTCGGTAATGTTTCACCTTTGGTAACTTTCTCTACAGTGACTCTCCAGCCTTGACATCCATGGTGAGGTGGGTGGGCAGATCCGTACTCTGCCTCTGGTGATGTGTCAAGAACCGGTCCCAGTTCCCAATGCCGTTGAGACCGCCAGCGGCTTCAAAGTGGTCCCCGCACCAGAGGAACTGGTTCGCCTGGAGGGCCACCATTGGGCTACACATTGGGCCAAAGGACAGGGGGCAATTTAGACTGGCAATCTAACAATTTCCCTCATTTGTACGATTTATAGATGTTTTCCATGTTTTTTTTGGTGTATAATCATATAGTATATCCGTATATATATATATAATATATATAATATATCATATATATATATATATCATATGTTGTAATACTATATAAATTATATCATTACAATGTGGAAGATGGGCATTTCCCCAATGTCAGATCAGACTCCCAGGACCTTTCCTCAAACGTTGTTTTCGTGGCAGGACGTGGCAGCGTTTACCGCCTGGATCGCTTTGGCCGGCGCGGTGAAGGGGTTCTCGTCCCTGAGTTCTGTCGCCTGGAGGAGCCAAAGTCGAGGCTCCGCATCCAGGTTGGCACAGCCGCTCGGCAGCGAGGTGTGGCGCATGGGGATGTTCCCCCCGTTGAGTAGGTATGATTCACAGATTCTGCGGCTACCATAAGCTACCTGATCCCTATAGTTTCTTGGGATTATTACTATATTAGCACACATTGATGGGAATCTTGGAATCCCTATCAATGAAGCACTACTTGGGGGAATGACATTGCGGGCCTTGAACGCTGCTCAACTGCAGTTGCGGTGAAGATTGCAAGTATATCGATCCCTAAGGCCTTTTAATACCTAGTCATTTCCCACTTGTTTGGAACATGCGCACTTTCTTTTCACTTTTTGTTGTTTCATATTTCCTGGATCGCGCGGTAAAGATTTGCTTGGAGCGGTCCTTCAGATGTGTAAGCACTTTAACATTTCATCGCCACCCCCACGGCTTCAAATGTCTGAAGTGAGAATCGCCACTTCCCCTACATAGACCCAGGCAATCAGCTGTTGTTTCCTCCTCCTTTCGCAAAATTCCTGAGGAGACAACGGAAGTCTCTTGGCTTGCTGAAGGCCTACATAAGTTGGCGGCATCAGTGAATCGGTGTAGAAAGATCCCGGTGACAGAGCTGCTTCTCGTCGGAAAACGAAGAACTGACATTTTGTGACTCATCACTCATGACCGAGTCATTACCTATCATTCTTTCCAGTTTTTGGATGCCCAAAAAACATTCGAGATCAGCTCATAATTAGCTCTTTATCCGTCTCCTTTCATCTGAAGTGTCAGGATTCAACATATCCAGAGTTGCCAGAGCCTGACCCTGATGGTCCCCGTGACCTGCTTGGCTTTCAAGACTCCGGCCTCGATCAAAGAATTCAGCCGCCGCGCAGCTCGACGCTTTCCCTTCTACATCGACTCGATTGAAATGGGCGCTAGGTCGGGGTAGATCATGGTTCATGGCAATAGCGGGCCCTGCGTTTGCTCCAGTTGTGGGGGGGGGAAGTCAGTGGTAACAATAGCATATATATAATACAATATCATCAAAGGAAGTTTCATGGAGGAAACTCCGAGTTACAGATGGTTTTATTCTCACTAGCCTAGAGATCATTGTGTCCAGTTGGCACCTGCGTTAAGAGATCATGAAGTCACATTCTCACTAGCCCAAAGATCATTGTGTCCAGTGGGCACCTGGGTTAAGAGATCATGAAGTCACATTCTCACTAGCCCGAAGATCATTGTATCCAGTGGGCACTTGCCTTAAGATATCATGAAGTGATATTCTCACTAGCCCAGAGATCATTGTGTCCAGTTGGCACCTGCGTTAAGAGATCATGAAGTCGCATTCTCACTAGCCCAGAGATCATTATGTCCGGTTGGCATTTGCCTTAAGATATCATGAAGTCACATTCTCACTAGCCCCGAGATCATTGTCTCCAGCTGGCATGCGCCGTAGAGGTAGTAGAGGTAGACTAGAGGTAGACCAGAGGTAGACTAGAGGTAGAGTAGAGGCAGAGTAGAGAAGACTAGGGAAGAGAAGCTTAGAGGCAGAAGTAGAGCAGAGTAGAGGTGTTGTGTCTTGCGATTGTATTGTGTTTTGCAAGTCGTTCTTGGCAGATCGAATGTTAGGATTTGCACGAAACATTGTCTTTTTTCGGGTAAACGGCGGTTCCGTTGCGGAGAAAAGTTGGCTCGCGTGCGCGACGGTTTCGGGCGTCGTCGCTTTGCCGCCGAATCCGGCTTGATTTGCGCGCGCAATGTAACTGAGGGTTCCAGGAGACTTTTTCTCTTTTTTGTTGATGCTGTGCTATTGTGTCTTGCATGTGTTGAGATACTTTGTGCATTGGGACCGGTGCATCAAAGCGATGTGTTCTACAGTAACAGTAGTGTGTTGCAATTCTAATTATTGTGTTCCGCAATTCAATCTGTGCAGATCGCAGTGGCATGGCTGCGCCAAGGCTTCTCGAAGGGTACTTGTTCTCCAGTACTGTCTTGCGATTCTGATTGTCTTGTGCAAGTCACTGTTAGTGGATGGCATTGGAACTGCTACATCATGGATGCGATTTGAATGTTATATGTACGAAACAGTGTGTTTTTTTCGGGTAAACGGAGGTTCCGTTGGCTCGTGTGCGCGACGGTTTCAGGCGTCGTCGCTTTGCCGCCGAATCCGGCTCGACTTACGCGCGCAATGTAACTGAGGGTTCCAGGTGACTTTTTCTCTTTTTTGTTTTGCATGTGTTGAGATACTTTGTGCATTGGAGCTGGTGCATCAAAGCGATGTGATCTACAGTAGCGTGTTGCAATTCTAATTGTTGTGTTCTGCACTTCAGTCTGTGCAGCGCAGTGGCATGGCTGCGCCAAGGCTTCTCGAAGGGTACTTGTTCTCCAGTACTGTCTTGCGATTCTGATTTTCTTGTGCAAGTCCCTGTCGTAAGTTGTATTGTAGTGGTTGCGTTAAATGAAAGTTGCGACTGGTGCTTTGGCAGCGAGTTTTTCTCCATTTTGGCGCTGATGATTTTCCTTATTTTAAAGTTTCGTGTAAAAAGTGCTTCAAAATCGTCGTTTTTCTACGTGGGCGTCGAAACCGGCCGGTTTCGGAGCTGCAATTTGTGTAGCCGTTATGCGTAATTCTATTGCGTTTTGCAGTGTTTGCAGATCGCAGTGGAGTGGCTGCGTCAAGGTTCCTCGCTGCGGCTGCGTGCGTAATACTATTGCGCTTTGCAGCTGAGAGTCGTAAATCTTATTGTAATGGCCGCGTGAAAGTTGCGAATGTGGCGACAGGCGTGAAAGTTGGTGAGGATGATTTTTCCTTTTAATTTTGTTTTTTTTAAATGCTTCGACATCGTGTTTTTTCCGTTTGGGTGTCGAGATCCGGTTTTGGAGCCTGCTCTGTGTAATAGCTTCTCTGTGTAAGAGCTGCTTTGCGTAAAAGCTTCTGTGTGTCAAACATTGCTTGGTGTAAAGTGGAAAGCTTTCTTTGTCTAAAGGTTCCTTTGTATGACAGCTTTGCTGCTTGCGTGCTCTTGTGCGGCTGAGCTGCTCACGCGCGCTCTTGACAGATGGCTGCTCCTGATGTCACAGCTCTTCGCGCGCGTGGAAGAAATGCTGCGGCTAACTGTCAACAGTCCAGTAGGATTGAATGATAGTACATGACGCGAGAATTATAACACAATCGAATGTTGAAACCATGATCGGATGGAAAGGCAATTCAGCTGGCCAGAACAAGAAAGTTTGCAACTGTGTCAGTTTAACTGGGGTGAGAAAAATTGACAGGTGGAACTGAGGTGAGGTGAGTCAACACGAGTTGAACGGAGTTGAGAGGAGAAGAGAGAGATGAAAAGAGAGTTGAGGAGAGTCAAGAAGATGTGCACAGAAATGAAGGTCGTTGAAAAGAGTTGACGAGAGGTGAGAAGTCTTTGGAAGAGTTGAGAAATGGTTTCCCCATTTGCGACAAGAGGTCAGAAGTCCGCCACTCCTACAGGCAAACCTTTCTTTTGGATCCTACGGCGTTGCACTTCTTAAACCTGGAAACTTCCGCCACCCGCCTTGCGCGGGTTCTACTTGTATATTTATATTGGTCTGTCTGTGGTACTTGCACAATAGGATTCATGACTTCTACTTATATAATGTATATATACATATATTATATACATATCGTAATGCATACATCATATATGTACGTAATTATGTATGTATATATGTATATACATGTATGTATATATGTATGTATGTATGTATGTATGTATGTATGTATGTATGTGTGTGTATGTATGTATGTATGTGTGTGTGTGTGTGTATGTATGTATGTATGTATGTATGTATGCATGCATGCATGCATGCATGCATGCATGTATGTATGTATGTATGTATGTATATTTATATATTTACACATACATGCATACATACATAAAGGGGGCCACCCATCCAACTGCATCCCTGGAGGTTGCAGATCTCTGTAGTTCCACCGCTCAACACCCGCTCTGGGGAACCTGACTGCCTGGATGTGGAGGAGTTGGAGTGTCTCAGCTGCAGCTCGCAACCCTCCGTACCACCAGTGTTTGAGATGTGGTGTGAAGCTGGTTCTTTAGTTTCAACCAACCAATTTAAGTAAAAACTGATGAATGACACCACCGGAGCTTGATGATTGACTTTAGTATGAGTTGCCTGCTGAGGACATCACATATCTCATGGATTTGGGGGGCTGTCGCTGAGGCGGACGGTTGGTGCACAGTTTTTTCCGCTGAATGACCTGAAGGGCCTGCTGTGCATTCGGCGCTTCGGAGGACCTCCTCTGCAGATCGCTTCGCTCGGAAATCAGCTGAAGGACATACGGGCAGAGCTGGGCGTAAAACATGGCTACAAGAACAGCTGTGAGAAACGTTCGTAAAAGAGGCTAAGATCTGCATAGGTATGCTAAAATCTCATATGTGACTGCAGTCTTACATCTACAGTGTAGATCAGGAAATACCTTTGTGATGGTTCACTGCCAGTTTTCTGCTCACTTAGAGGCCAAACTCAGTGTACCAAGTGGTTTCATCATGTTTCGGTCAGCTCATGGTTTATCACAATTCTCACCATTGAGATGCCTGTAGTTATCATAGTTTTCCCAATTGACATCGCGACGATGCCGTATGAGCAACAGCTTTTGTTTGCGCACACATACAGTAGTATCCGGGTCGAAATACTCTCTTGACTCTTTACCCCAAAATTTGGTGCAAAATGAGGTGGGTCCGCCTGAAAAAACCGAGGTAGATATTGAAGACGTAGGAAGTAAAACCTAAGTGCTGCGTTGGAAAACGAGGTCAGTGATCAACTTGACGTCAAAGGAAAACGAGGTAGGGTCTGGCTTTTAGGCAGCATTAAGTGACATTAACATCAGTACTTAAAAACGTTCAAGTTGGAGTCCCTGACCTTGAGATACGGCCACAGGACATTTGTGAGTACTTGGCCGTGAGCTGGGTAGATTCCCTCTTTGCCGCCCCAACGACCTGGGCGCGTCTCTTCGTCCGCGTAGAGCCTTGCGGCGCTTTGGAGGTGGGTCTTTTGCCACGAATCAACACAGGATGGCCACGGGACACTGAGAGGTTGGATCATATATCTATATTAGATATTTATATATTTATATGTTTATATATTTAAATATATATATATATGATATTTGATATATGACATATGATGTAAAATATATAATAATATAAAATATATGGTATTTGATATTTGATATGAAAATATGATATTTGATTTGTGGTATAAAATATATGGGATTTGATTTTTTTTTTATATAAAATAGAAAATATAAAATGTATAATTCAAAATAATATATATATATATAAAATATAATATAATGATGTATAATATCTAATAAATATAATATTTAAGATTTAATATATAATATTTAATAAAGTATCATTTAATATCATTTTTTTAAAAGTAGAATGCAGTGTATATCATACCTGATATTTTTTGTTTAAAATATATAATTTATAATATTTAATATCTAATAAAGTAATATATACTATCTAATAAAGTAATATAGAATATACAATATATAAGGTATAATAGATAATAATTAATACATAATATATTTTTTGAGATATTATATATAATATATAGTATACAACATATAAGATATTATTTATAATAGAACATATAATGAGAATCGCTTTTAATAGTAAGAGTGATAAATAGTATAATTTGAATAGTAGTATCAAGTAGCAATTAATAATCAATAATAGTTTTAATGGTAGCAATAATGGTAATCCTAATAGCAATAACAATAATAAGAGAAACTATATATATACATATACATAGATGTACATGTACATACATATTCATACTTACTAATAGTTCGATCTTCAAACTTGCTGGTTCTAGTTGGATGGCAGGCAAGTTTGGGCCATCTCCCTGGCCGTGGACATTTCACTAAAGAAATCTATGCTCAGCACTGCGGTTGTGGTGAAGCAGCCGTCGGCTCCGAAGTCTTAGAGGCTCTGAGTTTCTGTGATTTCCGGGTTGATGATGATGATGATGGGTGATAGATGTTGATGTTGATGATGACGGTGATGATGGTTGATAGATGTTGATGGATGTTGAGGATACCCAGGATGTGCTTGGAGAGGTAACCAGGTTGGATGGAGAACCGAATTCTGTGGCATTCTGTGGCGAATCGTGCAAACTAATCTGTCCAAACTTAAGTATCCTAACTATCCAACTGAATCCAACTGAATCCACGTTGGAATTTCAGGAGACCATGGAAACTATTCCAGTCTGCCGAGACTGCGGGGCCTTCGTTCCTGGCTCAGAAACCTGGCAGAGAGTCGGATGACGATGTCACATCGACATGGCGATGTAAATAAACACAGAATATGGCTATGTGACACTGACATGTGGATCTACAATATGTATCTACAATATGTATATAAAATTAATCTATCAGATATAATCTTAGTATTGCAGACTCAGATATGCACCTGGCACTGGCCTTCATCCCAGGAGGGTTTCTTCTCCAAGAAGGGCCTTGCGCAGCACATGTCACGACCACCGGAGGATTACTCAATCTCTGGGCGCAGTTTGAACATTGCAGAGTGGGGCATTGAAATTGGATTAGGCATGGTGGTTTAATGTGGTTTATAAGCACCTAACTTGGGTTTCGGTCGATTAGGTATGGTGGTTTATAAGTACAGCACCTAACTTGGGTTTAGACATGTTTAGACTTTTAGTGTCTACACTTAAGTCTGATTTTAAATCACCAACTTGTCACTCGGGAAGCCCACCATGTGTTGGATGGGAAGAGCGGAATAGAATCTGCTTGGGAGACAAAAGAGCATCTCTTGGATTCAGAACAAGCCACTGGCAGACTGGGTGCACCATGGCCATTTTGAGGCTTTTCCCATGTTTTCCCCAAGATTTTGAGTTTCAGACACCGCCAACCACGCCACCAACTTACCCAACTCCGCATCCTGCAGGAACTGATTGGATCCTTCGACAGTCAGTTGGATGACACCTTGCAAGGTGCAGATGGCAATGACATGATCAGCTGGGCGGACGCCACGGTGCCAGAGGACTCGATTTGGAGATCCAGATGGTTTCCCAATGGCTCCAAACATGGGATATACCGCATTAGAACATGGCCATTTTGAATCTTGGGGTCCCCAATTTTCAGGTTTGAAGTGTTATTTGAAGAGGTCCGGAAAAATACCCCAAAGGTTTCCCCGATTCTACCATTCTTCTTGGTGATGTGGCAGGATTGCGCCGTATTGGCCGCAGGGGGCATGCTTTCTTTGAAGCCACCCAAGCGTGGTTGGCCGGAAGAAGTGAGAGCCGAGCTCCATAGACAGCTTCAGATGATCATTGGCTGCCCAGGAGATTCCTTACACATCACCATGACCTCCACTGAGGCGGATACTCCCAATTTGATGGTGACATTTGTGATGATCCACCCAGCAGTTCTTCAAGCAGGTCGAGCGAGGATGGAGTTGGGCAATGCGGATCCCAAGGTCCCATTGCTGTGGTACCAGAATCTGGCAAAACAGCTGAAACGGCTGGCAGAGAATCAAGCCGTGAGGAGTCAATGGACCAAAACCGTGGAGGATCGAGCCGTTCCATTGCTGTTTATCAGTGATACCCAGCGGGTGGTCTTGCCCTGCAGCCTCTTCTTGCTGAAGAATGAAAAGCTTTGGCCGAAACTTGAAGCTGAAAGGGAGGGCTCAAGGAGGGCATCGTCCATTCCAGGCCAGGGTCCTTGGGATGAAATCTAGGAGCTCCCAGCCATAACTTCCCGCCATAACTCCATTGCGGCTCTTTTCATCTTTGGACCATTGGATTATATTGGATTCTTTGGATTCATTGAATTTATATGAATTTATGATAATTTATATAAATAGATTGATCAAGCATCCATTGGATCCATAACTCATTGGATTCATTGCATCCATTGGATCCATTGAGCCTGGTTGAGTCCAGAGCCTCTTCCCCATCATCCAGGTGAGGTGGGTCTGTGCATTGACCTCATCCGCGAACGCATGGCGCCCAAAGATGGTATTGAAAGGGGAAGAAGACAAAGCCTGGACGTACCCTGGCAGCATCTGGCACCAAAGGGGTTATTTTCGAACGGATCGTGTGATTGACGCTGTCATGTTTTTTGGTTAAAGATGTTGGCAGACCTCCATTCTTTGGGCTTATCAAGGCTTGTCGACATGTAGTGTATACATACATACATCCATACATACATGCATACATACATACATACATACAGACATACAGACAGACATACATACATACATACATACATCCATACATACATGCATACATGCATACATACATACATACATACATACATGCATGCATGCATGCATACATACACACACAGACAGACAGACAGACAGACAGACAGACAGACAGACAGACAGACAGACAGACAGACATCCATCGATACATACATGCATACATACATACATACATACATACAGACATACATACAGACATACATACAGACATACAGACATACAGACATACAGACATACAGACATACAGACATACAGGCAGGCATACAGACATACAGACATACAGACATACAGACAGACAGACAGACAGACAGACATACATGCATGCACAGTGTATAATATTCACTTTAGACCGCTTTACTCGAACCTAGAGTTTCCTCATATTTGCATCAATAAGGTGCATTGAATCGGTGGTGTGCAAGCTTGCTTTGTAGTTTCATTCATTCGTTGACTATGTTTCTATTTTCCATCTGTAAGAAATGAGATGACTGGACTGTATTCCGAGTATTGGATGAAGGATGAAGGGAAACTTCGCAGGATACTCCGAATTTTGACGCATTTTGACGTCCAAATTTTGTATGGCCACGAAAAGCGCGGGTTTCGATTTGGTGTTTTCATAGTTTCCTTATAGATCACCTATCGAAAAAAAAGGTGTATTTTTGTGTTGTGTGATTTGTGTGGATAGTTAAACCATGGAAACATGCCTATTTTGTGTGGTATTTCTATGGTAATCCACCACTCCATGGCTGACTCCGGTTTCAGACGTCCCTAGGTGCAACGTCGAAAGTCGGTGCAACAGCGCCGTGCCACAGTGGCCGAGCTCTGTGGAACGGAGGGAATGAAAATCCAAGAGGTGGCGGGAAAACCATGGGAAAAACCATGGGAAAATGGTGATTGGAAAAAATGGGGGCAAATCTGTTTTAACCGCTTAAATTGCCATTTTTGAGAAGAACATCATGAGCAACGATGGTTTTTTTGGAGGGGAATGTCTCAGTTTTCAGATGAACCCATGTGGAAGATGGCGATGGATCTAAAAATCCATGGTGACTGAAATGGATTCAACATGATTTAGTGAGATTTATATAAGATCAAACACGTGGGTTTTATACCAAGAGCCATAAAGTGGCTAATTTGTCGTAGTTTAATAAGCCAAAATAGGGATAACCGCATCTCTGATAGAATGATGGGAGGATATTTGAGACCAAATTGTTTGACCAAACCAACATGGAGGTTTGACCAAACACATATCATATAGGCGAATGGGTCAGCCGCCAGATCAAAATGGCTGTGTACCAGCATTGGTGCATGGGTTGATTTTGTTCCCATTTGGGCAATAGCATTCAGTAATTCTATGGACAAACATCTCCCGTTTGCCAGCGTTCCGGCCTTGTGCCGACCAGAGTCAAAGTTGCAGCGCGCAGCAACTCAGAATCCTGAAGCCCAAATCACTGTGTATAACCAGTGTTTTGCAACTCCTTTGCAACGGTAAAACACGAAATACCTGGACCCTGAACCTTGGAACTCTGGTTGATTGGTCTGATGGGAAAGTGTTTGCCCGTAGTTATACCATTTATGTTAATAATTCTTGATATCACCAATGTTGCAGCCACTATTGACGCCACCCATTTGGTCAATTGATTAGCTTGAGTTGGCATGACCCATTTGGCCTTAAATCTTAAACATGCCCTTATTTAATAACTCCAGAAAGATCACATTAATCGGTATTATTAATTATATAACCCTTACTAATACCATTCATCCCATTAGTCCCATTAATTCCATTGACTGCATTCATCCCATTGATCCCATCCCATAGAGCCATAGAGCATTTTCGCGCAGGTGGACCTGTCGCTCCTGCGAAAACTCTCGGCAACTTGTCGCTGTCAGGGTTGAGACGGAAAGAACCTGATCAAGATGGAGGGTTCAGCCAAGCAATACACGGGGATGAGATCTCCAATCAAGCGTTCAAATATATGTTAACTCCCAACAAGTGGTAGACGATGATCCAGATGGACTTTCATGTTTTGAGGGGTGGGCGGCTCCAATCACTCACGTTGTCTCGAAGTCTGCGGAGACTTTGCAAAAGCCAGTTGGACTTAGATGTCACTTAGATAGACTTACTACATTTGGCAATCTGGGCCACAGATGGCCACAGTACATTGCATGAGTTGGTGCACTCTAAGGAAGATGCCAACCGACGGCACTCACTTGCGCAGGCTGGATCGGACAAATGTGAAAATGTGTTGCCTGAAACGAAACCAATGGGACATTCCAACTTGTGATAAATTTCCAAATAAAACCATTCCATTATCGAAGGAAGTTTAGAAGTCAAACTTCCGACAATATGGACAGATGAAAAGCAGAGATGGGAAGAGTCAGAGGGAAGAGAAGAGTAGAAGAGAGAAGATCAGAGAAGAGAAAGAGTCAGAAGAAAGAAGATGCAGATGAGCGAAAAGGTAGGAAAGTCGTGAAACACTGTGTTTTTCCAATGATTTGTGGCTCCGGAGGGTCGAAAAGTAGGCTCGCTAAAGCGGCAGGTGCGGAGCCATCTGGCCAGATGAGAGATGAACAATTGCACGCCGTTGTGGCGCGAAGCACATTTCCAAGTCAAAATGTACAAAGCACACCAGGTTCGGACCACTTTTGGAAGCTGAGATGTCGAAAAAGTGCACGCCGTTGTGGCGCGAAGCACATTTCCAAGTCAAAATGTACAAAGCACACCAGGTTCGGACCACTTTTGGAGGTTCAGATGTCGTTTGTGCACCTTGTCAAAAGTGAGCAAAACGTGAAGGTTTTGTAGCATTTTCAATTACAACCACCACTACACCACACTACATTCCAACTACAACTACACCTTCACTACATTCCACTACACTACACTACACTCCACCACACTCCACTCCACTCCACTCCACTCCACTCCACTCCACTCCACTCCACTCCACTCCACTCCACTCCACTCCACTCCACTCCACTCCACTCCACTACACTACACTACACTACACTACACTACACTCAATTACAATCAGTTACACTACACTACACTACACTACAAATCACTACACTACACTACACTACACTACACCACACCACACCACACCACACTACACTACACTACACTACACTCAATTATACACTACATTACAAATCACTACACTACACTGCACTACACTACACTACATTCCACTGCACTACAATACACTACACCCCACTACACTAAACTACACTACATTACACTACACTACACTACATTCAACTACGCGACACTACATTACACTACACTACATTACACTACACTACACTACATTCAACTACACGACACTACATTGCACTACACTACACTCCACTACACTCACTACACTACAACTACACTACACTACATTCCACTACACTACACTACAATACACTACACTACACTACGCTACACTGCACTAACTACAACTACAAGTACTACAACTACAACTACACTACACTAATTGCATTGCGTTACACTACACTATACTCCAGTACGCTAGACTACATTACACTAACTACAACTACAACTACAACTACAACTATACTACATTTACACTACGCTACACTACACTACACCAATTACACTACCCTACACTACATTCACACTACACTGAATGACACTGCGCTACACCCACAGCTATAACTACAACTGCAATTGCACCTGCCACTACACTACATTACATTACACGACACTAATGACATTACACTACATCACACTAACTACAGGTACAACTACATAAGACTACACTACACTACACTAATTACATTACACTGCGCTACAGTGCGCTACACTACACTACACTACACTGCACTGCACTACAGTACACTACAGTACACTACAGTACACTACAGTACACTACAGTACACTACACTGCACTCCACTACACTGCACTGCACTACACTACACTACACGACACGACACGACACGACACGACACGACACTACACTACACTACACTACACTACACTACACTACACACTACACCCCGTTCACTACACTACACTCTACCACACTCCACTCCACTCCACTCCACTCCACTCCACTCCACTCCACTACACTACACTACACTACACTACACTACACTACACTCAATTACAATCAGTTGCACTACACTACACTACACTACACTACAAATCACTACACCACACCACATTACACTACGCTCAATTACACTACACTACACTACCCTACCCCACATTGCATTACATTACATTGCACTGCACTCATTGCGCCCTCACAAATGCAACTGCAACTACACTACACCAATTACACTACACCACTACTACAACTCCACTACACTACAACTACAACTACAGCTGCACTACACCACACTACGTCCAGCAGTTGTGGGTGATGTGACCGGCCAGGTGACCACTGCAACCATTGCAGCCACTCCAAAAACACAGCTCCAACCACCTTTCGGTTCATCCGTGGATTCGCTCTGCCATCCGTGATTCACAACGACCAATCTCTCCTATAGGTTTCCTATTTTTGAAACTTCCGCCACCGCCTTGTGCGGTACTACTGGTAAATCTATTGTCAACACCAAAAAAAGGATGCAGACAAGTACTTCGTCACGTTGGATCTCACCAAAGTTTTTTTTGTTGATATTCCGATGGAATTCACCTGCGGCTTTATGAAGTCTTGGCAGTCTTGGGTCTAACATGGTTTAACTCGGTTTAACGCAGCCCAGGATGCTGCGGACAAGGCCCAGCGTGCCGCAGCCTTCGAGGCCCACGCCGATGCTGCCGACGCGGCCGACGCGGCCAGTTCCAGCGCGGCGTCCTCCGCGTCGTCGGCCTCCGAGGCCTCCGAGGTGGCACTGGGGATCGAGAATGGGTGGAGAGATGTGGAGAGTTAAACGATGCAACGATGTTAATGAATGTATAATGAATGTATAATGAATGTGTGATTGTAATGATTTGGTTCACCATTCTCTGGTTCTGGTTTGAAAAATGAGATGTTGCTGAAACATTTTCACGTTGCGTTCAACGTTATACCTCTCGTACATAACCTGCATGCTGAGAAAGGAGGCGGAACCGGGTCAATGAATTCAATAACATTGTACTTCCAATGGTTCTTTGGGTTAATGACGATGGGTATCAACTTATCAGATTTACCCCACTTACACAATTTTACAAGTGACCCAACAACCACTTAGCAACTGGGATGCGCATGACCCGTTGCATCCGTGTTCTACGCTGAGGTAAAAGACAGCCAAGGATTGAGTGCAGAGCCGGCCACCGATCCAGAAACAGCAGCGATTTCCGAGCTGGAGCCAATTGCTGGTCCTGCCCCAGAGGAGGGGACCAACTAGATCTGGTGGTTTTGGAGAAATATCTACCTGTGAGATCCTGTGAGAGGGGTCGAAATTGGGTACTTGTACCACCAAATTTGGATGGCTATAAATTTAACCAAAACCTGTGGTCCCTTTGGCCTTAAATTTTGAGTCATAGTCATAGCTTTTTAATTATCATATGGATTAACCGGATTTCATTCTCTTTCGATATTTTGTGACCTCTTTGACAACTAGTACGATAGGCCGGCAGCACTTTAGAGCACTGAAATCTTGAGGCCGAGCCTGAGCCTTCACCAGCGATCATCACAGCAGATCCAGATCCCGCGCCACAAGCGCCAAAAGCTGTACAAATTCTTCAGGATCCAGTGGTTTCGGCAGTCTTGAGGTTTAAACCTTCTCTGGAACAATTAGCTCTCAGACTGCGCGATTTGGTGTCTCAGGCTGCGTGTGAAGGGCAAGCCCAGCGGGTGGAGAACCTGCTGACCCGATGGGGTGGGCCAGATCAAGCATTTGCCATCGCGGGTCGGAGCTCGGATTTTGGCGGACAAAGCTCTTTGGACCTCTCCGTGAAGGCTTGCAACTACCACGTGACGCATGTCCTCTTGAAGCACTTGCCAACCGCATCCACTGATGAACTGGTAAGCATCTTGAATGGGCACAACCCGGTCACTGGCCACAGCCTTCTTTATGCAGCTGTGCGCTACTCCAATAGGCACACAGCTTTCGTAGTGCAAGAATTGATTCGGAGAAGAGCAGACGTCAATGGACCTGGAAGTACTCCATCCACAACCAGCGAACGGGCGCTCGTGCATTGCGTCCGGCGGGCAGACATAGCTTTGATTCAAACGCTACTTGACCATAGTGCTTTTGTCAACGTTGTGGCTGACGACGGCAAGACGTTGCTACAGACTGCCGTTGGCCGCGGTGACGCATCAATCTTAGGCTGTCTGCTTAGCAACCGCTGCAACGTGAACATGTTGGATCGGTTTCAGCGATCGGCGCTGGTCAGTGCCTTGCGGCAGGATAGACATCCTTTTGTTTTAGTTCAGATGCTGCTGGATGCCTCCTGCAGTGCCTGCTCTGTGGATGTGGATGGTATGCAGCCATTAGCCCATGCTGTTGGCCTGCAGGATCCCCATATTTATCGATCGCTTTTGCTTGGACGAGCAGATCCCAATGCTGTTGCAGTACCTGTAACTGACAAGCAGACGTACATGTTGCATTTCGCCGCCAAAGCGCGGGATGAGGTCATGGTTGCATGCCTACTGGAAGCTGAAGCAGATCCAAATCTAAAGGCGAAAAATGACCGAACAGTCCTTCATTTGGCTGTTGGTCTTCAGCTATCAGAAGAGTTGCTGGTCGGCAGTGCCTTTTTTCCTCCTCCAACTATTTTCTGGTTTTATTGCTGATGTCAGGAACGCTGGTTGCAGGAAACATATATCTGACCTTGTGTTCTTGTCTGTGTGGTAACACCATGTAACACCATTACTTGATGATCTTTAAATGTGGTAGACCTCAGCAAAACTGAGCAATGCTGTCAAAGCGATCTGAGCCAAGGATTGTGAGCTTGATCTTGGAAAAACGAGCCGATCCCAATGCCAGTGCTGGCCTGCGTGCTGGAGGTGAGACCCCTCTGCGCATGGCCGTTCTGGCTGACAACCCATCTGTAAAGCTCTTGCTGTGTGCCAGAGCTGATCCGAACATCTGCAACCAGGCAGGATGTTCAGCTTTGTTCGCTGCCAGCCTTCCAGGAATGGGTTCTGCAGCACAGACCTTGCTGTTTGGTGACACCAGGGTCCCCTCGACGACCCCCGCACCCTGGCGCTCGCAGCGTGGCAGCCGCCAGTCTGGTGGGATGGACGTGACCCATCCCATGCACATGGCGTCGACGTGGAGTAAGGCGCGATGGAGACCCAGAGTGGGGCGACCTACCTTGATCCAAACCCAGGACTGAAAGTATGGAACAGCTATGGCTATAATATAGATTGTGAGCAGTTTTCTTATGTGTTCTCTTGGGTTGTATTATTTTGGACCAGGTTGTTTCATTGTTGATGGGATAGAGGGATCATCTGGATGTACTGCCCAGAAAGTGCTTGCCCGACATGTTCCGGTCATGTATTTTCAGGAAGTGACTGACTTTGACCCTCTGTTTCCTTTCAACCTGCCGCCGATTAGCAAGAAGTTTCGTGAGACGAGGTAGGGCAAGATTTCATAAGATTTCAGTGGGAAGATTTGCCCGGTTTTGTGGATCTTCTCATAGAGATAATGCACATGGTGACATAGCCAGACTCCGATCCTTATCCTTTGATCCTTCGATCCTGATGATGGTGTGATAAGAAGAAAGCGAGTGAATTTGGTTCTGGAGTTTGGATGCTAATGGAAGTCCTTCTGAATGCAGCTGACGGACAAACTTGTCCCTTCACAAACGTGAAGCAGCAAGCCATTCTCGGCCTGAAGCAGGGCTTATGGAAGGGAAAACGTGGAGGGATTTGCGTTGCTTTTTTGCATGCAGAAGGTATTAGGGACATGACGAGCGGGAGAATTTCAAATGTGCCACTGTCAAATTCAACAGCAAAACAACTGCAAGTCTATGCTTCATTACCCTCTGTTAATTTGGCATAGCTATTGAACATGGCACATAGGAGTAGTTGATTTACCAATTGAAGATGCTGATTTTCCAGTTCGCAGATTGTAAACGTTTACCACAGGTATATGCCTCAGATCCGCCCATTGAGGATTCATCTTCGGAATCCCGAGTCTCCTCCACCGCCGGAGTACAACTACTGGAAGTGGGGAAACTTCAGATGGCCTGAGATATTGGAAATGGGCTTCTGACATATATTATTACATATTATTGCTGGGAAACCTCATCCTCCAGTTGGAAATAATTTGTTGTTCCTATCTGATCTTTTTTTTGGCATGTTTTTGGGAAAGGGATAGCAATGAACTGCACTCGATAGCAATTTTGGAGGTGTTTGAGCAGATTTGTGCAGGAGAGTGTCCTTACCTATGTTGCAACCCCAGCCTTTTGGACACCGCTTCGGACATGGCAGCCACTTCATTCAAGCATTGCATTTGGATCATTTGGGCTCGTCATCCCGCTGGGCAAACGACATGCCAACAGCACCACAACACCGCACAGTAAGTCGATTTTTTCCACCTTTTTCCCCAAGCAAGCCACACGAATCCCATGACATATGCAGACAGAGTAACTCTCTCCGTGCCCAAAGATGCCGAAAAAGGACGACTCCCAGGCCAGGACATGTCTGCGCTCCAAGTGACCGGAAGGTGACCGGTGTCCACAACACCAACCATCAACAGTAAATCACAGCGAAGAAAGGTCTCCTCAGCTCAGCTCGAGTTTTGACATCTTTTCTCACGTACCACTGGTTTCATCTCAGTCATATCGCTTTAGTGAGCTGAAGCACTGGCAGGCGAAAGGGTCGAAGCGGAAGCGCGAGGCATTGGGAAAATCTGGGTTTAAGCAGCGATGATGGGATTTCATTGAGCATCCATGGATCAAATGGAGTGTTTTAACGGAAGTCACCGATCGAAACAGGGTCTGAGTCAGATGTTTAAACACCGGGTCAAGTGAGATGAGCTGGTCATTTGATGTCATTTGTCAGTAGTAAACCACCACATTCTGAGGTACCAACTTGGACCCATAAGAATTGTCGCCTGCTGAAGACAAACGTCGCCACCGCACAGAGGATACTGATTCTGTGGCAGGAGCCAGAAGAGGAGACCGCCGCAAGCTCAAAAAAGGCTCAAGGGTTTTGGCAGTGTCACAGTGTCACACCATAACTTTCTTGCATGTCGAATATGTATGAATAGGTATGAATAGCTTGCAAACAGGTTGTGGAATTCAGGTCTTGAGATGTCTCGAATGCACTCCATGTTTCCATTTCGTGACTGTAGAACTACATCTGGAAAACCAGTTATATAATAATTAATAATGTGTGCCGTGCTTCCATTTCGCCAGGCATGTAAAGTGTATCTGCAAGGCAGGGTATGTTGTCACTTGTCGGCTCAGCCTGTTTTCATCCTGTTTGGCTGTCGCTCACTACAGGTAGGTGCAAATAGTTTTTTTTCCCGCGCTGGAGAAGCAATCTTGGTTGATGTAGCTACATGTGGACATGTGGTGTAATCTGTATACTGTAGATGAGATTATTACAGGAGACGCATCAGATGATATGTTACTGTCAGTTTGTTGGACATTTCTCATTTCATATTAACTGCACAGGCATAGGATTTACATCACATTAGATATCACGTCTTGCAGTGACCTGGATCCTATCGCAGGTGTGCCGCGGCTCTGTCAGGCGGCCACCATCAAAGAGCGCTTTGCCAAATATGGCAGCGTTCTGGACGGGGGCGATCCTCGAAAGTTCCTCATTTTTTCTCAATGCGCCGGTGATGATCAGTCATGATGATGATGGTGGTGATGATGGTGGTGGTGGTGCTGGTGATGATGATGGTGATGATGATCATCTGGCATCTTTCCCTGGAAGGCCCTGTCATTGTAATCTCCAGACTTCTCAGACCTACGCCGTTGATCGCAGGATGTTGAAATTCCAGCCATCCGGCGCAACAAGACGAAGCGCATCGCTTTCGTAACCTTCGCCAAAAAGTCTGAAGCCAAGGCATCCTATGAAATGGGAGAGTAGTTCTCAACTCTTGTGAATCAGAAAGGTCACAGCTACTGTATGCATCACCCTTATATCACCTCATCTGTATACACCTTATATCACCTTAATTAATACACCTTAATACCTTATTTATATCTTTCAATCCCGAAAATTTTGGGTAACTCTGACCACGGAGAGCAAAAGAATTCCTGGAGATCTGCGGATGGCCAGGCAGCCTTAGAAGAGGATGAAGCAGAGTTTGAAGGCTCCACTTTGAAGGCCACTTCCAGTGGAGGAGAGACTGATGAACGACATTGGTTTTCTTAGCCCACACAGCCTGAGAACAAAGGAAAACTGTGGAAAAGTGCAAGAAAGATCAAGGACATGAATATCATGAATAGAAACTCGAAACTCCGTAAAATGCAAGAATATGTAACAAAAATTCCAAATATATTTCCATATTTTCCCGTATATATTTCCATATAAATCTATTCTATGACAATCTTCTTGCAAGAATCTTGTCCATTGCTGGCCTCGCAGGTGCAGCTCAGTGGAGTGCCAAAAAGTTCCGTCGGCTCGCTTCCGTCGGCTGAAGAGGTGGGGCTCCCAGCAACTTCTGCAGCTTGGATGGCCACGATCGTCCCCAAAGCTTGTAGTTTTGGGATGATAACTACCCTTTTGGTAAACTAACATAGCTGACATAGCTATTGAAAATGGGCATAGAAATAGTTAATTTACCCATTAAACATTGTGATGTTCCATAGTTATGTTAGTTTGCCAGAGGGTACAGTTGAATTGTCCCTTGGGTAGGGGTTGAACTCGAAGGTGGTTGCTGTAACATGTTTTACCATGGTCGCTCCGTTGAGCCGATTTATTCTTCATAGAGTCCACACATAATAGACTGTCATGAAGTCACAAAAGCCCATTGCACTCCTGTCAATTCACGTTCATTGATGTTCATTGGAATACCCAGATGCCATAGATTTGTTAAGATACAACTTGATCATGTCTTTGAGTGGATTGGACTATCATTCCACGAGCTTCGGATGTTTTCCGCAGAGGCCGCAGCGACCTCAACGAAGGTCTTTGTTGCAGGCTGACAGACACCGGCTGAGATCGTTGGAGATCCGAATCATTTCAGGAAACAGTTCTTGCGGAGTTGAACATCACCTTTGGACGGTGGAAAAGCTATCTCCAATAGTTGGGCGTTGTTTGAATGGCTTTGTTTGAACATAAAATACCCCCATATTCCATGGGTTCAGAATCATGTTCCCTATGAATTTGCATTTTTGGTTACCATTGAGGGACATCCAAATTGGTCATTTCTATATACATATAATTCGTATTATTATCATCATTATCATCACTATCATCATTATCATTATTATCATCATTTATCATTATCATTATCGTAAATATCATTATCATTAGCACTATCATTATCACTATCACTACATATCACTATCAGTATCATTTTTCATTTTCATTACCAGTATTATTCTGATGATTTCTGATGACTATGAGTATCATTATGATTATCATAGTTATAGCTCTCATCTACCCATGTTGGTTTCAGGCTGACGTTTGTTGGTATCCAGGCTTTGGCAGCCGCAGCGCCGACGAAGTCTCGGCATATTTCAGCAAGAAGTGCCTGGACCACAATGGATCTGCCCTGTGGCAAGCAAAGCCTGTTGATAAGTTCTGAAATGGGAAAATTATGATCTATCTGGGATACCAGGGGAATTTATGGGATTACAATAGGAATATAATGGGACACATATAATTTCACATAATATATACACCCAATCGGATATATTATATACATAATGAATTATACATAATGTATAGTATAAATAAATATGTAACCAACACAAGTTATGAATTTACCTTCTTGACAACGGGGAGCATGATCTGAGTGATCACCATTTTATGGTAATCCAAGTGATCGGCCAATCTCGCTCTCGAGCAAAGCTCGGGGAGCCCCAGCCCCAGCATAGGATTCCTACAGTTTTTTTTTGTGGTTGAAACCCACATCTTCAGAACGGATATTGATAGATATTCTATGACATTATGACAGATATGGCTGAAACTCGACGGCCCAAAGAATTGGAGGGTTAAAGCTCGGGTAATCAAACCTGGCAATTGGAATTTCCCTATAAATGGAGGGTTTAAGGGGAACATCATCTATAATCATCTACACATATCTATAGATAGAGAGTAGTCTATTGCCATGGATGACCGGAGGGTACTGTACTTCTGACGGACTCAATGGTGGTTGGGGTTGGGGTTGGTTGGGTCACTGTGAAACTCTGGAGGTGCGGCAGCGTGCAGTCACTGACTATGCCAGAGTCCGCGAAAACCAAAGGTTCCTCGGAGGCAAGACATGGCAAGACTGAAGAACTGACCCACGAATGGGATGGGTCAAAACCAATAAAATAGGACTTGACGAATGACTTTACCAACTAACATCGAGATTTAAGTTAAATGGACATTTACGAGATTTGGGGATAGGCAAGAACCTACGATACCGTGGGTTCTATTTTGGGGTGAAGAAGTCTTTTCACATACGAGAACATACCTGGATGCCATTCAATTCATCTGAAAAAATTGGACGCCAAGGTCGTTCTCGCGGTTTTGTCATTTTGGAGTCCTTTGGCAGCAGAAGAGCTTCACAGTTTTAATAGACACTGCTTGCTTTGAGTGTCTGTTTCTTCCAACATCAGACTGGTGACAAGTATGATGCAGTCTGACTGGTGCAAACCAGCTTCTTTTTTTTCTTCACTTTAGCCCGGCTGATCAAGGACCATTCTGGATTGCTTTCATTTACTTTCATTTGCAACCATCCGCAGGTTTTCCAAAAAAGCTCATGCAGCTGCAGCTGTCGAGCTGAACGAAACAAAGTGGAAAGGTCAGACACTTGCAGATGCTCGGCAGGATGTTCGAGGTATCACTTTAAGCAGCCCACTCACTTCTACAGCCATAGTCATAGTCATGATTTGGCCGAATCCTAAAGGAATCACATGTTGTCTTCCCGAGGTAAAGTCGTACACCTCAAGTGCCACAGATGAAAAGGTAAAGAAAAAGGCCGCAGCAAAGAAAAGCGCACGTGAGAAAAGGGAACAAGCTAAGCATGAGTTCCTTGTCCGGTGTGGCATGGGTGTCACATAGCAGTAGCAGATTGCAACATGTCAATTCTCTGCCAGTGGCGTCTCGGCCGCGCTTCAGGTTCCGGGTCTTCATCCAAGGCTTCCCAAAAGGAGTCTCTGAGAAGAGCCTGAAGGAACACTTCGAACCATGTGGCGAGATTCGACAAGTCACGATGCCCAAGAAGAAGGACACGCTTGCTGCTCTTGCAAAGAATTCAAGATGTGAGCAGTGACTTCTTGTTCTTGTTGAATCATCATTCTAGGGCTGTATACTACCTGATTTTTTTTGTGACTATTTTGATAGGATTCACTATCAAGTGACCAGCATAAACGGATGATGGATCAGCAGAGAGTAGCTGCGACCCGCAGCTCTGCACGTTTTCACATCAGGATGGAGCGCTGCGGGGTGTGGCCTTTGTTAGCTTTGCTTCAAAGGACCAGCGGCATGGACCTTCCATGATTGGTTGAATGTGTTGAAATATCTTGGAACAAAGTGCACAATATACTTCTGGCTTTCATAATGTTTGGGGTGTACATTGAATCTACAGATATCTGATCACAGCCACCAGAAGTCTCGTATTCTTTGCAGCTGGACATCGTGGCTCCCCCATAAAGGCCATTGGGTGGGTTGAAATCACCAGCTATAGATTTATCATGATTTATCATGATTTATCCAAACAGTAGGTTTCTCCAAGAATGAGGGATACTGGGATACTCCAACTTACATCCATTTGGGGGAAATGATGATCAACCAAGCAAATTGGGTTTTCAGTCACCCATGTGTTCAGACTCCAAGTCCATCACGAGGAGGCTATGAAAGAAGCCTTGAGGCTAGATGGCCAGGACTCCGGGTGGCCCTTCAAATTTTGGATCCCAAATCAGCAGAAAGCCAGAAAGCGCCTCACAGGCCTTTGTTGGGCCGACACCGACACAGGAGTTCCGCGATAAGCCGCTGAAAGTGGTCAAAAGCAACAAGAGTGCGGCAGCAAGATGGACAAATATCTTCCGGGATGGTTTGGGTCACAAGCTTCTTAAGTACATTCTGAATATTCTGATACTATAGTAGTAGTATATGAATATTGAGCCAGAACCATGCAGACCGTGACATCACTCTTGATAGACACTGACAATAGCTGCCCAGGTTTCACTCAATGGTGCACCAAGGTCAACAAGATGCCGAATGAGACCAGCAAAAAAAAGACAAAAAGGAGCTTGCAAGTTGTGTGGTCTTGGCGGTAAAACCTACGTTCTGGAGGCCTTCTAAGTATGAGTGCAGCAGCATGCCTTATGAAGAGTCCAAGAATCTGAGTTACAGTATAAAACACATCAAACAGGAACTATGATAGATTGCTAGCACATCTTGGAACGGCATTGAGTTTGTATTCCTTTTGCATAAACGACTCTACAGCATTTCGGTTTGGACCGTGGCGATTGCCAAGGGACATCCAAAAAATCCTTTGTGTCATTGCTCCTGCCGACATGGTTTATGTTTTCCCTGCTTTTTGTACATCGTGACGCTGAGGTTGGAACATGTCGCTGGCAGTGGATCGAAAGAATTGCAAAGCTCCGCGATCGCTGAATCCTGGGTGGTCCGATCCCCAGCGCTCCAGGACACAAGTGCAGCATGATGCAGCATGCTTCTTGGCTCAAGTCTAGCGTTCTGGGAAGATATATACGTATATATACATATAGAAATATGTATGTATGTATGTATATATATGATATAGAGTGTATATATCTATATACTATATATACTATATATATATATATAAAAGGAGTTTCAACATAGAAGAAGTAGCTTTCGTATGCTTGTGGCACCCGTTGGCTTGGGTCTCGGATCACTGCCATGACGGCCCGGCAGCTTTCAGATCCACACACGGAGTACTCCATATTTTAATAGGTTTTCAACTGGTTTTCAAATGTGGGGCTTGGAATTCGCAAGTTGTGTGAAGCATCTTTGTTGCCTCTCCGCTATCCCTGAACTTTGATGCGCGTCATTCTCCACCCTTGCTCTGTCAGAAGTGTAAAGCACAGTTTGCAAACCCTGTTGTTGGATAAAGAATTCCTGAGTCAAACAACAGACATGCATGGAACCAGGCCAATCGTGAGACCTTAGAGCACTCGAAACCTACCACAACAGGAAGTTAGTTCATGACAATGTGATTTCATAGTGTTTCTTTTCACGATATTGCCTTATTCTATGAAGAGTTCCAAAGAAAACACACAATCATAGAGAGCCCACTGCCCATTGTGCTTTTGATCCTTTCCCCAACTTTGCTCCCGTGCCATGGTCCAAAGTGATGCTGGCGGGTGCTACAATTGCAGTCAATGCTGCTGTGACAACCAGAAAAGCAGTGAGTTTTCTTAAAGAGGTTGCCAACATCGAGGACTCTGCAGGCGTTAAATGGCGGAGCATTTTCACGTGCTGACATGTGGTGACCGTAGATGGGAAGAACAGACACAAGGTGTCAAGAACTGGGCCCGACCTTTTTGAAGCTACTAGCTATTGCTCCACTGGGGAGAAATGTGTAATTTTCCCATATTTTACAAATCTATATGATATCATATGATATCTACAATATATTTACCTTAAATTTACCAAAATTGAGTTCTCTCGTACCTAAGCTACTACCCTGCGAGCATCCTGCAAAATATCCTGGGGGTGTTGCAACTGTTGCAACTGTTGCAACGTATTTCGTATTTCTGCAGGATGAAGGATACTTTCTGTGGAAGTTGGTGGACTCCGTCTCGGGGCCGTTGGAGGTGGCGGTGCAATTGGCCACACGCTACGAGGCCTGTGAACTCCTGGAGCCCTCCATTGCGTTGACGCGCTTCACGGTGCGGCAAGTGGAGCTGGTCCTGGAAAGGGATGACGATGAGTATCTTGGAAGATCTCGGAAGATCTCGGAAGATCTCGGAAGGTCTTGGAATATCTTGGAATATCTTGATACTTTAAGGCTGTAAAAGATCTTTACTTTTACACGATTTTACCAGGTCCATGATGGTCATGGATGTGGAGATGTGTGACGGTGGCAAAGATGAGGTACAACATGGTACAACTTTATGAACAGGACGATCTGCAAAGGAGATCAGCGGAATTCAGTCATGACAACATCATACAACATCCACGACAAATTGTAGCACAATCGAAGCTGGATCTGTTAATTTGAATCCCAACATTCCCAACAACCATATTACTGTATTATCTATTATTATCTCATCTAACAGTCTTGCTGAAAGACGCATGTTGTGTTCATCTTTCAAGATGTCTTTCTCATACTGAACATACCGTGATCGAAAAGCACCGTTTTGAAGTGTATAGATGATCGCTGATCAATCCTAGTCAGGTTTTTTTACTCCAATGTGTACTTGGACATTCAGCTCTCTTGCCTTACAGACAGCAGGGACATCACCATGGACATCACAATGAACATGTCTTTTTCATCAGAATCCTATGAAGGCAGCAGTCCCACCCCCAAAGCTTGCATGGAAGCTGCAAATTAGACTGGACATGGCATGGAAATCTTGGGGTTTCCTATTCAAATTGCAAGGTGTACCCTTGCATAATGACATTTCGCAATGGGAAATTGAACAAAATGAAGGTTTGGGTTTCAATATGTTTGAATGGGAACATCATCCCAGATACAGTATCAGTATGTATCAGTGAGTATAAAATCATAGAACATCCCATTATTATTGGAACATATTCCGATGGGATGTTCTTAATAGAAACTATAGAAGGTTTGATCACGGCTGAGGCAAGGGAGACCAGACGACAAAGCCGGCTGGACAGCCTGGTTTTTGAGCAGCTTGGCTTCATCCACGACTCGTTCTCGACCGACGTGAAAAGCCATGATTTCTTGTTACCCCGATTTAGATCCATAGTTGAGGGATAATGATAAATAATATAATATGATTAAATACATTTATCAGGATTTTTGATCTTAGGTACCAAGGTCTTGGCAGTATTGGCATCCCATTTGGTCAGGTCGGCGCCATCGTTTCTCACCGAGGCAAAACAGATGGTCTAACCCGCAAGCAACGCATCTTGGATCTTCAGCCCAAGCTGTCCATTGCTCTACAGGCCCTTCACACTGGATTGACCACCATCAACCATCGAGCTCCGGGCTTGAAATCGATCTCTCCTCAGTTGAGCAGTGTTCAAAACCCTGGTTGGTTGATGATTATAGGGGATTATACTACCCAATATATTGGGCTTATAATGCCATTGGAGATTTGGGTTTTGGATTTTAGGACATCCAGATTTTGACACTAGTGTCGCCCGCAAATCTTCATGCCAAGGAACTCACCCTTTGTGTATTTGGAGGCCGCGGCTGATGATGCCTACAGGTTGCTCCAAGAGTTTGAGTTTGGGCGCTTGGATGGTCGCATCATTGCTGCTGGAAGACTTCACTTTACAGCTGAGATGTGGCAGGACCTGGGATCCCTGGGATCCCTGAATTATCCTGGGGTAGATGGGGTGGAGTATGGTGGAGTATGGTGGAGTATGGTGGAGTAAGCGGCTCCGATCTGGAATGGATTGGCACATCACACAATTCTTCGCCCCGTAGGAATTGGGGCCGTGTGAGGTTCATCTTGAACTTCGCGATGGTTTGGTCCTTGCGTTGCGACCACTGGTGCCATCCGATGCTTGGCATACTTGGACGAACGTCCCAAGGCCTGACAGGCCAGGTAGGTTTTGGATTTGAGCTGCCAAGGAGTGGGATCCCATCACGTTGCCGATCTTGCGGGGAGATTTCCAACTTCAACGGACAGTGAAGGGAAAGATCCCTGGCATGGAGTGCCCACCCCGAGATGCCAACGTTCTGAGCTATTTAGTTTCAGTTGCTTGACTGCGAACAGAGAACAAGTTGATTTTTGTTCTGAGGTGGTACAATCCAAGTTCTAGCTTTGAATATTGTTTCATCCTTCACAAGTGCACTTGCGAAATGTAGTGGCGGAATAATTTATCCCCGGTGTTTTTGGCCAATATCTTGGCATGACCGATTCTGTTCAGGCAAACACCCTAAAGAAGTATCTGCTGGAGTTTGAATCAGTTGGACGACTGGCAGCAGAAACCTTTGAAGCTTTGCTGGTTATGGCGGAGATTAGCAATGGTGGCGAGTCTCTCCTGGCGCAGTGTGTGGATTTGGAGAACTTCCGGCAATACCTCTCTCGAGCTGGATTGGAATATTTGTCTTCGTGATGGTTTGATGATATGGGTTTATTGGAACATGGGGTATCCCCTAATTCCCAAATTTGATGGTTTAAATCATTTTACCCATTGAACTGCCATTTGTAGTATAGCCATGTATAGCCCATTCTCAAACACACCCATATTTCATCCAGCTGGTGACTGATGGTAGTTGTCAGCTGCATGTACAGCAGGACCAACTTGTTGCAGCCAAAAGATCCTGTTGGGTGTGCGACACGAAAGGTTGACTGATCTATTGAGAAGTATGTTGATTTGATGATCCCGTGAAGCTATAGTGATATGCAGCCTATGCAGCCTATGCAGCTCAATTTTCCAGTTGGATTGCTGCCCTAGCAATGACCCTTCATGTCTTCTGCAGCAATGTAGCGATTCACCAGTGAGATGGTGTCATGGGAACCTGATTTCGGCAGCCTGGAAAAGGTCTCAACATGAAAGCTTCCAGCACTCTGCTTTTTAGGTGGCTGTATGTTAATGTTGCAAAAAATGTCTTGTTGATTGGGGTCCCTTTGCACTTTGTGTGAGCTTCTATTTAATTCTAAGTATTGGACATGTATATTTATGATATATCTATATGTTCTTCTTGTTTGAGTTGCAACATGTTGCAACAACTAATCTGAAGCAACAGAAGTGAATGGCGGCGCTGTGAACGACATCACTCCGTGACCCGGTCTGTTGCCTTCAGCCCAGGTCGTCCCTGTAATCTCCAACATCTCGTCTGGCATCACAGGCACCGCGACTATGCAGTCCCGGTAGACCACAAACACAGTATATATATATATATATATATTTAAAGTTAGATCTATATTCTATATCTACATATATATATATAACTATATAATTATTATGTCTGTACATAAACACTCCTGTAACCAAGTCATCAGAACATCATGGTCCCATCAGAAATCATCCTCTAGCTGGTACTGAATTCTAGCCCCGGGCAGAGATTGAACAGGTGTCCTTCGAGGTGCTGGCTCGCGGACAACCATTTATTTCAGCTGGCAGCTCAAGAGATTTGAGGTTTCCAGGTAAACCATGGGTAAACCATGGGTAAACCATGGGTAAACCATGGGTAAACCATGGGTAAACCATGGGTAAACCATGGGTAAACCATGGGTAAACCATGGGTAAATCAGGGTCTCGTGGCGTTTCATGACTGACATTTCTTGGGCCTCGTGATCCTCGTTGGCCTAGACTTCACCGTGGTGCAAAGCGCTTCGGAGTTGCAGATCGATGCGCTGGAGACCGTTGGGACTGGGACTGGTCAAGGTAATGCCGTAATCCTCGGAGTCGGAGAGTCCTAAACCATCCTAAACCCATAGGAAGAAACCACACCCAGAGACCCATGATTTGGGATCCCTATACCAATCTCAGTCCACATGGTCACACCCAAATCTTGAAGTGCGAGTAGCTGGACTTTGGTGTCAGCAATGTGTTGGAAGATTTTGAAAAACACACTCTGTTTATCTTCCAAAGCTGATCGCGTAAAAATATCAAAACGATCGGCTTCACAGTTGTGGACATGCCAGGAGCCAATAGGTTTTGAGTTCCAAGACTCCTATGCTTACGCAAACATCAGCCAGAGAGCGAACAGCAGCATGCGAAGAAGCGTGCCACAGGCCAGCGATTCCAACGAGAAGACAACGGGATGAAATGACAACTCCTAAAGATTTTTATAAGGTATTATATATTACTGTACCACATGAATTTTGAGAAAACCTAAGGTATCGCAGAAAGCAGTGAGCTTCTCTGGTTTCATTTTCTCTTCCTGAAGGTTGGCTGGTTGGCTACAGCACATTGTTGGACATGTCACACATACCTCCAGCTACTTACCTTCACGGCAGGCATCAAGGCAGGTGCCTAAAATGGGTCATTTTACAGCCAAAATGGGATGAATATCCTCTAAAGGTTTCCGTTATCCATTGGAATATCAATGAAAACCAGATTTAAAATCTTGGTATCCCTATCCCAATCATCCAGCTATTGGGGACCCATGACTTAGGACACCCCCATATCATTCCATATCTACCAGCTATATCCAGCTGCCATAAAACCGCCCAGATCCTGCTGGCCACGTGGGATGCCTTTCGACTGGTGATCCTGGCGGATGGTCGGAAGCCTCAGCCGAAAACATCACATATGTAACAGATTAAGATCTATACAAAACTATACAACCTTAACACAATGTGCATTGATATGATATGATATGATATTGATACAATCTTAGCTTCGGATTTATAAGGTGGGCGCACCCCCCCGCAATAATGTAACGCTTACCCGCATTTTTTTTCATAAATATACGTAAACATACACACACAGACACATACATACATATACATAGACAATCATAGATATACATACATACACACACATACACATACATATACATGCATATATATACACATACATTACACACATACATAAATATACATACATATACAGTACACACAAAAACATATACTGTACACAACCATATATATATACACATATACATACACATAATATATATATATATATATACATATGTATATATACAAATACATTTTTATATATACATTACATTACATTACATTACATTGCATTGTATTGCATTGCATTACATTACATTACATTACTACACATATACACACATATACACACATATACATATACATGATACTGTTGCTGTTGACAGCCACGGCAAGAAAGGAGAAAGGGATGAACCCCTAGAGGGGTCGATGTAATTCGCCCATGTGGGCGGCTGCAAGAAATTTTGACCCAGACCGGCTGCTGCCTTGCTTCTGGCTGCTGATCCTGGACTCCAAACCTCTGTGTTTTGGGGGTCTGAAAATGGTCTGAAACCCATTGGACGCCCAATTTGCGCCTTCAACTGTGACCAGGAAGGAAGGAAGGGAGGGGGAGAGGGGGAGCCAATCATAGGAAATTGTCCCACAAGTATTTCCGTTTACGAAGTTTTTAGTCGGACATTTTCTTGTAAATGGAGGTTTTACTCGCTGAATGCATGTGATAAGCTTTGCTAGTTGCGCGCCCCAAGCGGCAAACGCCTGTCTTCATTTGTTGTTAAGCAAGGTGTGCAGGATAGCTTAGGGTCTGGCTGTTTGGTTTGCGAAGAGTTGCTTTCTTTCAGTCGACAGAGCGCGGGCGTTATGGCAATACAGAATATATGGATCATCATAGATCATTATCTGCACCTCCTGTACATACATTTGTCCACAAGATGCATGTAAGTAATATGTAGTATACAGTATGTAATTATATATAGTTTTCTTTGGCCCATTATTATGTTATTGGTACGGTACCCATTGTGCTATTTAACACATATCCCTGTTTTAGTGCTACAGTGCATGCCAATAGTTCCAAGCAATTAGAGCCACGCTGTGTTTGTTTGAGAGTGCTTCTTTCTTTGCATGTATTCTGCTGACTTTTAATGACTTTTCGGAGTACACCCAATTGGCATGATATCTGTGAAGCCTTTGCAACTCTCCACACTTTTTAAATTTTTGGCACAGGGGAGTTACCTCTCACACCTTTTCATGCTGTAGACAAGGAATGGCTGACTCAAAGAGCACCTGCCATGATAACTGGACGACCCTGGAACTTCAACGTCCGAACCCCTCCATGATACCATGCTGCCACTCGGAAAACTCTTGGCCCAGCCTTCGACAACATCCACCTCACCATTACGGATGTGAAAATTTCGGAGGCAGTGGATAAGGGGTGGCTGTTTTGCTGAACTGCATTGTCTGTTTTCACAGGGGTGGAAACGTTCTAAGCCCAATGAAATTTACAACCCTGGGAAATATGGGATGGGTCGAACCTGCCAAGAGCGAATGACACAGGTGCCTGGAGCCTCCAGATGGCGATTGTCCACTTGGGAGCTACCAGAAGATGACAAGTGGCTCGGTTGCGCCACCAACGGCAGAAGCGGTGGCGCTGTCCCTGATGCTGCTTCACTGGGTGGACTTATCAATTGCCGTGGTGCGATACATGAGATAATTACATGAAATTCCGTTGGATGAGTCCCACAATGTCCCACATGTTTGCGATTCCCCATGGCTGAGACGGTGACGTTTGATGACGTCTGCTCGTCTGAGGGAAGGCACGCCCTACATCAGAGATGAAGCTTACGTGCAGGCCCGCACAGCCTTGGAGTGGCAGTTCTGGGTGTCTAATGTGTCTCCACCTTCCATTTGGGGGCATGGTGGACTCCTAAAAGCATCCTAAAGGAAATTGTATTTAAATCTGAAGGATGGTCACAATGGCAAAGAAAACCACTGAAGTTGGTAAAAGAGACACCCGCAAACTTGGTGCAGGGCTTTCTGGTCCCGGGCCAACTTCAGGCGTGGCAGAGGGTTTCACCATGGCAGATGGTGCTTGGGATGACGATAAGCAGCCATTGACATTTGAAGATGCTCAACTTGCTCAACTTTCACTTTAAATTATCATCCCATGTGCTTGTGTTTTTTTGTGCCTTCCGCAATTTTTGGCCCCATTGAACAAACAGTATTGAAACACCCAGTGCCACTCTTCATCATTCAATGTTTGCCGGAAGATGCCGGAAGCTATCCTGTTGAAATTGTGTTGCTGGAACTAGTTATTTGTTGGAAATTGGCAGGATCGTAACATTTCTTGGTCAAAACTGCCAAAAAATCCCTTAAGCCAATTCATTGAAATTCATTGACAATGGTACGGTGCAATTCAGGATGCGCTGGTCCGCTGCCACCAGGTCTTCAATGCCTTTGGACAAACTGGACGAGAAAATGCGGCCATCTTGGGGCGAGAATCGGAGCCTGGGATGCAGCAAGTCGTTTCTCTTTGAGGGGGAACCATGGGGAAACCAATTGCTGAGGTGCCCCCCAGTTCCAACAACCATGCTTGGGAGTCCCCTTGAGCCTCAGGATTTGTTCTTTGACATGACCTCCTCTGCACCGATACCAGCTGGAAGTGACCTGTTGGTAGCAGCAGGAGGTGCGATTTGCACAGCCTGTGATTCATCCTGTGCACTGTTAGATCTGTTACTTACGGATGGCACAGGGGCCGGACCTGCTGGATTCAAGCTGCCCTGACCTTACCTTGATAATCCTTGATAGGCGGCTGGCTTGTCCTTTGGTGCAGTCTTGTTGAAATCAAAAGGATGAAACATGGGTTTGAGAATTTTGGATATTTTGGTCCTGGTTCAAAATGGATCAACCTGCTGAAAGGAAGGACTTGCGCCTTTGGAATTCCCTGAGGATCCATAGGCCATAGGCTTCTGAGTGTTTAGCAAGTGGTAGGTGCAGCAGGGTGCAGCTCCCTGCATCAGAACCAACTTTCGGGCCAAAGGTTCAGTGAAACGGCAGAGCTCTGGACTTTAAACTCGGTCACTGGAGTCCTGACCTTGGAGCCATTTTGATGTTCACCAGGGTAGGGTTTGACAGCCACACTAATATGAGTCATAGATGTCAGGTGAACATCATTTTGCATCAGCGTCCAGTTGAGGCTGCCGAAACAAAGCTTGGCGAGTGGTACTGCACTGGAATGCCCGGTGCTTAGTTTGAGGCTGTTGACGGTCAGCTAAATATGCTAAACACTACGAATGGCCAAAATGAGAAGTCGAACATAGTTGAACGTTACCGTGTCTATGGCACGGTGCAACTGCAACTGAACACAGGGAACCCTGAGCTATGGTAGGGGATGCATTTTTGGAGTAGCTTGATGCTAGGCAGACAAACTGACAACACCCACGAGCATTTCCAGAATGCAGTTCTACTTGGCGCAATCAAGGGAAACACAGGAAACAAAATACGAAACCCTTGGAATGAGACAGGAGCACGCTGAGACAGGAGCACGCTGACCTTGTGCCAAGGCGGAATCTTTTTGACCCGGAGAACGAAACAGCGATGAACCTCACGAAGGTCTGCATGCACAGTTTGCTCCCGGGACACTTTCTATATGGGCATGGATCAACAGCTATTATACCAGGTACCATTTCTACTTGAAACATACATATTTGTACTATTTTTTTTTGGTGGATGAAGATGCATTTACCAGCTATTTTGATGTTCACCAGGGTAGCTCGGTCTTGAGCCATAACCATTGGACGATCTCTCAGGAGATGTATTTGCCACATCCTTCTGCCTGTGAATGGGACGAAACGCGCCGGGAGATGCTCAACAGCTTTGACTATAGCCGAGATGCCAAGAGCTCCTGATGGATTTGACAACTGGAAATCAAGGGGATGAAGACTGATGTATTGACTGTATTGATGAAAATTGTCTTGTCCCCTAATATGAAATACGCCCCAAAATGAATAGGACCCTTTTTTTTCCTTCACCGGGGGTTTCTCGGAGGTACGGAACATAGGGCAAAGGGACTACAAGGACCCACATTAAAACCTGTGCAACAAAAAATCCGCCCCCCTAACATTATAAAAAGCTTGTTCTATACACTGTAGTGACTGTAGTGCCACTATTTCAATACACTAGAATCATTACTCACAGGACGAGGGGTTTCCCGGTTCGGCCGCCTTGGGCGAAGCCCCTTCGGGCCCAGAATCCCAATGACTGGCAGAGCCATTCCGGGACCCTCAGTCCTGGCTGTAATATTACTATGTCAGATATTTTATACTAGTCAACAAGAATTCCAGCCCCAGTATTTCATGACTCATCAACAATATTTCAACAAAATAAATAAATAAATAATAATAATAATAATTACATACAATTACTAACATCAATGGATTGGTTTCAGGGAAAATCTAACCGGAAACCACAGGTATTTTCCCATTCAATATGGAGTTTTCCTGTAAATTTTCCCTGAAACCAATCACTACAACAACTATATACCAATTACATCCAATTAATGTGGGTGAAACAATGACCACCCATTCGGGAATGGTTTGTGCCACCTATAAAAATGGTGATGACTGAGGGATTGTCTGAGGTGACCCTACTGCGGAGCGCATCGCCCAAGTGCCACTCGGCCAGGGAATGGAAGTGTGAAAATTCATCAGGCTATCATTGGAGTATCATGGAGGTATACTGAGTGGCAAAGATCCCGATGATTTTCCAATGAAATTCCAATGAACTCAAGCTTTGAACACCCAATTTAAGTTTGAGAGATATCAAGAGATTCTCCCGAAATTCTCCAGAATGGTGCTTATCAAACTAGCAGTATGACTTAAAAAAACGCGAACGGCATCACTCTCAGCACCAAGGGTCGTCTTGAAGATCACCACGGGTGCACCTGTGCACAGCCCGTTGAGGCTGAAGTTTAAGGCGCAGCACTTGGGTATTGATCGTGAATCTCAAAATCATGACAGGAGATGATCAACACCCATGATATTTAAGAAACATTGGCGTTGAACATCCATGACTACCAATTGCAGACACTTACATATTACAGTTACTGCAACTGATTACTGATTGGGATGCAAGGTTTTGATCCATATGAGTCAAGGAGGGCTCCACGAGGGTTCCACTGTTCATGGAACGGCCTTTCAACATGGATGAAAATTATGACGGTTTGTGTTGGTTGAAGAGTTCAATATCAGAGTCATCAGAGAGGCAGAGAGACATGAGGGAATATCAGTAATATCCCCATGATATTCCCATTCTATCCCTACCTATAGATACCTATAGATCATTTTCCCAGCACATACCCATATATCATATATTCTTGAGTTGTCCAGATCTTCCAACTCCAGCTGTGGACTTGTCAGGTACAAACTCCGACAGACCGGACCACATTCTTGCAAGAGCGAACGGGATCCCAGATGCTGCCTCTGAAACTATAAAAGAGAATCAAATCATAGGAAATCCCTTGCGGCTGCCACGTCGCCCGAACATGCTCTGCGCAGTGCTTCATCTTTCGTTGCCTAGGCAGTAGGATAGAATGGAAGATTCAAGGTTGACTTCCAATCTTGCCTGACATCACCATGTTACATGCACTGTTGTGAACGTCCAACACTGAAAGCTTCTTCGACATTTTACATGACCTTAGCCTTCCCACAGGGATACAGTATGAGACAGGTTGGCACATCGACATTGAGCTCGTCAACCACACCAACGGAATGATCAATTTGGTTACCACCAACGATGGAGTGTGAGCCTCAATGGACGTCATGAGGATGACCATGAGCAATGAGATGGTGATGGCAGACATGGCATATTCAAGACACTTCAAGACACCCACCAAAAATCTTCTCAATGAACTTCATGAACCATCGACCTATTCCTCTCTCCCTTCCTACACGTACCTGGTGACCAGCGTAGCTTTCGCCATTCTGATCACCCTGCTGAATGATGCTTTCTTGGTGAATCCTCGTCAAAACCTGAGAAAAAAGGGTCATCTCAGCTTCGAGTTCCAAGCCACTTTAGCATCAGCTTGGCTAATGTCAATATTGATTCTCTATGATTCTCTGACCTATCCCCAGTTTTCCCCAGTTTTTCTTGGCGGGGAGAACTCGCCGCTTTGATGCTCCAAATTTGTCGGGTATAACCCCCGACAATTGTCAGCAAGCTCTAGTACGTTCTTATCATCCAATTTTTGTGGGCTATACCAGTTATACCATCATCCCAGAATTGGTTTAAGTGAAAAAGACATAGGACCCCCTGTGTATTTGAGAAAAAACATGGTTTCCTGAGTTCCTGCATTTTTGTCTGTAAACCAATCCAATGCCCCTCTGCTTTACGACTTCGAAAGGCAATGATTTTGCATGTATCATCCCCAATCAAGATGCGAATGCTCCCCTTTTTTGATTGTTAAATCATGTTAAATCTGTAAATTCATGTAAATCCTACATCCCAATTGTTTGGATTTTGATGGTTAACTCCCCATTTTGATGCTTTCAACGGGGAGAAGTCCCAATCCTCGTTCCAGGACCCTGTGCCGCTGTCAGTGGTCACCCAACTGCCCACAGAGCCACCTCCTGAGCCCTCGCATGTGGCACCCTTGACGCGGGTCGAGGTGCATGGGCAGATCCAACAGCTGGAAATCCTACAGCATTCTCTTGCTTTCCCAATTAAGCATTGGCAACATTGGCATTCATTCTTTGGGTTCCATGAGTTCCATGTTGGACTTTGGTCATGTTTGGTCCGCTTGGCTTTGTCCTCTGGTTTTAGAGTCCAAAACTTACCGTTGGAATGGAGAAAACGATGATCGTATCCGGTTTTTGGAGGTCCTTTGGTGGTTGAACCACTGCAGTTTCAAATCCCAAAACCAGCCCTATGACACGGGGGAAATCCAAAAACCTTGGTTTTTCACACTTGTTCATCCATTTTCATCCATTTTTCATCCATTTTTCATCAATGAGCACTGGAGCCTGGCAGGTTGTCATCCAATTGGATCCTCTGGACACTGGGGCAGAAGCCTTTACCCTCACTGCACCGTTGGGACCCAGTTCTCCAGAGCGGAAGCGTGCCATGAGGAACAGATGGGAACAGGATCCGAGACATTTCCATAGTTGTGGTGGACATTTTGGGCAAGACTTCCCATCTCGGAAATTCGGCAGCCGATGAGCGTGGCTCAAGGGTAGTAACCGCTAGTAATCCTCATAGTTTCCCAGGGTCGCTCCAACGGACTTTGATGACTGGCAGTATTCATGAGTGCTCTCATTCTTAGTGCTTGAAGCTTGAAGTACTAGGTAATTACCTTGAACGAAGCCAGTGAAACTAGAATCACAATCGCATCCCCAGTTTGCTCGTATCCAGAAAGCAGTCTGACCGCTGCTTTGCAATCACTGCGAAGACAGCAGGAGCTCCAATGGATTAACGCAAGACACATATAGAAACATGATACTCATTGGGCATATATCACCCATATCTACAGTTACTTAGCATAACTTAGCTACATTTAGCTGGCCGAATTCAATTCCTCTAAGCTTTGCATATCTTGCCGCAGCACGACTGCTCCAGTTGCGTCGCCATGCCGCGTCCATTGAAGGCGAACCCTGTAACGGATGGCTTCAAGACGGCCTTGCAAGCCTTGCGTCAGCAACAGGACCGGGAATCCTTGGGACGTGGAAACTCCCCTGTTTTGTTTAAATACAACAGAAACGGCGCTAATAGTGACGGTCGAACATTTAGTGAAGTGAATAGTTTTGGGGCATACCCCGGAGTAGGATCACCCCAAGAACGAGGTAGGTCTGTAGCGTTTTCTTTTTCAGGTTAGGCTACCGGAGGGAAGTCCAGTTTGTGCACATCTCAGCCAATACGGATGTGCGATAATTCACATATCATTCACTTAAAAGCAGTCAGCGGCTTTAGATCGCTTTCTGAAGTCATGAGTTCATTCCAGTCAGCTTATACATACTTAACTTATATGTTGTGAATGGGTGGCACCAGCCCGCCGGAATATCTTGATCCAGGAGCAGTCTCTAGCAGCCATTGAAGCCTTGCTGGAAACTTGCGGCGTGGAAGCCTTCCAACCAAGTGAAAGTGCTGCGATCCAAGCGTATCCCATCAAGGACAGGACGGTGTTTGTGATGAAATGCAGACACGGCTTTGTCCGTATTGAAAGGGGTAAGTCAGTAATCAACATGGGCATTTCGTTTTGAACATGATTGCTGGTGCCCTTCGCAACGACGCGAAATATATGAAATTATATGAATATACAAATATACACGAATCACACAAACAGAACATGCTGTCCAAGTATGTCCAAGTGACATTTTGTCATTTTGTGTTTGGTCCTGCAGGGACGGGCCATACAGCTCCGATGTAAGGAGGATGAGCTCCCACCGCACAAGGAACCCGCAAAACAGGTGTCTCAGGAGAAACCTCCAACGCCATCGAAGCTTGGTACTGGATGATAGCACGACAAGGGCTGGGGCATTGAGATCCCACAGGAAACATAGGGAACCTCCCTGTCTTCATTAAGTGTTCCTATTTGGTGCAGCTGGGATCCTTGAGATCGCAAACTTACAGCTTTCGATTTGATCGCTTTGATCGTTAGAATTTTCTGAATCCTGTTGGTGAACTCGCAGCTGAGCTCGCAGCGTATCCCTACACCCTAAGAACATAATGGCAGGTTACTGAATCCTACAGTCTTGGTTTCAACAAGACGTTGTGGAAGAATGCATGTGTATTCTACTGACAATGCATGTGTATTAGGCATATAAAGGTATACTACTTTTTGTCGAAGGAAGTTTAGAAGTCAAACTTCCGACAATATGGATAGATGAAAAGCAGAGGTAGAAGGGCACCCGCATCACTTAGGGCAACACCAAACGCATCACTTCAGGCAACATCCAGAAATCACACACTGCATAAACAACTTTGGACGCTCACTTTGGGCAACACGGATTTCATCACTTTGGGCAACACGGAAAACATCGTTCTTATCATCATTACTTGACTCAGCCATTTAGGGTTTGGTTGGGGGGAGGGGTCATTCCACTTACATCATTACATATCATTACATATCATTACTTGACTCAGCCATTTAGGGTTTGCTTGGGGGGGAGGGGTCATTCTACTTACATCATTTCTTGACTCAGCCATTTAGGGTTTGGTTGCGGGGGGTGGGGAGGGATCATTCTACTTACATCATTACTTGGCTCAGCCATTTAGGGTTTGGTTGGGGGGAGGGGTCATTCTACTTAGATCTTTGCTTGACTCAGCGATTTAGGGTTTGCTTGGGGGTGGGGAGGGATCATTCTACTTAGATCATTACTTGAATCAGCCATTTAGGGTTTGCTTGGGGGGTGGGGAGGGATCATTCTACTTACATCATTACTTGATTGAGCCATTTAGGGTTTGGTTGGGGGTCTGGGAGGGATCATTCTACTTAGATCATTCTACTTACATCATTACTTGATTGAGCCATTTAGGGTTTGGTTGGGGGGGTGATTTCTTGACTCAGCCATTTAGGGTTTGGTTGCGGGGTAGGATCATTCTACTTAGATCATTACTTGACTCAGCCGGTTGGGGGGAGGGGTTGGTAGGGGTCATTCTACTTACATCATTACTTGACTCAGCCATTTAGGGTTTGGTTGGGGGGGAGGGATCATTCTACTTAGATCATTACTTGACTCAGCCATTTAGGGTTTGGTTGGGGGGAGGGATCATTCTACTTACATCATTACTTGACTCAGCCATTTAGGGTTTGGTTGGGGGGAGGGGTCATTCTACTTAGATCTTTGCTTGACTCAGCGATTTAGGGTTTTTGGGGGGAGGGATCATTCTACTTAGATCATTACTTGAATCAGCCATTTAGGGTTTGGTTGGGGGGGAGGGATCATTCTACTTACATCATTACTTGACTCAGCCATTTAGGGTTTGGTTGGGGGGGAGGGATCATTCTACTTACATCATTACTTGACTCAGCCATTTAGGGTTTGGTTGGGGGGAGGGATCATTCTACTTACATCATTACTTGACTCAGCCATTTAGGGTTTGGTTGGGGGGGAGGGATCATTCTACTTACATCATTACTTGACTCAGCCATTTAGGGTTTGGTTGGGGGGGTGGGGAGGGATCATTCTACTTACATCACTACTTGACTCAGCCATTTAGGGTTTGGTTGGGGAGTGGGGAGGGATCATTCTACTTACATCACTACTTGACTCAGCCATTTAGGGTTTGCTTCGGGAGGGAGGGGTCATTCTCAAACCCGCGTATTTCGTAACCCGTGTCTTTACTGCGGCGTTTTATAGATGCAAGTAACTGAAGGCTTTGCATGAAGGCACATTTCTATAGCACTTCGGTGGCTCCGCAGCTCTGGCTCTAAAAGCCTTGCCAGGGCATGGCCCTGAGGTAACCGGGCCTTGGTTGGCCTGTGGAGGAGGCCTTCACCCCCTGCCCTGGTCGATGCCAGGCAGGTGGGTGGGGGGCAAAGGTAGTGTTGCCTCTCCAGTGAAGGACGCCTACATCGAAGCAGAGGTCTTCACTGAGAGAGGCACAGCCCAGGGGACAATCCTGGTGAAAGTGAAGCGCATCTATGCGCCAGGTGTCCTGGGGAGGTTTTTCCTGGGCGACCTCGTGAGTGCATCCGATAGGGCCTACAGGGAATGGACTACGTCCAAGACAGGCCGGTTGACAACCGTGGATGGGTCTTATCACCTGTGTAAGGGACCCACAGACGAGTGCCCTGCCGCAGGACAACATGAGGTGACAGTACACCTGGGAAAGTGGAGAACTTGGAAAGAGGAGGACCTGATAGGTGGAGAAGCTCCTGAGGGCTACGGAAAGGAGGCCAAAGGGATGTTGAGCCAGTACTTCAAGCGAGAGGGCTTGGAGAAAACCCGAGGAGAAGGCTCTCGCCTCCCGTGGACTACCCCGGGGGAGTTAAACCTGAAAAAGGACAAAGAAAAGAAACGAGGAGACCGTGAAGAAAAGGAGAGAGACCCAAAGAAACATGAGCCGGCGGGTAGAGCCGCAAAGGTGGCAAAGGTTTCTGCGTTGGAGAAGGAGTTAAGACAACTCAAAAAGACTTTGCAAGAGGAGGAGAGTGAGCAGAAGACGCGGCCCAAGAAAAGAGCAGCCGGCACAGAGCCGAGTCAGAAGAAACCTAGAAAGAAAGCGAGGCCGGCCTTTGATAAGGGAGGCCTCAAAGGTGCAGAGGAGAATGAAATGGGAGCCGACTGGGGCTCAACAGAGGGGAACTCTCGGAGTAAAGAAGATGAATCTGAGGAGGCTGACTCTTCGTCGAGCGGTGAAGGGAGTTCCAGCGGAGATAGAAAGGCCAAAAGGGAGGCGGACAAGAAAAGAGCCAAGAAGGAGCGAAAGCAGGAGAAGCGTGACGAGGACAAGCGTGTGAAGAAGAAAAAGAAAAAGAAAAAGCAGAAGACAAAGGAAAAGAAGGGCCGCACTGAGCATGACAAGGGGCCCTTTGGAGTTGGAGAGACAAAATGCCTCCCAAGAGACGGGAGTGAAAGTGAAGTGGAAGGATCTGGCAGCTCCTCCGAGTCAAGCCAGTCTTTTCGCAAAGCCCCCTCGGGCCTGACCCTGCACCTACGGCTGCAGCGGTATGCTCAGAGGCACCCGGGCCGTCTGGCAACCCGCCTCTTAGGAGTGATGGAGCGGGCAACAAGGTTCGAGGGGGCGACTTTCTTAGCCGGGAGAAAAGCCGAAAAGGTGAGGCCCTGCGCGGTGAGCTACTTTCTGGCCATCCTCACACCAACCCTCAGAGACAAATGGAACATGAGGACTCAGCGAGAGATGAGGGTTTGGGCAGAGGTGTTGGACCAGTTAGCCGCAGGGAAGGGATCAACAGCCGCAGATATAGCGGCGCAACGACTGAAAGCACTGGAACAGTCGGTGCAGGACGGAAACAACTGGAGAAAAGCGAAGTTTCTGGAATTGGTCACCGACGAAGTGGGAATGACCGACAAGGGGGAGGAGCAAATGATGATGAAGGAGGTGGAGTTGGAAGAGAAGTTCCGCGGGAGAGCCCCAGGGAACCGCTGGGACGAGACCGGAGGAGGCCCTCGAGGGAAGGAGGGAAAAGGAATCGGCAAAAACAAAGGGAAAGACAAAGGAAAGTGGAAGACGCCCGCTCAGGAAGCAGCGGAGAAGAAAACGTCATAGAACGTCCAAGGAAGGGCAGGCCAGCCGAGCCGTCAGTCAGCCCTGAAGGAAAGATGAGGATGGAGAAGATCCCTGAGGTGGAGCCGGAGCTGGAGGAAATGGCCCCTAGCACAGAGCCCAACCCTCAGAGGCTCAAGGTCAAATGCCAGGCGGCTCTGGACGGGGGCATCAAAGTTGCACAGCTGGGCTCAATGATGCTAGACCTGGTGGAGGACCTGGCATCGCCTCTCGGAAAGTTTCGGCAAGCTTTCAAGGAAGACGCTGTGGCCCAAGGCAGGCCCGCTGCCTGCGATCTGTTGCCTATCTCAGTGGAGGCGATAGCAGGGCGCCGGGATTGGAATGACGCCACCCGAGACTGGCTGTGCTTTATTTGTCTGATTCTCAACTACCAATTCTGCTCAGGTTTCGCCAGCAGCAAGTATATGAGACACTCAAAGGAGTTGAGCGACAGGCAGGTGCGGATCCTTGACACCCACCTGGCACCGGCCGTAGAGCGGATGATCGGTAGCAACCCGAAGGTTCCCACTAGAGAGGAAATCAAGAAAGAGTTGGACAAAAAGCACCACGACTATGATGGGGGCTCCTATGTGGTGATGGAAGAGTTGGAGGTGAGCAAGGTAGTGGAGTGTTGGCCGTCATCAGACGAGGCTGCAGTAGCCCCTCTGGAGGATTTCTTGGAGGGAGAAACAAGGGTGCAAGTGTTGGCACCAATGTCCTCCATCTTGCCGCTTGAGGAGTGGCCCAGTGAGATCCCAAAGAGCTATGTGCGTGCCACCGACAAGGTGTGGGAAGAGCTGGTAGCAGAAGGGTACAAAAGAGGGCTCTTCCAAGCCTGTCCTGCAGACGAGGTCTTACATGACCGATCAGGCAACAAAATCTTGAATGGTGCTGGAGCGGTGCCAAAGCAAAAAGGAGACAGGCTGCTGCAGAGATTCATTTCAATTTTCTGCCCGCTGAATGCGGTGAGTCGCAAGATCAGTGGGGACGAGTCCACGCTGCCGTATGTAGGCCAAGTGAATTTGCTCCAGGTCCCTGATGAGTGTGAAGTCCTCATCGACTCGGAAGACATGGCCTCGGCATTCAATTTGTTTTTGATGCCGCTGGGTTGGCGAGGCCTCTTTGTTTATGAAAAGAAGGTGCCTGCTCGAGTGCTTGGACTGGAGGGAGATGAGCCCACCTTTGTGGCACTACGAACAGTGCCTATGGGCTGGATCTCGGCTGTTGGAGTGGTTCAAGCCGCAATCAGGCACTTAGCCTTCAACA